GCATTCCGGAAACTCAAGAACAAGAAGAGGACCGCCCATTTGCTCCAGTATTTGGTTGCTTAATCTTACAATACAGCACCACCACCACACGGGAAATGCTTTTATATATATATATATATAAATAATTTCGCTCTATTCAAATTTAAACGAAATAGGAAATAATAAGGGTATATATTATATTGATGTATTTTTGTTGTTTTTATTTTTGGTATATAGAAGATGTAATTAGGGATTGATTTCATTTGGGATATATAAAAAAAAAAACGGACCGAATGAACCACACATAATCATATATGAACTGAATCGTAATAAAATTCGAATGAGATTGAATTCTAATGAAAATTTTCTTATATAACTGTTCCTATATTAATACGTTAACTTTTAACATTCTTTAAAAAATTACATAATTTTTTTTTACTGTTAATTAAAATCACGAATTTTATAAAGATTGGGAATTTGCAAGGGAAAAAAAAAGGCCTCGGTCGAATTGCTTCCCCCATCTTCCCGTGAGGATAAGACAGCGGAATCTATCCACTTTTCTCTTCGATTTTTCTTCCTCGCTTCTTTGTGCCTGCAACAATGGCGGTCGCCTTCTTCCCTTCCTTAGCTCACAACCCTACCCTTTCGTCTTCCCGACTCACATCCTCCTTCGTGCCCACAAGACCCTCATCACTCTTCGCAAAATCTCCATCACTCTTCGCGAAATCATCCCTTAAACCCAAAACCTTCGTCGTCTCCATGTCCTTGGAAGCTGGGGTTGGCGTGATGGGCACGAAGCTCGGAATGATGAGCTTCTTCGAACCAAACGGCACCGTCGTTCCTGTCACCGTCGTCGGATTCCGGGAAGGTAACATCGTTACGCAGGTGAAAACCCTAGCCACCGACGGCTACGATTCCGTTCAGGTGGGTTATCGACGTGTTCGGGACAAGAAATTGACGAAACCGGAGATGGGTCATCTTCAGAAGGCGGGAATTATCCCTATGAGGCATCTCCAGGAGTTCAGGTTGCAGAGTGTTGATGGGTTCGAACCAAATCAGAAGCTTGTGTTCGATGACATCTTCAAGGAGGGTGATCTTGTTGATGTCTCTGGAACCACCATCGGCAAAGGGTTCCAAGGTTCGTTCCTCTTTCTGATTCTGCTGATTTCATGGTGGTCAGTGCTGTCCGTTGTTCGATTCGTCTGAGGTTTTTGTCCTCAGACGAATCTCTGTCAAGGCCGCTTTGATTCATCTTTACTGGTTGAATTTGTGAATCTCCTGATGAATATTTCTGTGATCAATGCTTAATCTATGACACGAAACGCAACAATTAACTGAAGTGCATTGTTCTGTAATGCTCTTCCACTGGTGTCTGATCATCTAACTGAACGATCTTCTCTCTTATCCGTTTAAATCTGGGACAGGTGGAATCAAGCGGCATAACTTTAAGAGAGGCCAGATGACGCATGGTTCGAAGAGTCACAGAGCATTGGGATCGATCGGTGCGGGGACAACCCCGGGACGAGTGTACAAAGGGAAGAAAATGCCCGGGAGGATGGGAGGAACCAAAAGAAAGATCCGGAAGCTGAAGATTGTAAAGATCGACAGCGACCTCAACGTTGTGATGATCAAAGGCGCTGTGCCCGGAAAGCCCGGTAATCTCCTCCGTATAACTCCGGCCAAGATCGTTGGCGTTAACATTCCCAAGAACTAGCCCAGCAAGCACGCCGCCCCCTTACGTGTATTGCTGATTTATGCGTTGTTTAGGATATGAAAATATTCATTGTATCGAGTTTTCTTTTTTTTTCGCGAAGTTGAATCAAAACAAGAAAAGTTCATGAAACCGTGGTTCATAGGAATCAGGTTCTTCTCTAGGATCATACCTTAACACTATTCACAACACAGAGGTTATGGCCTCCATTCTCTTCTCTGTGTGTATAGCCAGTTGTATGTATGTATATACATGGGCCGAAGCTTGTCATAGAGACTGAAACCACCAGAAGGAGAACAAGAACAGCAGGAGCAAGAGGAAAGACCCGACGCCGAACCCGTCAGCCTCTGCGGCAGAATTCGCGGTGGCGGCGGGAGAAGGCGAAATGAGAAGGGAAGGGAGCCATGAAGAGACCCAAGAAGAAGATAATAGGTGGAGGAGAAGGAGGAGAAGCAACAGCAGAAGACCCACCATGAAAGTACCAGTCTGAAGAAATGGAAGAAGATAGCCTTCTACTAGAGACAGAAGGAAAGAGCCGTAGAGGATCCATCCAAGAATCCCCACAAAGAGAAGAGGGATTACTGGCGACGGCCCTTTGCTCTCCATTTCCTCTCTCTGTGATCGATCCTCTTTGGTTTTTCCCCGTGAGGGTTTTATATAGAAGATGAAATTGTTATCGATGGAGATGTCACAGCATCGGTTATAACTAGGTGTGGTTTATTCGGGTTTCGGTTTAGTTATATTTGGGTTTGACTATTTGATTTAAAAAAAATATATAAACGTTCGGTTTTATACCGGATTCATCATGGAAAAAAATTCAGTTTTTTCGATTTTTTTTTTTTCGGTTCGATTTTTTTTAGAAAAATCGCATCTATTGGGTTTTATATCGGATTCTATTCGATTACAATTATATATTATTCGGTTAATTTCGTGTTTGATAATCCGTGGGATTCGTTTGTATTCTGGTTAGATAACCTAAGACAATATTTACTTTTCACCATTTATTTTATTTTATTGTTATAAATAATGCACACACTCTTTTATTCTTATAATAAAAATCTAACTGCCCCCATCGTCTGAACGTGTTGGAAGATAAACCACCTTTGAAATGGTTCATCAGTCCATTGGCTTAGATTATTATTGCATATATTTTATCTTTTATTAATTCACTACCCTAATATTTCAAAGGCTTATTTTATTAAACACCTTAAAGGAAAAACTAGCAAGTATCAAAAGTACCGAGAACGCTTTTAACAAATATATCTAAAAAAAATATATCAAATGTATAATTCGAAAATTGCTAAATCCACAGGATGTCGATCCAAAATACCCGAATCCACCATAAAAAGACAGCATATATGGAGTTTGGGAGATGATGCATTACATTCGTTCACATACAATACAAATGATCGTCTGGAACTCGAACCGAATACTGTCGGTCAGTGTTCACCGGAGGGGCGAATCTCGTCCGGGTTGTGGCTGTTGTTTCTTAGAGCCGTCGAGAGCTGAATACCGGCGGCTGCTCCACCGCCGGGAACAGCCTGAGAGCTGGTGGTGGTCGCGGCGGCAGCTCTCAGCCCTTTCTTGTTCTTCACTTTCTGCGCCCACCCGACCAGACCCACCTGAATGCTCTCGTCGAATATCGCCTTCTTAAACGAACTCCCCATCTGCCAATCAGTTTCCAAAACCAGAATTTCTAATGTCAATAAAGAGGACACCATGTGTTGAATCAGAGAAATGAAAGCCCGTCCTCGAGGTCAATTCACTGACCTGAGTGACAATGGCGTAGAGAGGCAGAGTGCTGTAACTACAAAGCACCTGAATGAAGACCCTGTCGAGAAAGAACGAAGATTGTCGACGAGAAATTTTAATCAGGAGGGTTGAGAAACATGAGTTAAGGAGAAGAAAAAAACATATTCCTCGTACCCGATCACAAGCCTAGGTACGATGTATCTCACTTGTCCCATGATGCAAGAATCAAACCCGTACGTAACCTGCAAACACATACACGCAGAGTTAACAGATCAGTTGTGTTTGTTGTTTGTATAAGCCAAAGACAAAAAGCAGTTTCTTCCGACAGATCTGGCTTACCCATATCCAGAAGAAAAACGCAATCTCAAAAGCATTTTGGAAGAGGATAAAATGGATCAAGAAGAGAACGATGTGGGGACGGTCGAACCAGAAGTGCTCATCCGATGGCTTCACCACTAACTCCCCTTCGATTGCTATATGCTTCTCCGCCACCTCGTGAGCCAGTTGCGCAATCACGTGCTCCAGCTTCGTTCCCACAGCAAGTAGCAGCTGACATTTTCACAACAAATGGAAAAAAAAACACACATCTGTGAACCAAGAATTCGCACATTATAGCAATCACATAGATGAATGAACGCCTTATCAGCCGAAACGAAATCCATAACATTTTGAGGGCAAAAAGACTCACGATAAAGGGAATGAACGCTATCCAGAAATATGTGTGCCATCCTGCAAGATACGAGATAACGATTAATGTTACAGAGGAATAAGAATCGTAAAACAGAATAAGCGCTCCTTCAAAGCATACCGTTAACATTAAGCAGCAGGAAGATAACCACAAACATCCAAAGATACCAACTGCCCAAAAAAAGAGAGAAGAAAATTTAATGCATGCCACGGAGAATGAAGTACAACACGACGGCCTATGCGTAACCATACCTTATACCAACAACTCGCTTGAAATCGTCTTCCAGGGCACGTATCATATACTTGTGAAAGTTAAACTTCGGGTTTCCCTTGCAATGCATCTGTAAAACCATAAGACATTCCGTCAAGTGACCGTAATCCAGAGACAGATATAATGTGCAATAATTGCGTGATCATGATTACCATAATGAAACCAAGGCGTAACGTCAGATAATCTGCTTTTGTCACGGATCCATAGAACTGCTTGAAAAAAGAATGCTGCACGTAACAAACGAATAAAACACCTCTGTAAGATATGAAATCACAGTGGTTTTATTCAGCCCTCGATCGGTATAATGGAAATATAGGCACACTCGATAGAAATTAAAAATCCATGGGAAACTTTCCAACCAAGATTAAGTGACGAAAATCTTACCGTCCATACAAGGATAGCTGAATCTTTACCAAAACCAAGAAAATGCTCTTTGATAAAAGCATGTTGATGAACATGGGTGACTTTGTCCTTAAAGGCTGAATAGGTGCAACACACACACAACAAAAAAACAATCCAAGTATTCATACGGTACCCATCAGTATGTCTTTGCAATTTTGCATATACTGACTAAAAAAACACGAAAGACTCGTGTCAATACCCTGTTCTTGATCAAAGTCCTGGTTTGCAATAGAGTCCTCCCACTTTTTCCATTGATGAATCTGCGTAACGCAAAACATGAATCATGGTGCCAGTCGAATACGAGAAAACAGCAAACGTATCAGATGCTCATTCTCACCCTTGCGCTGCCAAAAACAACGGTAAGAACGCAGAAAGTCACATGGGAGATGGCCAGCACAAAGATGAAGATGTGTAGATGGTGCAACGCCTCAGCTGAAAGCAAGGGCACTTTGTGCTGAAGGAAAAAAACAAATTGAGGCGAAAAGGTAAGTACAGATACAGAGACAGGAACATAGGTTAACTACATCAAGAGGGATATGCCTAGAGAAACAAGCACATGCCAAATAAAAACATGAGCACAGTGTCCAATTGTTTGTAAGTAAATCGGTTTTATCACTGGTGAGCGTTACTCTATCATGGCTATTGTTGCTGGTCTGAGTCTGTAAGAGGGATAAGGTGGTGTGTTTGCTGGTAGGAAATTTCCATTTGGAACAGATTAACCACACTGGATAACAAAAAAAATCTACAACAAATTACCTTCTGGGCGCAGTAACCGGCTTGAGCAGCAGCATGCTCAGCGAGTAAGCGCCTGGTGATGCCGGCAATTTGAAAACCGGCGAACTTCTGAAAATGTTTGGTTGTTGTGGCACTATGTTCACCTCCTCCTTCTTCGCTATTTGGAAGCTGGCACGGAAGCATATGCCTAAGCAAATCTTCTTTCACACATATTTTGGAGATTACACCTTGGAAAACTGTGAGCAACAGTGATATGAACCCCAACAACATCAACTCTGCCCACCAAAAGAACCATCAACGTCACTTCAGAATCAAAACCATAGATCAAGATTCGTAAACAGTTACTCTTCTAATCACCAATCATAGTGACATAATCCATACTTAAACGCTAAATTAAGGGTAGAATTCATTAATACTTTGTAACTCTGAAGATGTTATACACGGAAGTAGAAAAAACAAGGCAGCAATTTTCATCCACAGAATCCAGCACTTGTAGAGAATCAGAAGAACCATAAAAGCAACAAGATTGACGAGATTTAAAGGGTGTTCCTAAAAGGCGCGATAAAGATGACAAAAGGTCCACAGACATGGAGACAGCAGAGAAAATCTCCCGACAAAGATTCAGCAAATAGACTAGACAAATGATCTGCAACACCCACAGACGGAACCGAAATTAAGGACATATTCGCATCGAAGGCGAACCCAAAAGTGGAAAATCGAATCAAAAAAAGGGGAAAAAAGGAGAGAGAGATAAACAAACACCTTCTTTAACCTTCTGTAGGGCTTCGAAAAGGGGTTTCTGTTTCTTCCTCTTGAGGACCTGGCCGAGATAGTGAAGAAGACGCTCCACCGCAAGAGAAATGGCAACGATGACTGTGCACACGGCCGCGACCACCCACGTCGGCGTGAACTCCAACGTCGTGCCTTCTCCTTCTCCGCCACTCATCTCTCTCCTCTCTCTCGCTCTCCCGGGAATTCGGATTTCTTCAGTCTGGAGAGAACCAATGGGGCCAGAGACTGTGACCGTGACTGCAAACTCCGGATCAGAGATGTAATTAAAAAGGAGATTATTGTTTTTTTTTTTCTGGGATTTAATTAAGAAAATAGAATTCGAACATGCATGTGACGTGTCCCTTTGGATTCCCGTTCTCTGTCCTGTTGTCTTTTTTTTTTTTTTTTTTTTTTTTTTTTTTTTGGAATTACATTCAGCGGAAGTCTTCTTAAGATCTTTGTTTGTTTCCGACATCTCTTTCTAAACCGCGTCTTCTCCGCGTTATATAATATCCGGAAATAAAGGCGACAATGATGGAATAGAAGACCAAAATGGAAAAACATTTAAAATAAAATGTCTTAGATTGCACACAAAATATTCTAATGAAGGAGAAAATTAAATTTAAATATTATTTTGAGGGAGAACTATGTTAAAGAATCTTAATTCCTAGATTTTCATGATTCCGATAATTAATAAGGATTCTATGGTTTTGGTAAGAAAAATACATAAATTTAAAAGAAAAACAAATAGCAAGAATTTATGAAATAGAAAACAGCTGTGTGAATTTTATTAATTCAATGTCATATTTTAGTGTTTATATTTTTATTTTATTTTTTACAATTTCATTATTAGTATAAAATAACTTTTGAATCCCCAATTGCCAAGCATAATATTCTGTCCACCTAATGGCCTAACTGTCAAATAGAAACTATTGTTTGGAGTACATTTATAGCCCCTTTTGTTTTGATATTATTTTATTTTATTTTATTTCCCCTTCCTTAAGATCGCTGTCTTTTGCAAATCTCTGAACAAAGGAGATAATTAAAGATGATAATAATATAAAAAAAAAAAGACGGAAGACACGGAAGCAAAAAAGACAACTGTGCTTTTGTTTAACTGAACTTCAAATGAAAATCTTACAGAAGTCAAAGTCAGACTTTAGTACGTAACGCCGTATCCTCCAACGTCTCGGGTTTTTGTTTCCCGTTTTCAATAATCCTGTAATCTCAGTTGATTCATTGTGTCTTTTCATTTTCGTTATTTATAGTTATTATTAATTGTGAATAAAGAATAAAATATTAAAACAAAGTCCTAATTCAAAATAATTTTTAAAAACCGAAAAACCCTAAAACATTTGAGTTTCTAAGAAGAAGAACGAGAAAGACTCTCTCGCTCTGTCGCTCCCTTCCACCCGCGGCGGTGCCGCCGTATCACCGTCTCTGACGAACGCCGTACTCCGTTTCCGCTGCTGTCGCCACCGTCTCCGATTAGCTCTGGTCCTTTTCTCTCTCCTACTTTATCTCGATTGGCTCGATTTCAAACCTAAAGTCGGGGTTGCATCTCCGCTTCTGATTCGGAAACCTTAAATGTACCCTTATCGAAACAGATTTAGGGTTTTGAGCGAAGTCGATGAAATACTGAACCTAGATTGTTCTTCAAATCGATGAAATAGGCTTTGGGCTTAGGAGATTGACCCTTCTCTGTTTCTGATCTCGCCTTGTGTGTTTTATTTTTCCCGCCTGGTTCATTGCTATCGCCACTGCGTTCGTGGGTGGGTTAGAAATCTTGAACGTGATTAGGTAGGGAATTGGAAGTGAGCTCCAGTGCTGAAGTTTGTATTTTGACCGTAATTGAATTGGCTGTCAGTCTTTTATGTGGTGTCTCCATTGTTATGCAGAGTGTAAGCAAGAGATTATATAATTAGATGGTAATATGGAGAAATACGATATTGTTTTTCTTCCAACTTTCCAACGAAAGAATGTCGACGTAATGCTACACTTAGAAATTAACATCAGTGTCTTGCAGAGCGCATTTTAGCCCATTTTCTTTAGAAATATGACAGCTGCTTCTTCTGGGGAAAGCGAGGAAGAAGAAGTTGAGAGAATGAGATCTGTCTCTCCTATGTATTTTAGCTAAGATTGTGGCATTGAGATAGGAGAAAACCCGTCGTGCAAAAGAACAGAACCAAGGTTAGTTCCCAATGGTTAAATTCCGGTATGTTTCTAACCTATCTCCGTTAATTGCTGTCTTGTGAGGTTAGTTTGGTTGCTTAGACTAATCGACCTTGGTGACACATTTGATACTACAGGCAGCTGTGGCTTTTATAGAAGGGGTTCCTCTACTGCACAAGAGGATGTTGTTTGTTCTCCTGTGGTGGTTTCGACAGCCAACCACTGTAGCGGATTTGGAGGAGAGCAAGAAGATCTGCTCCAAGCGGTCAGCTTCGGACATGATCGATGGGGCAAAAGGTAAGGGTGAAGTGGAGAAAGTGAGAATGAACCGGTGCTGCACAAGAGGATGTTGTTTTTTCTCCTATGGCAGTTTCGACAGCCACTACTGTAGCGGGTGTGGTGGAAGGCAAAAAGATCCCTGGAGGGAGGATTTTTACAAAGGAAGATGATATTTTGATGTTGGAGGCTATAATTGAGTGTCGTGTTAAGACAGGAACTGAACCCAGCTCTCATGCGGGAGGCTTTTATGATTTTGTCAAAGGTTCTCTCCATGTCGAAGTGTCCAAGACACAGGTCATGGACAAAATCAGGTCGCTGCAGAAGAAGTTTCGAGGTATGGTGGGAAAATATAGACATGAGCAAGAATTAGCATTCACACCTCATGACTCGAAAGTGTTGGATTTGTCAATGCAAATTAGGGGTGTGACTGATAGTATAGGAGAAAAACCGATTGGAAGTGAGGCCCCCCCAGATGAAACATACGGCAGGTACGATTGACATGACCGGTAAGAAACCTGTGACTCGTAGATGGCAGAAACAGAATGCGATGGAGAAGCATCAAGAACCAGGAAATGCAGAAGATGAGGACAATTATGAGCTGCACGATAGAGATGTTCAAGTTGTCGGAAATAGGATCGATGTGGCTGAGGAGGACAGAGGTGAAGGAAAAGAGAGCGGACACGGTGATGCAGACGACTTCTGGGCCCGGTTTCCCTTATTGAAGGATGGAGTTGAGACGATGTTGTCTGAAGGGCTCTTCCTCGATTTCCCCGCTGCTTGAGAAAGTTGTGTGCTTTGGCTGGGACAAAGGGAAGGAGTGGGATGCGAAATGGAAGGAGATGCGACTGCGCATTAGGAAGCTTGATGTTATGGCTGGGTTCTCGCGGGCAGCTCTTGATGAGCTGAAGAAGTGATTGCAATGTCCACGGTACTCTTTTGCAATCCGATCTTTAAGCATGTTAGAGACAGAACCTATCTCAGTGCTCATCTAATGTCGGTTTTTTGGCCCTTGTTGTCAATAAATCTTAGCATTTATATAGGGTTCTTTCTCCCGGGAGAGACAAATCACAGATGGCAAACATGTTAAATGTCCATAATCTCGCATTTATTCGTCTAATTAATTAAGTTAATATCTTTTGGTATTCTCTAGTTTTACAAATATCCGTTTTGTTTTGTTTTTAAAGAATTATATATTATATTTATTATATATGAATCCTTATCTGTTATCATGACTGCCCCTCCATGCACCGATACGCACAAATGTCGTATTCATACTCGAGAAATAGATATAGGACTATATTTTATTTTTATTTATTTATTTATTTATTTATTTATTTATTTTGCCTTCTCTAGCTTCCTATTTATTTATTTTTTAAAATTATTATTATTGAATAGTTCTGTACACGGTAAATACATGAACCAGCTTTTATTTTGTAATTTCTGTTGATTGTATCTTTTCATTTTCTTTATTTCTAATTGTTAACTGTGATAGATAATAAAAGAGTAAAGCAAATCCTAATTCAAAGTAATTTAAAAAAACGAAAAACCCTAAAACATTCGAGTTTCAAAGAAGAAGAACAAGAACTCTCTCTCGATCTGTCGCTCTCTTCCGCCCACGGCGGTGCCGCCGAATCCCGCCGTAGCGCCGTCGCCGACGAACGCCGTGACTCCGTTTCCACTGCTGTCGCCGCCGGCTCAGATTAGGTATAGTCTCTTTTAGCTCTAGTCTCTCCTTTTATCTCGACTGGCTCGATTTCAAATCTAAAGTCTGGGTTGCATTTCCGCTTCCGATTCTGAAATCTTAAATGGACCCATATCAAAATAGGTTTAGAGTTTCGAGCGAAGTCGATGAAATACTGAACCTAGATTCTTCTTCAAATCGATGAAATAGGTTTTGGGCTTTGTAGATTAACCCTTCTCTGTTTCTGATCTTGCCTTGTATTTTTATTTTTTTCTGCCTGGTTCATTGTTAATGATCACTGCTTTTGTGGGTGGGTTAGAAATCTTGAATGTGATTAAGTAGGGAATTGGAAGTGAGCTCCAGTGATAAAGTTTGTATTTTGACCGTAATTGGCTGTCAGTCTTTGATGTGCTGTCTCTATTGTTATGCAAATTGTAAGATAGAAACTGTGTAAAGTTGCCAATCTGTTGTTCAGTTAATATATTTAGATGGTAATATGGAGAAACATGCTATTGTTTTCTTCTCCAACAAAAGAATGTCGGCGTAATGTTACACAGAGAAATTAACACCAGTGCCTTGCAGAGCGCATTTTAGCTCATTTTCTTAGAATACGACAACTGATTCTTCTGGGGGAAGTGAGGAAGAAGAAGTTCAGAGAATGGAATCTGTCATTCCTATAGATATTAGCTCAGATAGTGACGTTGAAATAGAAAAGCCCATTGTGCAAGAGAACAGAACCAGGGTTAGTCCCCCATGGTTAAATTCCGGTATGTTTCTAGCCTATCCCTGTTAATTGCTTTCTTGTGAGGTTGGTTTGGTTGCTTAGACTAATCGACCTTGGTGGCACATACACATTTGATACTACAGGCAGTGATAGAAGGGGTTCCTCTGCTGAAAGACCACGTGTTTATAATGGAAGCTCTTCCCATGCAAATAGACCTGCAATTCCTGCTTCGAGCAATGGTATTGAAGCCTCAAGTTTTCTCTCTTGCCCAGAAGACTCTAGACAATTTACAGGGAATGGAAACTTTGTTAATTCCAGAATCGCCAATGTTTCTGGTGCAGATTACGAGAGGCTTTCATCTCACCAAGCTCTTAAGAGAACCCTTCCGCCGTCTTTTAATGTATCTACACTTTCTTCAAGATCTGACAGCTACATAAGTAATGGGAGTGGCAATCACCGCCGTGAGGATTATAGTTATCCAGCTGTGTCAGCTTCAGGCTATAATGGAGTCCATGATGAGATAGGAAGTGTGCGTGGGATTAATGGGGCTAGAATTCTACCCCCATCTCTGACACACAGAACATCTGCTTCTTCTTCACAATATATTGGTCCAAGTGATACCATTAACAGGTTTGGAATAGGTGATGACAAGAATTCTGGGAATGATGAGAGGCTGGTCTATCAAGCTGCATTACAGGCATTTATCCTAGATTATCTCTGCTTTCAATTTTTACAATTCATCAATCTAGTTTTCCTCTAGTACTTGCATTCTGTTTGTGGTACGACACCCCACTGGACCAGTTTCCTGGTTTTGTTGGATATTTTTAGAATTTAGTTGTGAATTTTTGGAGGTATGAATGGGTGGAAGAGGCTTGTTCCTTTTCTTTACTTATATGTTAGATTGTTAGTCAAAAAACAGTTCTCTCAGGGTCCTGATGCCTCAAGATCTTCAATAGATAGGCATTGGACTGCTGAATCTGCATAATTTTAGGAAATGCATGTCTTAATTATTTTGAAGTACGTTGTTTTTTTTTTTTTTGCTTGTTTGGTCGGTGATAGTTACTTGGAATAACGGCCTCTTTTGTAGTGTTCATCTGTTACTTTGCATCATTGCCTGGAAATTATGAATATTATGTTGAGAGCTAATTGTATTTGACCTTTCCATTCTGTGTAATTAGTAGCCTCAGCAGGTTTCCCCTGGCATTTGTAATTGAAGACAGCTCTGTCGGCATTTCAAGTGCTTTCAGATTTTGATAATCAAATAATTTTATCCTGCAGGATCTGAATCAACCCAAGACTGAAGCGAAACTACCAGACGGTCTTCTTTCAGTTCCTCTTCTGAGGCATCAGGTGTATATTTTGATCTGCCTTTCTTTTGCAGTCTGAATTAATGTATATACTAAATATTCATTGTTTTCAGAAAATTGCTTTGGCATGGATGCTTCAGAAGGAAACAAGAAGTTTGCACTGTTTGGGGGGTATATTAGCAGATGATCAGGTTTCTTTTTAATTATATTCCTTCCGATAAATGTTTATGATTTTTGAAGGTGGAAGCTCCTTTGATTTGTCGTTTGTTCTCCCATGCAGGGCCTTGGTAAGACAATCTCAATCATTGCTCTTATCCAACTGCAAAAGTTCCATTCAAAATCAAAGCCTGAAAACTCTAATAATCAAAAAGCTGAAGCATTAGATCTCGATGCTGATGATGAATTAGAAGGTAATAATACTGTTCAACCATTTGAGAAACCAGAATCTAAAAGTGACAAAGAGGCAATGTCTCTGGGTGTCGATTATAAGGATCAGTGTGGCAGTTCGGGTTTGAAAAATGCCAAGGATGAAGAAGCTAGTACTTCGAGACAGACATTTAACCGGAAGAGACCAGCAGCTGGTACCTTGGTTGTTTGTCCGGCGAGTGTTCTGAGGCAGTGGGCTAGAGAACTTGATGAGAAGGTTGCGGATGAATCCAAACTTTCTGTTTTAATCTACCATGGCGGTAACAGAACTAAAGATCCTGTTGAACTAGCCCAATATGATGTGGTTTTAACTACTTACTCTATTGTGACCAATGAAGTTCCCAAGCAACCCTTGGTGGATGAAGATGAACTGGATGAAAAGAATACTGAAAAATACGGGCTTACCTCTGGGTTCTCGACCGATAGGAAAAGGAAAGATGCAGCGGCTACCAGTAAGAAGAGCAAGAAGAAAGGTAGAAAACGCATTGATGATTCTTCTATTGACCCTGATTGTGGGACTCTTGCCCGGGTTGGGTGGCTCAGAGTGGTACTTGATGAAGCTCAGACAATTAAGAATCACAGAACCCAGGTGGCCAGAGCCTGTTGCAGTCTGCGAGCTAAGAGAAGGTGGTGTTTGTCTGGAACTCCGATACAAAATACAATAGATGATTTGTATAGCTACTTCAGGTTTCTAAGATATGATCCATATGCTGTGTACAAGTCATTCTATCATACAATTAAGGTTCCAATCTCGAGAAATTCTCTCCATGGGTACAAGAAGCTTCAAGCTGTTCTAAGGGCTATAATGCTGCGCCGTACCAAAGGTACCGTGGTCCTTTCCTCCTCTTTAAGCGTTTAAATGAGTGGTTATGATGTTCCACTCTGATTGTTATAGGCTTCTGTTTATTTCTGAAGTTAGTGCTTCAATTTCATACTCTGATAAGAAATTCTTTTGATTGTTTTACGTGGTCTGGATCAAGTGGTTAAAGAAATTGCAATATCATTTGTGTTATGTTTTGTTCCCATTTCATTTGTTTCTAATCTTTGGGTTTTACCCAGGTCCCATGTTGTAATGTAGTCATAGTGCAGTTGATTATGCTAAATTAACTGGGTTTTGCATTATAGGAACAATAATTGATGGGCAGCCCATAATTAAACTACCTCCAAAGACAGTTAATTTGTCCAAGGTGGACTTTTCATTAGAGGAACGGTCTTTCTACAGGAAGCTTGAAGCTGATTCACGGTCTCAGTTCAAGGTGCATTTTCTGATCCCCCTCCATAAATTATCATTCCTCGTTTGGTTTGCAATTCGTGATGTGGTTTTGATTGAAAAACACAATGTTCTTGTAGCAACTTGTGAATGGCGGAATTTTCATGAGTTGTCTGCTGTCAAAGAGAAGTTTCTTTAGTGATCAACATTCTGTGTGCCTGTGAAAGAAATTTATAAATCCTTGGGTGCAATAAATAACATGATAATTTATTTTTTCTGCAGGCCTATGCTGCTGCTGGAACAGTGAATCAGAACTATGCTAATATCCTTTTGATGCTTTTGCGACTACGCCAAGCGTGTGACCACCCACAACTTGTGAAAGGATATAACTCAGATTCTGTTGGAAAAGTATCAGAAGAAGCTGTTAAAAGACTCCCTAAGGAAGCTCGAATTAACCTGCTCAATCGTTTGGAATCATCATCTGCCATTTGTTATGTTTGCAGTGTAAGTGCAGAATACTGGAGGGTCGAATGTGTTATGCATAGTGCTTATCTTCATATAGTACTATTCTCTAGTCCTGACATTATTATCTAGGTCCTTAATATTCTGTCTTCTGTGTTTCTGCAGGATCCACCAGAAGACCCTGTTGTCACATCGTGTGGCCATGTATTCTGCTATCAGTGCGTTTCAGAATATATAACAGGGGACGAGAACATGTGTCCTGTGCCTAAATGCAGAGAGCTTCTTGGGCATGATGTTGTTTTCTCTGAATCTACTCTTCGGAATTGCATCTCTGATGATTTAGGTTGCAGTTCAGTGGATCATTTCCCTGTTAATTCAGTTCTGAAAAGTGAGTTCGGTTCATCCAAAATCAAAGCAGTCCTCGATATTCTGCAGTCAGTCTCTAAACCAAGATGTCCAAACTCAGAACAGCATGGTCAAGCGCCTTCATCCTCTAAACCAGTTGATGACGATATTGCCATTGTAGAGCAAAAGAGCATATACTCATCTTCACATATCCCAGGGCCGATAAAAACTATTATATTCTCTCAGTGGACTGGTATGCTTGACTTGGTGGAGCAGTCTATGATTGAAAATGATATAGAGTTCAGAAGGTTAGACGGTACAATGAGTCTTGCGGCCAGAGACAGAGCTGTAAAAGATTTCAACAACGATCCGGATGTAAGTCATGTGCATATCTTAGAAAAAATATTTTCTAGAATTATTCTCTAATCTATTTCCCTGAAACCGGGAATGTGGAATGTGCCCCTTGATCTTGAAACCCTCTAAATAGTGCAAAGTTTTTTTAACAGGTAAAGGTGATGCTGATGTCTCTGAAAGCTGGAAACCTGGGGCTGAATATGGTGGCTGCATGTCATGTTATTCTTTTGGATCTTTGGTGGAATCCAACTACTGAAGATCAGGCTGTGGATCGGGCACATCGAATTGGACAAACTCGGCCGGTGACGGTTACCCGTCTTACTATAAGAGATACCGTTGAAGATAGAATCTTAGCACTCCAGGTACTCTCTCCAAATCTACTGGTTGTCCTTGTCCTGTGCGTTGATAATCGTTTCTCTATGGTGTTCTTTCATCTCGATAGTAATTTTCAATCAAAGACTGGAAGACTTATTTTGAGGCTCTTATTGGACAGTTTTTGCTGAAAATTCTCAATTTTTAATCAGGAAGAGAAAAGGAAAATGGTTGCGTCCGCGTTTGGGGAAGATCATGGTGGGGGGTCCGCGGCCAGGCTGACAGTGGACGACCTGAAATATCTGTTCATGGTGTAGGAGATGGTCAGTGTTCTACGGCACCACACCTGTTTTGTCCAAAGTTACACATTTGTAGGAGAGGAGATTATGGTGGGGAAATGGACCCTAAGTTTTGAACCCGGAGCTATCTCTCTGGCTCTGGCTACACGCACGTATAACTAATTGCCTTCCAATGCCGTGGCTCGTTGTCAGGTTGCAGCCTTTTTTGGTTTTTGGAGATTAGAAGCCCGGCCTAGGTAATTTTTTTTTGGTGTTTTTTCAGGTGCAGTGATCAGAAACTGGGTCTTGCGTAAATAATCCTAATCCTAACCCTTTCACTGTATATATAGCAGACACTATATATATATATATATATATCAGACACTATGGTGAATGCAGCTGTGCTTCTACGTCTTATTATCTGTCTTTAATGTCTCCCATTTTATTTGTATGTATTGGTAGTTTCTTCTGGTCGTTGCTTAATTAGTGCGACGAGAATTTAGTGAAGTTTTATCCGGCTATTAATATCGTAAATAGTTAAGATAACATGTTTTTCACTTTAAAATAAAAAGGAGAGTCAAATAAGGTTTTTCTAATAAAAAAAATCTGGAAAATGTATTTTTATTTTTATGTAAAAAAACTCAGAGAGTTCAAAAAAATTCAATTGGTTAATAACATTATAAGTGGTGAAAATAAGGTATTTCCATTTGAAAATAAGAAATGCAATATTATTAAGATTCCTTTAAACAAAACCATAGCTTCAATCGATTTTCGTATAAAAAACCTAAAAGAAAGTACAATTAAGGTTTCAACCGGCTAATAACATTGTAAATATGGTTAGAGTAAGATGTTTTATACTGGATTAGTGAGAGCTAAAATGTATTTACTAATAATATTTAAATAACTTGGGATATTTTATTTACTAATGTTATAATAATAATAATAATAATGTTATATTTGGAAACTCTAAAAGACAAAAACAAGATTCAGCATTCATATTAACTTTGGATTGGCTAAACCGATTCAAACCGGAAAACCTGTTTGATTTTGATTTTTAGGGTTGAGTTACACAAGCTATGTAAACATTAGAAATTAAGATCATTATTCCATCATATGAAATCTTGAATACATATTTGTCCCTTATTACTTATCAATTGCTTTCACTTGGGATGGGTTTCTTCATCTCCTTGACACACCCTTCGGGGGATTCAACTGCCACGATCTCGATTGAGTTCAATTCCAAATCTTTTGTCTCTTGGTTCTCGGTAGGTACCGGTTTAGGCATCTCGGTTTTCTTCGAGTTCTTGTACATCAAGTACAGTACCATCTGAACTAAACCAAACAGAAAACCGAGAATATTTGGCATCTGAAAACACAAGAGTTGCAAGTTATTATACCGTTTTAGACCAATGGAAAAAAGCCCAATTTCGGCTTCGGTTTGGTCTTAACCGAAACATAACCAAAATATTTCTTCGGTTTGGATATTTTTCGAACCGGCTTTTGGATAAGAACTACTTACAGCGATGAACTTGTCCTTGATAAGTAGTCCATAGAGAAACCACATGACGGCATTGAGGGTCAGGGAAAAGGAGAGAAGAAACGGCATGTATTCCACGCTCTTCGTGCGTATAACCTTCCTCTGCATCACAATTCACGACGTTTTCATTTTCCAAATCCAAATGCTTTGTCGTTTTTTCTGCTCGGATATTATGTATATATACGTAGAAAAATGAAGCTGACCATAATGCTCAATGGAGCTGCAAAAACGGCGAGACTGTAAGCAGCGCAAACCCATCCAACGGCCGTGACCCTCTTCAGCTTTGGAACGAACAGATCCACGAGAAGAATCAATAGCCCCAAGGCCCCGACGTTGAATATCAAGATCAGCTTCAACGTGAATATCTGCTTGTATCATTTCGATGGAGTGAATATAATATATAACGAATGAATTAAATAATTAATGATCATATGAAAATAAAAATCAGACCTTGGCGTCTCTTGGCGCGTAGATGAGATAAATGAGCAGGTAGGAGATCTCGATGACACATCCGAAGGTGTTGATGCTGATGATGAGGAGGGCATTCCCCTTCATGATTCCGTAGCACAGAAGAAGAGTTGCACTTGCAAGTGCGCATATGTACGGTATGGACTGGAACCCTTTCGACGATTTCCTCTTACATATCCCATAAAACGTTGGCCTGCATGTATGTTTATTGATTAATAAACTTTAATTTTAAATCATAAAAGAAAGAAACGTAGACGAGATAAATCAGTATGTGAAGAGGGTCTTACACCGGAGACAAGAACACCCCGAAAGACACAATGTTGCCTGAAACATGGAAAATGATGTCAAGAGTCTAAAAACATCATATGAAAATATGGAGTTATGATATATATATATATATATATCAACACACACATATACATATACACAGTAAATTAAATTACAGAGAAATAGCTATTCCTTGCACCAATATTCATAAAGGGTTTTAAAGAAGAAGAAGAAGAAGAAGGGTCGTCATCATCATCATCATCAGAACAAGAAGAAGAAGGTAGAAGAAGAAGAATAGTGTATTACCCAAAACGCCAAATAGGAAAGCAAGTTCATGAACACTGAGGAAAACCATCCTTCGTATGTGTATGATATATGTATGTATATATGTATGTGTATGTCTGTATATATAGGTATATACTCTCTCTCTCTCTAACACATACACACCTTTGGGGAGGAAGACGACTTGGATTCTCCGTTCTTCTCGAGCGGCTCCAATTTATATTGGTTTGCAAGTGAGTGAGGCGTTTGATACTTTTTACCTTTTGTGTACAAGTTACTTTATTATTTTTAATTTAAATAATTGAATATTATCGAGTAAATTTTTCTTGGAATCTGTTGTGAAATACAAATGTGTGATGCTCAGCCAAGGAGCTCGTGCATGGCTGTAAGTTGTACATGATTTGGCAAGCTCTTCATTAACTTGCCAAACCCCAAATTCATTTGATGTTTAATATTTATCTAATCACTTTTACCGAGGAAAACCGCCATTTGTTTTATCCAATTAATTGGATAATAGTATGTGGTTTCAATTTGCTTTTATATATCTTTCTATTTTATTATTTGTGGACGTTTTCAGCATTTGTTCTACAAAATAATAAAAAATTATTAATTTGACATGTGGTTATGTGAATATATATATATATATATTAATATCTGTGTATATATGCATACGTATGTTTATGTGCTTGTATATGTATATTGGCAAAGGTAAAACTAAAAAATTATTATTATTATTATTATTATTATTATTATTATTATTATTATTATTATTATTATTATTATTATTATTATTATTATTATTATTATTATTATTATTATTGTTGTTGTTATTATCTCCTAATCATACTCTTTACCATTTTACATATATTAAAATTTATAAGTGTTCTGAAATATAAATATTTTAAATTTAAATTAATTTTTAAATCTATTTTAGATATTTTAAAACAAATATTTTCAATTTACTTAGATATCGAAATGGTTATGATGAAAGGAATCTAGGGAATAACAGAAAATATTTTTACACGAGACAAAAAGGAATGTATCGTATAATTATAAATAGTTAAGACATACAACAAAATATGTTTTGTAAAAATGGATAAATAATCATAAAAATAAAATAAATATTGTAAACAGTCCAAATTTTGGTTACAAAATAGTGATATTTTACAAAAAAAAAAATACCCAATTACAATTCGTATAATAATAATAATATTTTTTTTTTAAAGTATGTGGACAATATTGGTCAATGGCACATTGTCATTTCTACAACATAAGTGCCAAATGTTCACTAATTTAAGGTATGTATAGAGTAATGTTCCAAATTGTTAGGCCTTATCAAATCATCTCCTTGTTTTTTTATTTTTATTTTAATTTTAACTCCTACAAATTACTTTGTTAGGACATGTACACATCATCCACCGCCTAACTCTAACTCGGTTTGGTTTAAAGCATACAAGCAACGACGGTTCAAAAACAAATTTTAATTTCACAATTATAAAATTGAAAATAATGCGAATTCCAAGTTTGTCCCATTTTCATCAATCGATTAACTGATATCATAAAATTAAATTTCAACCATTTTTATAAATTCGGCGCGGATGGATTAAGACCAATTTGCATAGTTAATTAATATAATAGTATAATAAGATAAGTAATCAATTTGTTATGTGCCTAAATTGAGATGAAAATGGCCAACACTCTCGGGGTTTATATTATTTATTCATGTCGATTTTTTTTCCACTTAATATATGATTGAAACTCTTTGGCAAAAATAACATTTGGGATGTATTTCTCAGATGGTCCTAAGTATTAATTTAAGAATTTTTCCCTCCAAAAGATGCATTCGTTAATATTAATTAAAGTGAAATCAAGCAATTATCACGGAAACGAAAAATAAGAAATACAGAAGGAACAATAAATGAAATATTATTACAAAAAATTAATGAAATATTATCAATTAACAAAAGATGCATGTTTTTTTTTTAAAAAAAAAGTAAAAGCAATTGGTTTTTCGATATTCCAAAAAAAGAAATCGTAAAACGATCGACTTTTTCGTGGCAAAAAGAGGGGATGTGTAGGTGAATTCAAAAAGTCGGAAAAAAATTTAAAGGGGGGCGAGGACTGTTCAATAGAAACTTCCGGGCGAAATTGTAAATTTGGTAAAATAAGAATACGTAGATGCAAACTATAGAAAATGGAGCATTAGTTTCGTGTTTTGGTTTCGTGGAGTAGGGATGGACGTTTCGGTTCGGTTTTTTAAAATCGAACCGAACCAAATTGAAAAATTCGGTATTTTTCCTGATCCGAATATTCTAAATTCTCGAACGTTATTATTTTTAGAAAACCGAATTTTTCGAAACTGGAACCGAATCGAACCGAATTTTAAAAATCCCGAAAAACCGAATTTTTTTAAGAAAATCTATCTTAAAAAAAAACCGGAATCGAAGCGAATCGAACCGAACATAATATAAAAACCGGTTTGTACCTATTTTTATAAAACCGAAAAAACTGAACCGATGCATTCTCATCCCGAACCCGAACCGATTCCTAAAACACTCACCTCTATTGCAGAGAGCGCATTAGCCTCTCTCTCTCTCTCTCTATGCGCCGGTAGCTCACGCGCCGCCTCTCCGTTAGATCTCCGATTTTGTCACCACCGCCACCGGAAAACCTCACGTCGATGGCGTCACCAACGGTGGGGATCTAGGACTATACCGAGAATCGTCTTTACCCTTTGCTTAGCTATATCGAGGTTCTTCTTCATTTTTCTTCCGCTAATTAGGCATGAAAACTAGGTTGGAATTAGATATCATATGGTTAGAATTTTAAGGTAGATGCCTCTACACATCTACGTGAGGATTTTGATACATGAAATCGAATGTCAATGTGGTGATTGAGATTGTACGTCTCTGGGTATTTGATTGTTCATTTGTTTCTCCGGTTATCATGGTAGTAGATGAGTCTAGAGAAACATTAAATGGACAATTAGAGTTATGGAGGAGTGCATATATATGGCTTCCTCTCGATCCTGGAATCATTTTGGATTTTAACCGTGATACCGATACCCAAAAAAAAAAACCATCCATAAAAATGTCGGCGATACATAATGGATGTACATAACTATTAATTACATAAAACACATATAAATATTAATTATAGTGAACGCAAAACCTTTTTCAATATTCGATCACTAATTCGGACGATTATGATTTTAGGATTTGAAATTCGATTATGAATCCAAATGGCGACTATACGAACCGGAAGTGATGAGGGTGTGAAAGCTTTGGGCCTACGAAGACATGTCTAACTATGATTAGCTTATGTAATAAATATCCCACATTAGGATATAATCAATTTTAAATCGATTTCGAATATGTGCACATAGAATCCTTAATATTATACAAAGTTTTGGTTTAGTTTCTACCGTGAATAAACCGTGTATTTACGAGTAGTAGCACCAAGAATTTTGGATAAAGCCAACAAGTCTTAATTTTAATTGGCATTTTTTTCTTTATACCGAATAATGTCATTTTTTTTTATAATTCGGAAGTTCATCGAGTATTTGATCCAATTATATCTCGTAGAGAATTGAAAAACTCGGGTGAATACCCTTTTCACGCTTAGATTTAAACGCAGTATAAAAATATGATTTGTATATATTTTTAACCCAGTTGATCTTTTGTATTTTATCGTTTCGACTATAGTTTCGAATGAATTTATTTCGAGTTTGATTGGTTCGTTCCATATTATTATCTTCTCCTTGATTCAGTGTGATATTTTTTTATGAGCAATTTGGAAGCACGTACCAAGATATTTATAAGAATTTATAAGCATGTAGAAAAAGATATTTTTAATATATATAAAAAAAAATGAAAGAAACAATGTTCCGTAATAGTCCCACGCGACCCCTCTCTTATCCAAACTAAAGGACCTCCCCTTCCCTCGCTCTCTCGATGTGTCCCTGCATTCATTGAAGGCCAAACCTTCGCCTCGGTAACATCCTCTCTCTCTCTCTCTCTGTATCCATTGAAGGCCAAAACTTTGGTAAAATCCTGAACCCTTTTCTCTATCGATTGGTGCTTTTTAGCGCGAAAAAGGCAATGTTCTGTCTTAATTCATCTCTTGTGGCTTCGAGAACAGAGTTTACTTTCCCACAGAAGTTCGTTTTATCTAGTCGGAAGAAACCCAGTTAGGGTTTTCTTATGTTTCCCGAATTTGGCGAAAAATTTCATCTTTTTGAGGCTCGTTGTCAGCACCAGATACATATCTCCATCTCGAAATTTTCGGTCTTTTGATGATCCTTGTTCACATATGATTCCGTTTCGTTTTTGGTTATGCAATGAATTATATTGATAGCCTCAGATGTGAAATAAGCCGATTGTATGGCATTGTTCGTGCTCTGGGTACGCCTTTCAAAAGATCGAACCAGTGAGTCTTGGTGGTTTTACCTAGCTGAGCTATAAATATCACTTGAAACATAAATGGTGATGTCAGTTTTTCATTTTCAGACATCATGTCAGGAAGAACACAAACGTCAGATACATAAGCTCAGTCTTGGATTGTTGGCATATGTTTCTTTGGTGTTGATTTCTAGGAGGGCTCGATTGATTTTTTGTTCTAGTGGGTTTTGTACATCGGTAAAAAACATTCTAGATTTCACTCGTGTCAATTATCCTGGTTGGATTTGGTAGTGTGCTATTACTGATATTATCAACTTGTGGTGTGTAATTAGCTAATTGTGTGGCATTTTTCGTGTTCTGAGTGTACCCGTTTCGAGAAATCAAATTAGTGTTAGTATTGGTGGTTTTACCTTGCTGAGAACACAGAGGGTGATGTGTGTTTTTCATGTTCAGACATCACCTCAGACGGACAAGATACTGAAGCATGGCGGTAGCTGTACAGTCTTTTAGTTCACCTTGCTACCGTGATACACAGTTCATCTCTGGCAATAGGAGTAACCGAAAGCTTCTTAGAAAGAGGATGGTTGATTCTGACACCATAGTTCTGGTGAAGATTTGTTCCGGGGCTCGAGGTAAAATTCATTGCAGTTTGAAAGCGAGATTTTCAAGTCCTTCCTCCGGTTACAAGTCAGGATTGTCTAAGGTATATCAGTTTCTTATGATTCAGGGCAAAGCTGTTGTTCCAATATGTAACACTGTTTGGTTATTCATCTCTGGCATATATTGTGTCAGGGAAGACCTCCATTTGAGGCATTAACATTGTGGAACAAACTAAAAGAGCAGAGCCGACAATCCTTGTTAAAACTAGTGGGCATCTTAGCTTGCACTTTCCTCATAGTTCCATCTGTTGATGCTGTTGATGCTCTCAAAACTTGTGCCTGCTTACTGAAGGAATGCAGGTAAATTTTGAATATCAAAATTTTGTATGTTTATTCGAGTCAGTATATCCTAGAACAATGGGTTCTTTCGGGTAAAGATTTTGGAACTGTGGTATACATCTAGTTAAGACAATGGTTGCAAAAAAAGACATAAGATTATCTTTCATGTATCATGTTTCAGAGTATCTGATACATTTGCAATGTTTTTCCGCTCTAAGGGTGAATCTTTTGCATTGTCTAACCACATGAGAACCCTAATTTTCTGCTAGGATAGAACTTGCCAAGTGTATTTCTAACCCTTCCTGTGCTGCCAACGTCGCTTGTCTCCAGACCTGCAATAACCGACCAGATGAAACAGAATGCCAGGTAAGTTGGTATCTGTATGTTTTCTCCCCAAACACATAGTTACTTGAAATGATCCTCGGTCTTGTCCATTATTTGTATCCTTTCAGATTAAGTGCGGAGATCTCTTTGAGAACAGTGTCGTTGATGAATTCAACGAATGTGCTGTCTCGAGGAAAAAGTGCGTGCCCAGAAAATCCGATCTGGGAGAGTTTCCTGCTCCTGACCCGGCTGTTCTCGTTAAGAGATTCAACATTGGGGACTTCAGTGGAAAGTGGTACATATCGAGTGGCTTGAATCCGACCTTTGATACCTTCGATTGCCAGTTACATGAGTTCCACACTGAATCTGACAAGCTTGTTGGCAACCTCTCGTGGAGAATACGCACCCCAGATGGCGGGTTTTTTACGAGGTCGACAGTGCAAAAATTTGTGCAAGACCCAAACCAGCCCGGCATTCTTTACAATCATGACAATGAGTACCTTCACTATCAAGATGACTGGTAACATCATCTTGATTCTGTCATTTGGAAACCAAGTAGAAAGTTTGAGCAAAATCTTGAAACTTTCTATCCTGATTTAACTTCAGAAGTCCCATATTGATACTTTGCAGGTATATCCTGTCTTCTAAAGTAGAGAACGGACCCGATGACTACGTTTTTGTGTATTACCGAGGAAGAAACGATGCTTGGGATGGCTATGGTGGTGCAGTTGTGTACACAAGAAGTGCAGTCTTACCCAATAACATTGTACCAGAACTCGAAAGAGCAGCAAAAAGCGTCGGCCGGGACTTCAGCAAGTTCATCAGAACAGATAACACTTGTGGACCTGAGCCTCCGCTCGTGGAGAGAATAGAGAAGACGGTGGAAGAAGGGGAGAGAACGATCATTAGGGAAGTCGAACAGATCGAAGGGGAGGTGGCGAAAGTGGGAGAGACCGAGATGACTTTGCTTCAGAGGTTGGTCGAAGGGTTTAAGGAACTGAAGCAAGACGAGGAGAATTTCTTGCAAGGTTTGAACAAAGAAGAGATGGAGCTGTTGAGTGAACTGAAAATGGAAGCAAGTGAAGTTGAGAAACTATTTGGCAAAGCATTGCCTATTAGGAAGCTGAGGTAATAAGAAGAAACCCAGACTTCAAGAACACTCACATACATACATACATATATATATATATGTCTACATTCATTTTGCAGAATGCATGTTTAACATTCATTACCCCATAACTTTGGAATGCTCTGACAGTTTTGCAGTCCTTTTATATATGCTGAGACAAAATTATACTGTAAAACTGGGAACACAACACTATACAGAAACTTCTGTTTGGATCAGATGGGTCAGATTTTTCAGACCAAATTACTGAACATTCCAAATCAAATGTAGAATATAGAGAGATTTGGGGAGAGAAGTACAAAGGCAGAGTGATCAAACAAAGGATTAGACATCCTCTTTCGGGAGCAGACAGATCAAAACGTTTCAAGAACTGCTGAAACTGGTAGCAATTGGGATGACCACAACAAGAACGATCAGCAGCAGTATGATTATGCCAATGCACATCCATTTCCTGCTGTTTCTCTGGTAATCCTTTGCCGTCTTCAGCTCTTTGGCCCCGTCCTTCACGTAATGGCCAGCGTTCATCACATGATGCTCGATCTCATCCATTTGTTCCCCCTGTGCCTCAACCATGACCGCCATGTCCAGAAACACCTGGTGAAGCTCCAACAGACTCTTCTCTATCTCCTTGGCCGCATCATACCTGCCGTGGTTTTCATTGTTTGGATCGTATATTTGTTTCCTTTTCCATATTCTGCGAGAAATTTGAACAAGGAGATGGGATTATACCTGTCTTGAATCTCGACAACAGTTTCCAACACCTTTCCTCTACCATGTTCCTGGATTGCTCTCGTGAGAAACTCTTCGCCTCCATTGCTATCATTGATGATCTTTTCGATGATTTCCTCATCCGGGTTTTCTCCAGTCACTGTGAAGTACCTTCTCTCGACAGTCTCCTTGTACTCTGTCATCATCTTCTGTCTCAACCCTTGAAAGTCCATCATCAGCTCCTTTAACTTCTTCCTCAAGCCATTGGTGACTGCAATTCTTGTTCTGTAAACCGGAGTCCCCTCTTTGCAACCAGACAGCCTCTTATTCGCAGCATTTGCCCGATCCATCTCTTCGAGCTGGGATTTTATGGTTTTTGCCTTCCTGAGACCCGAGACGATTTCATTGTTGATCTTGTTCCGCAGAGATTTCAGAGACTCCGACTTATGCACAGATTTGCTCTCTTCGTTGTACTGCTGGATCCTGGTTAGGGTTTCACAGATCAAACCCATTTCTTGCTTCACTTTCTCGGCTTCTTCAAGGAACAGTCCAAGGTTTTCATCAATGTTGTTCGATTTAGCTGATGCCATTTCTAGATCGAAGTCGGGTCCGGCTTCCAGATCCTTAACGGCTGCTTTCTTCAAGTCCACATAGCTCATGAAGGATTTTGTCATTAGGTCATTCATCTTGTCTCTTCAACGGTTTCTCCCTGAAAATCACCCAACACCAAATTAAAACAGATGAAATCATCGAATCCACGACATGGGTCTTCAAGACTTTTGCTCGACGACAAATGAATCCAACCCAATAGACCAATATAGTTCCCAGACTAGCCAAATTCAACAGAATCATACCGAGGGTTCATGCGAAACAGTACTCAACTACGATGAGAAAGAATTACTAGCAATCATCGAAAAACACAAGAAATTCTTCGAATCAACAGAATGGGTCTTCGAAAATTTTGATCTAATTCGATAGAAGCAAACAAGGGTTCGCACAGTATGTCGAGCAGAACTCAACTGTAATCAAACACATAAAAGCGAGCATCAAATTAAGCAGATCCGACCCAAGTTTCCACCGCAATCAGTGCCGAGAAAGCATAATCAAATCGACCAGATGGGTTTCAGCCACTTACCCTGTTCTCGATCCGAAGCTTTCTTTTCCAGAGAGAGAGAGATAGAGAGAGAGAGGGTAGACGGTGAAGTGTTTCCGAGGATTTCAAAAGACATTTTATAGGGAGAAATTAGAAAAGGAGAATTTAAAAGAAAAAGTAGCCGTTTCTTCGTAACATCTCCAACGGCTAGGGGATTGAAATGTATCCGTTAGAGCGTCCACTGCTGTCGGCTTCTGTTTATGAGCCAGATACTTTTTCAATTTTTATATTCTTCAGGGACTCAAACTGTAAATTTGGATACTGAAGAGGCCTATTTTGAATTAAATACAAATAACGTGGTTGAAACCAAACTACTCTCCAATTGTAAAAATTACTAGACGTACTGATTAAAAATAAATTATTAGACAGTAAAAGAAAATGTGTATAAACAAAAGTAAATAAGGATTTTACGTGAAACATCAAAATAAATGGTAATAACAGTATGGCAAAAATGTGAAGATAAAAAAGGCATGCACTTCAATTTAGTTGTATAACTAAAAAATAGAAAAATTGATGCAAAATGAAAATAAAATTGAGAATACTCAATGTAAATATTTTTGTAAAAGCAAAAAACAAAAATACCGATGCTTATATATATCCAATGGTAACTAGAATTAAATTCAAAAGATCAAAGAAATCATGAAGAAAACGTTCATCTTTGAAAATGGGTATTAAATTAAAAAAAAGTTTAATAGATCAACGGTCCGATTACTAAATTATTTCATTGATCACGATACATTGATCCATAAATATAGTATCAGGCTTCATCTTCTAGGTTCTTGTGTTCACGATCATTACGATTTTCAAATACGGACCATCGGTTTAATCGAACACGGGTTGAAGATACCTGAAAAGGGTGACAGAAATTACTACCATCATACATCTTACTATAAAAATATACTTTGATTATACTATTATTATTATTATTAATATATATATATATACACACACGCACCTCGTGGTCCCAGTCGGTTCTCAGTGTCATTCCTACGAGGACCAAGGTTTGGAAGAATATTCCGACAAGCATCCCAATCCAAATGCCCTGCCGGTTGAGTTTCCCAATTAACAGAAATTAGTGAACCAACCACATAAGGTATTGTTAATTTTAACTTCACAAAATATATAAAAATTACCAATATTTAAAATCAAACAATATATATATATATATATATATATATATATATAAATATATGAATATAAAAGACTTACTTTGACTTGCCAACCAAGGGTGTAGCCAAGAACGATCCCAACAGGGATACCGATAACGTAGTAACAAGCGAGGTTTACGTACGCTACGTAGCTTTGCCATCCTGCCCCTATGGAAACCCCTGCTTCCCCGTGCATTCAAACCCATTATTCATGCACATATATACACACTCACATATATATATATATAACCTAAAATGATGAAAATGGAAAAATTAGGGTTACCCGATAGAACGGGCTGAACACTGTTCAAGAGGATGGTGAAAGCAAGAAAAGGAGACAGATCGGCCACTTCTTTCGCCACGGCCTCGCTTTGGGTGAATACGTATGAAATCGTTCCTCTAAGGCACAAGAACACGACGAACAGAACAAATCCCAATGCCAACGACGTGCCTGTCGCTACTATCGTTGCGAATTTCGCCCCCTTGGAGTTTCCTGCCCCGAGCTCGTTCGAAACCCTAACACTGTTTCCCAAAGATTATATATATATATCAACCCATGATTTGAAATATAAAACATTTTCGGCACAATAACAAAAAAAAAATTATGAATGTGAAGGGAAATGGTCTAGCTAATCAATTTTCTTGTGAGATTGATGCATGAGATATCTTAACCGGAAATATATAATATATTTATGGCATATCTTTTTTTCAATAAAATGTAGATGTTATTTATCGTGCATATGATGTTAATCCAAGTAGGTAGTGGTTACCATTATATTGCGAATGGACCGTGCAAATTAATACACAAAATATTTTGTAGTGGTTACCATTCTATATATATATATATTCATTAGGTATCATATATAAATTTACATATCTACAAACCTACCTTACTGCCGCATAGAAACCCAGCGATATCATCGACTCTAATCCACTGACGTTGAGACTGAAATTTAACAGAAGAATATTGAATCAATTAAATGTAAATTACTTCAAGGTGTAAGATAAGAAATTTACAATTTTCAACAAGAAAACAAAGACGTTAGATGAATGAAGAGTATATATATATAGTTAATATGAATTACCAAATTGAAAGAGCATCGACAGCAACCTCTGCGTTTTTCAAGTTCCCCGTGAAGAGAACCAAGATTGTTGGGTACCATAGCTCAAGGCTGCAAAATTAAACACAATAATTAACGGAATTAGAATAATCTAACTAAAGTATGCGATTTAAATTTTATAATTCATATGTTTTAAAAGGGGTGATTAGTAATTTTAAAGAAAATCAAGAGTAATATCGATTTTTTTAAAAACATGAGGATGTTTTCAATAATATTGATATATATCAATTTTACTTTTATTACTATGACCAATATATATGTGTGTTTTGTGTATATGTATAGATATGGAGGAGACTGAAAGAAAAAGGAAAGAACCTTACCAAAGCATGCCGCCGGAAGAAAGGGAGAGCTTGACAACGGGCCAGAGGTCTTTGAAAGCTAAAAGAGACCAGCCCGTCCAAGTCTCTCGACAGCCGCCGCAAATGATGAACAGAAGCTGGCAAATGTTGGGAAACCAGTAAGCGACGAGCGTCGAGATCATTGCCCCGTGGATTCCCAGCTCGAAATGAACCATCAACAGCCACGAAAGGATCAGATGCATGACCACCGAAACCGCGGCCACGTACGCTATCATCCTGTTCTTGCTCTGAGCTTGCAGGTACATCTGGCAAGTGAACGACGGGATAAACGAGAAATTCACGCCGAGGATGTACAGTGCTATTATCCTTGCCACTCTCACTATATGTTCTTCTTGCCCCAACGCTATAAATATCGGACCTGTGGTAAGGATCAAAGAGGAGAGACAAGACATGTTAGGGTTTTAATTGAGAGATTGTATTTAAGGGTTTAGGGTTAGGGTTTAGAGAGATTGTATATTAATTAAGGTTGTAATAAAGATCGATGGGTAGGGACGAGACCGGAGAAGATGTAGACGGGCATGAGACAGATCGAGCAACAGGTTAGAACGATCCACGATCGTTGGAGGTAGATTCCGAGCATGGAGTATTGTTTTGCTCCGTAAGCTTGGCCACACAACGTTTCAAGCGCACTGGCCATCCCTAACTGCACCATCCAAATTGAAAATTCCATTCTTAAGCATAGAAATGTATGTATATGTATGTATGTATGTATGTATGTATGTATGTATGTATGTATGTATGTATGTATGTATGTATGTATGTATGTATGTATGTATGTATGTATGTATGTATGTATGTATGTATGTATGTATGTATGTATGTATGTATGTATGTATGTATGTATGTATGTATGTATGTATGTATGTATGTATGTATGTATGTATGTATGTATGTATGTATGTATGTATGTATGTATGTATGTATGTATGTATGTATGTATGTATGTATGTATGTATGTATGTATGTATGTATGTATGTATGTATGTATGTTGTATGTATGTATGTATGTATGTATGTATGTATATTTAGTGTGTTAAAAAATTGCACATTAAATTTTTTTGAAAAAGAAAAAATAGTGTATTAAAGTTTTTCAATTTCAAAACATATGCACCGTACCTTTTTTTTATATTCAGATGGATTTGTTGGTTCCCTAAATCTTCGTCCCAACATATATATTGTATTTTAAAGTCAGTTATATATTAAATGGTTCATTCTTTTGTAATTCAATTCTAATACACTGATTTTGTTTTCCAAAAATATATTCGTGAAAATATGTAAAGAGATAACATAGAATAAAATGTAATGAAATAATTTGACTAAAAACAAGGATTTATATGACAGAAAACAAAATAAAATAAATTCCAAAATTCGATGTTCACTGCTAAATGCAAAGAGCCCAAAAAAAAGCATTTTTTTTACACAGTGGATATTTTCGTGAATAAAACGGAATTGCAATAATTAATTCTTCATAATCGATGGTTAATCACTGAGATTAAGGGGGGAAAAAGTTTTACTGTAATAGGTGTTAATGTACAAATATTTTTATATTTACTCCTTTTAGATTTTTCAAAAAAAGGGAAATCACTTTGCCAGTAGCTTTGACTGCCTACTACATATGCTTCTGATGTTTATCTACCTATAATTAATATCATTAATTGCCATTTTGCTATTGAAACGGCAACTTCTTTTTTTATACAACTAATTTGCTTATAATAAAAATCTAACATAAATTCGACACAAGATTCTCTTAATATAATATCAATATATATTTCGAGATATTTTCCAAAAGTATTATTTTTTTTTAGATTACATAATATAAAACCATAAATTATATCTAAACACACAAGATACAAAGATGTCAATCCTCTAAGCATCAAAACAACAAAAAGAGAAAACCATCGAAACGGATTAAAAATCAAAATGGAACTAACGAAACAATTAATGGGTCAAAATAGAGAGAAAGGAATAGAGTCTCGAACTCACCAAGATACCATTGCTGAACCTCAGAAGAACGGTGAAGGCGATGGAGTAGGCAGCCAGCTCCGTGGGGCCGACGTGGCCGATGAACGACTGACTGATCACAAACACTCCGAACGTCGAAAACCTCGTGAATATCGCAGGCCCCGCCACCTTCCAAAGCTTCTTCGACTCCTCCCACAACTTCTCCTTGAAGGTTACGCCCTCGTGATTCTCTTCCTTCCCCGCCTCATGTCTCAGCAATTTCTCTTTGAGATCTACGCTCTTTCCTTCTCCTTTCGCCATCCCCACGAGCTCGTTTCTTTTTTTTTTTTTGTGGGGAAGGCGAGAAGAGGTGTAACACTATGTTGGTTGGTGTATAAGGAGTGAGTAATGGGAGGAACACAACGATAATGATTTGTACGTGATGGGGTCAAGCAGGTTTTTAAGGATGTCTCAATTCCGGTTCATTATAGATTACTTTCGGTTTATTCCGGTTAATCCACTAGATACCTGCTTCGAGATAAGATCGAAACAAAAGAGGAAATTACTTATTTATTTATTTATATAAGGAAAATCAGTTTCGGAAGTATATTCTTGGCTCTGTGTTTTCCTTGTAGAGGGGCTGTCGGGTTGTTTCTTTGGGTAACGTAAATTTACGGGTGAGAAATGGGAAAGTTTAGCAAATCCGCGGCCAAAATGAGAAATAATAAAGTGAACTACTATTTACTCTCCACGGGATTTCTTGAGTGAGGAAATCTTTATGAGGAATCTTGATCCAACTCGAGATTTCCCATATCAAGAAATTATGAACAAACATAATAAATAAATACCAAATAAAAAAAAAATCAAGAAATATCGAAAAAAGAAAGAAACGTGGAGGAAAAAAACACTAGAGAATTTGAGGAAATTTTAGGCTAATAAAACATAGAAGCTGCTTTAAAAATAAAATCCATCGTCATTAAACATGTCGGGCTAAGACATATGCGTTGCAGATTCGATTCGATTATTTTTTTATTTGGATTTTTCGAAAAAAATATCCTCGTTCAATTTTAATTGGGTTTTCCTTGAAATTTTATTATTTTATATAAAGATTTTTTACTTATATTATATTTTTTTGTTATTTTGATATTCCAATTTAATTTGATTTAGAGATAATTATACTCTGTCGATTTTTAGACCCAACATAAATTATTTGGTTCGATATTTTATACTCTGTAATTTTCGTGATTGCAAAAACTTTGTAGTGGCTTTCAAATAAAACAAAAACAAAATAAAAAAGATGATTAACTTTCAATTTTTTTAAGTATTAGCGAGAAAATGTAACAATTACTTTAAATCCAGTAAAAATCGTAGGAATCAATTACACGTATTGAGATTTGACAACGAGGGTGAAAGCAGTGATCCGACAAGATCCCTTACTTTCTAAGAAACTTAATGCGACACACCTTTTATTTCTTTTAAATTAAAATTAAATATATTTTCTATGATATTTTACGAGTATATGTATTTTTATTGAGATTCACGATACCATATATTTTGTCATTATTTTATCAAGGTATTTAGTTTCGTAGGTATTTTATGAATCTATATAGAAATATGTATAATGATATTTTGCTAATCTATGTATTTTTATTCATTTTTAGAGTTTTTAAAACAATTCTTTTATTAATAGTTAAAATATAAGGGAAGGAAAAAAACTAATATGTTAAGTCTTTCGTTGTTGATGGTTATCGCTAAAAATATAAATCTTATCTTACATTGAAAAGGGAATGTTTGGTCTAATCTTGCAAATCTTTACGTGGATGTCACTTCAAAAATTAAATTCATATATATCATCAAAAAATAATTTTTCATCTTCATTTACATTAAAATCTGGTTTATATCATTTCAATTTTAACCAACTATGATTCTACAATCATGAGAATATTTAAAAAAAAAATCAAAGATTAAATTATAAATCACAAAATATAAAAATGAGATTTACGAATTCAATATTCTAATCTATATTCATAGATTGGTTCGAGTGAGAAGATCATTTCATTTTCGCCTCTATTTTTTGTATCTTTTTTTTTTCATTTTTTTTGTTGATTTCTCTAATTTTTTTCTTTCATTTTCCCCTTTAATCACAATTTTAGAAAAAAGTAGTATTAATCACGGGGGTGTATACGCACCTAAATGTTGAGACACCACCAAAGATGGTAGATTCCTCTTTTTATGGAAATGAACATTTTAAAAATAAATATATATATATTCCCTTTCCTTCGGATTTAACTTCAATTTAAACAAAATGGTATATCATAGAACGCTATACGTACAAACGACGGGTCAGACCAAGTAGTTTAATTATGTTTTTATGATTTATATATGATATAACGATGGTAGCCATCGCCTATATACCTTAATATATAAATTATAAATATGATATGTGTGTATATCGGATGGTTTTAGTAGTTCTCTATGTGAAATTTCATTTGGGCGTTGGTACATATTTTAAATTTACCGTTGTAACATTATAGATTTAAAATTTTCTAAACAAATATGGAATAATTAGATGGAATAATGCTTAGTCACCAATTATCTGTATTATAAATTTTTTTTTATAGATATGGAAAAAGTCCTAGTAATATATTAGTTCAATCTATAAATATTACAGATATATTCTGTTGTCTTTCAGAAGTCGGTAGATCTTATTCCAAAAAAAAAAAAATGGAATTCCCAGGGCACCACCATCGCCACCACCACCGTCGTGACGACGATGAAGAGCGTGGACTCTACGCGCCACCGCCTCCAAACGCCTTTTTTACCGCCGCTCCTCCGCCACCGCCTCAATCCTACCACCCAGGAACCCATTTCGCCCCACCGCCTCCGCCGTACCGCGGTGAACCTTTCGCGCCACCGCCGCCTGCCGGCGTCCACTTCACAGCCGCTCCTCCGCCACCTCCGTCGTTCGGTGGGGCGACCCATGTCCACCACACCAGCGGCGAGCCGTATCCGGCTCCGGAGTACCGTTACGGAGGCTACGTGGCGCATCCGCCGCCGCCTAATCCGACCTTCGAGAGCCAGGGAGGCGATTTCACCGGAGTAACCCACGTCTCTCACAGTCCATCGCATCAGACCCACTCTTCTGTTTTCCACCAGAGCCATGAAGCGAACCGTCTGCCGGCAAATCTTGCCGGGCTCGCCGGTAGACCCACCGTGAAGGTTTATTGCAAGGCGGAGCCTAATTACTATCTGGCGATCAGAGACGGGCAAGTCATTCTTGCTCTATCTGATCCTTCTGATGAGGCACAGGTGAAGAAATTAATCTGTTTTTTCTTTTTTCTGTTCATATCATTGTATTCGACCGTCTTCAATTACTTGTTTCTTGGTAACTATTGGAATTCGCCGTTGCAAGACTGCATTTCTTGCTGATGTTGATCTGATCCAATTGTGTCTGATTCAGAAAAATAGTTTTAGGCGCATGGAAGAAGGACGAAGGATCAGAGTCCAGGCGAATCATATGTTTTTGTGTTTGATCTATGTGTTGTGTATGAAACTACCTATACATTCAGCATTATACTATTATTATGTCTGAAAGGACCATCTAGTCAGATTTCTATGGAACTATGAAGATATGGTTCTTGTTTATCAAATTGGCCCGAAAATCAGGCAGAGTACGAGTCTCGGGTCTCTGTTGGGTTCAGTTTCTTCGGGTACACTGTAATGACTCTCGTGTCCGTATATCAATGCCTGTTAAACTATCTCCATGTTCTTTTCAGCTTCGTTATATTCTGATTGGCGTGTTTACTCTGTTCTGAGTTTTGGTTCTGGCTTTGAGTTTGGAGACATATCTTAAGCAACTGTCTAAGGCCTGAATCATCATTGAGCATCCTTAAGTTAGAAATGAAAAAGTTTGGCATCTTAGTTCATAAATTAATATGCTCGAGATTGTTGAAACCGGTTCTGCCTCGATGCGGTTGTTCTTTGAAATTCCTCACTTACTCTTATGGGTGTATAGATTCGGGACTATTTTCAGGGGAGTACAAGTGTATTCTAGGTTATGTTTGCCCATAAATAATTGGTTTAACATTGTGACCATTGTCTCCAAGTTTTCGTACTCTCGGTTGATTTTACTTATGTGGGTGTCCATATATCTGATTTTTCTGGGTGTAGCATTGGTACAAAGACGAGAAATACAGCACGAGGATCAGGGATGCTGAGGGGTGCCCTTGTTTTGCTCTCATAAATAAAGCCACGGGTGAAGCTTTGAAGCACTCTATTGGAGAAACTCAACCCGTAAGCGCTCTAGCTTCTCTCTGCTTCTGGAACGGCATCTTTTGTTCTCCGTATCTTAAAGTCGATGGGTACATATTAGCAACTGGGAAAGTGTAGAAATTGTTGTTCTGCGATGTAAAATTCAGCGTTCAAACAGTATTTCGGCTACGGATATATCCTCAACAGCTACCGTCATCTTGTCCTCATCAATCTCCCAAACACATTCTTGTTTTCCTGTCTGGTTTCTGATTTGTGATAGGATGTGCCATGACCAGGCCACTTTTACTTCTCTCTCTTTCAAGTGTTTAAGCCTCATATTGTATGTATATGTTTGCACTTGCAGGTGCAGCTGATTCTGTATGATCCCGATAGGCTCGACGAGTCTGTGCTGTGGACAGAGAGCAAGGACTTGGGTGACGGGTACCGTACTGTAAGGATGGTTAACGATATACGGCTGAACGTGGATGCATATCACGGTGACCAGAGGTCTGGTGGCGTCCGTGATGGCACACTCATCGTCCTCTGGAGCTGGAACAAGGGCGACAACCAGAGCTGGAAGATCGTTCCTTTCTGTAAGCTCCCCTCAACCTTTCCTTTCTGCTGATTTATTGGTTAATCTCTTCGATTTCTTGTGGTCTGTTTTTTTTTTTTTTTTTTTTTTACATTTGCAGGATAACTCCGGTTTATGGAACTATGTTGTGGGGAGTTTGGTGAATAAAAGAAGAAAGTACATTTTCTATGTACGTTTCTTCTCATGTTTGGTCTGTTGTTTGTCTTGTTGAAGTGAAAATAATGTAACATGGATCTCTCCCCTCTTCCGAAGGAAGAGAGACGTGTGTCGGATTTCTATTTACAATTTGGTATCTTTATTTGAGATGGATATTTCGGGGTTTTCTTTTATTTTGATCTAATTATTTTCTCTTTTGAATATTTTAGATTTTGATAAATTATACTCGACTAGTTTTTATATTGAATTTGATTCAATGCGTTGCTTTATTTTATTCTCGTATTTTTTTTATAAAAAAATGGATTTTAAAAAACTATATTTATTTGATTTTTATATTGAATTCAAGACTACAAACCTTTGTATTTGTTATTGCTCCTATCTTTTTCTTCTTATTTTTTTCTTTTAAAAATTCATATTTTGTTCGAAAATATTAATTTTTAATCAATTGAATTCAAAATATGCTTAGGCCTTTCCAAATGGGTATAATATTTTCTTAGCAGACGTCAATTGTGAATTCATTTACGATCCCTATTATTATCTATAACCAAACTATATATTATATTTGGTCTTTTTTGTAATCAATTTTTTTTTCCACGTAATCTCTTTGTATACGAAATAGAACATCGTCGATTTACCATTGTATAACACATTTAATGGGGGAAAAGGGTCTCGATTGGTCAGTTTTTGATACTTCATAGCAGTGTGAAAGCAATTACAAGTAATAGATTAATTAGTGATTAAGAAAGGGATTATATTACATTAATTAAGAAGATTATCTTCTGTGACAAATCTGATCACATGCAGATATGCCTCGAGCCTCCAGAATATCCAATCTGTCCGGATGCCGTCCAACTGTCTCTAACCATGAAACAGTCAATTAGGGTTTTTTGAATGTCTACTCATCATCATGATTGATGCTTCAAAAAAAAAATCGTTGAATAATAATAATAATTATATATATTGTTTTCCTTCAAATTCTAATGACATTTTGGTAGCGTTTAATTAAGATGAGTGAGAAGATGGCAACAAATGGTATGTTTATAGTATCTGATGTCAATTTCGGAATATATTTTGAAAAAATGTTTTATATTTATATGAACAAAAAATGGGTGGTAACGATGTTGAAATTAAAATTGTCATTCGATTAGTTTAGATTTCATTGATTCGTAGCCTATTTAATTTTTTTTATTTTCATTAAAAAATATTTATTTTTTAATAAGTTTTTTCTGTCCAATTCAAATTTTATTGTTTTTATAAAAAATTTTGATTTTATGTAATAGGAGCAAAAAAGTTAACCGCAAAACATAATTGACACAACACACACATAATAAATTTAGTAAATGACCTGCAATTATCTTACATATTTTCATGTCAATTACGAATCACTAAGATGTCATTTATTTATGGGATCGATTAATTATTTTATGGGGTAATCGCATAAAAATACCCGAACTTTTACAAAAATCCCAAATAAATACTCGAACTATAAAATTGTCATATAAATACCTGAACTTTTCAAAACTTCCACATAAATACCCAAACTTTTAAATTTTTTCCAAATCAAACAAACGCAACTGCTGACTCAATAAAAAACTGGTGATTCAGCAAAAAAAATTGTTGACTCAAGAAAAAACATGCCAATTTTAATAATATTTTTGAATGATGAATCAACAGTTTTTTGTTGAGTCAGCAGTTTTTTTGCTAAGTTAACAGTTTTTTACTGAGTCAGCAGTTGCGTTTGTTTGATTTAAAAAAAATTTAAAAATTTGAGTATTTATGTGAGAGTTTTGAAAAATTTAGATATTTATATGATAATTTTATAGTTCGGGTATTTATTTAGAATTTTTGTAAAAATTCGGATATGTTTATGTGATTATCCCTTATTTTATATATTTTATTTACTTGGAAAGATTGTTAAATGTTATCTTCTAGCACACGTCCATCTGAGTTGTCCTACACTTGGCGAAATATAGACCCCACGATTGCGGAAGCACGATGACGTGGAAGTCCTGTCACCATCGGATTGTGGGACCCTTTGTTCCCTTTGATTCGGCTTTGAGGGTAAAAAAGTCAAATGCTTTTTCGAGTTCTCATTACTCAAAAGGATTGGGCCCACTCGGAATGATGACATTTGTTATAAGGAAATTTGATGAAATATAAAATGAATCGCGAGGTATATATTTTTATTTATTCTTAATATATATTTTTTACGTTTAAATTGTGAATATTCGGTATTATATATAAATTGAATTGATTTATATAATTATAAATTGAATCCGAATTTGAAAAAAATATAAAATTAATTGAAAATTTTAAAATCCAATTTTTTTTTTAGAAAGCGGATGTTTTCTCATTAGTAACCAAATCTAAATCAAAATATATGTAAAACCGAAATTCGTATCCTAATTTTTTATTACCTGTCATCGAAGTCTTCTTATTAAAGCAATAAATAATTTCAACTAAAATTAAAGAATTTAAATATGAAAAAAAAAACCATGGACCCACGTCCCATAAACCCTCCGTTTTTCAAGCTAAAAAATTGTTTATTAGAACATGAATATACACAGTATTAGTAATACCATTATATTATTATCTAGAATATATAGAAAATTTGTATTTACGACACTGACAGAGGTTTAAATTTATTTACCTCTAAATAAAGTAAATATCAAACCGATATATTTAATATGTAATATCAAATTTCCATGCGAAATGATTCGGTAATTTTTTTGGTCCTTTTTATTTATTGAACACTCTTTACTAATCGATGGATCACATCCAATGAATCTATCACTATGACAATATATCCCAATAGAAATATAAATAAATTAAACATGAAAATTAATAATAAAATTAATTGGTGAATTATTTGTCCGTGGCTTCTTCAACAATATAACCAGTTTTCTTGCAGCCCACGGAATTTACCTCTAACGAGACTTGTCCCCTCGAAGAAGCTCCTTTATATAAGCACCGTTTTCTTCCTCTTTTGTACTTTTTTCTTTCACACATCCCTCTGAAATTTTCTCCTTATATTGATCATTCTTCTATACAAAACACCCACGGATATATATATATATATATATATATATACACACACACACGATCTTATATATATCTCGAGTTTCATATAGAGCAAAAGCTTCTGAAATCCACCTTCTCAATCGGTTCATTTTTTGACAAAATTAAGATCCGGGTTTGTCTTTGTTCCTCTGAGTTGCATCAAGAAAATTCATTGAAAACCGAGTTTTTTTCTACGGATTTTCGATCAGGCCCCTAATCAGACAGAGATCTATCTTGTTCTTGAATCTGCAGGGTTTTTGTGTGGAAATGGAGGAAATTGAGAACAACAGCAAGGGAGGGGGACTGGTTGACTTGCCGCCCGGATTTCGATTTCATCCAACGGACGAAGAGATCATAACTTGTTATTTGACGGAGAAGGTGATGAACAGCAAATTCTCAGCCGCCGCGGTCGGTGAAGCCGATCTTAACAGGTGTGAGCCTTGGGATCTACACGGTGAGTGTATATACACATATATAATCCCATCTCCGAGCCTAAGTTTCTTTCACGACTGTCAGAATTCAAGGGTTTCCGATATTTACGATCAAGATTCAATCTTTCTTACTCGTTTCTTGCACGCATCTGTTCCATGTACGGCGTTGCAGAGAAAGCGAAGATGGGGGAGAAGGAGTGGTACTTCTTCTGCCAGAAGGATAGGAAATACCCGACGGGGATGAGGACAAATCGCGCGACAGAGTCCGGTTACTGGAAGGCGACGGGGAAAGATAAGGAGATCTTTAGAGGCAAAGGGTATCTTGTCGGGATGAGGAAGACTCTTGTCTTCTACAAAGGAAGAGCCCCTAAAGGAGAGAAGACCAATTGGGTCATGCACGAATATCGTCTCGAGGGAAATCTCCCTTTCCCCAACCTCAATAGGTTCTCCAAGGTATATATATACACACCTATATATATGTATGTATGTGCATGACCACAAACCATATATACGTTCCTAGATTGTTACAGCACTTTATGTTATGGTGAGAAAAAAAAGAGAAAAAGGTTGAGTTTTTCTTCTTCTTCTTGGTATAGTTTTTGCCATTTAAAGTGTTGCAGATTGCATAGTGTCATGCATATTTCACTGCTTTGGCATCGTTTCTTTAGTGTTTGGCTAAGAGTTTCTTTCACGTAGGTGTCGAAAAATCACAACGTTGTGTGTTAGAGAAGGTTAGAATCTTTCGAAAGTTAGTAACTTTTTTTTTGTTGAAAGCTTTTTTTTATTTATTATCAATCAAAATATTATAAAGTTTAATCAAAATACTAATGTTAGTGAAAACATATATATATATATAAATACGTGCAGGACGAATGGGTTGTCTGTAGAATTCACCACAAGCATCTTGGATCATCAAACAAGATCCCGATCGATGAAAACGCGATGAACTCGTTCGACCAAAATATCGGTTCTTCTCTCTATGGCCTCTCCTCTCTCCCTCGACTCGTTGACACGAGTTCCTCGAGTCGACCCGGTCCTAGTTTCTCCGCAGGGGGTCCACCGGAGTTACAGTACACCGCCGCAAACCAATACTTCAGAGCTCCACTAATGCAGCAAAACCCTAATGAAGTGGGCGTTTCGTTCTTAAACGGGTCGGGTCATGGAGATACGTGCAGGACGAATGGGTTGTCTGTAGAATTCACCACAAGCATCTTGGATCATCAAACAAGATCCCGATCGATGAAAACGCGATGAACTCGTTCGACCAAAATATCGGTTCTTCTCTCTATGGCCTCTCCTCTCTCCCTCGACTCGTTGACACGAGTTCCTCGAGTCGACCCGGTCCTAGTTTCTCCGCAGGGGGTCCACCGGAGTTACAGTACACCGCCGCAAACCAATACTTCAGAGCTCCACTAATGCAGCAAAACCCTAATGAAGTGGGCGTTTCGTTCTTAAACGGGTCGGGTCATGGAGAAACGGGCCCGAACCCGGAGCCGATGTCTTCAACTCAGTCGGGACTCAGCGTGGATGTGAACCACTACAACAACACGAACGATGTGTCCTCGTCGGGGCATAAGAAGATGTTCATTGGGAGTAGCGAATCTTATGAAGATTTCGCGGAATTCTTGGGGAATATTTGGGACTGCTGATTCGATGATTAGGCTCGAATATTTTTTTTCTCTATTTATATTTCATCTTTTATATATATATATATATATATATATATATTTGAAAGTAGAATGTGGTGGGTTCATGATTCGTATCGTCTCTAGAGCATAGCTAGGTTAAGTTGTAGCTAATTTCATATAGAAAAGGGGTTTGATTACAATTTCACAATTATACTCGGATTTGTATATGTATATATATACACACAAACATGTGTAGGATTCATATTCATTTCAGAGTGCTTTTAGAGATTTATACAAGGGCCAATACATATGATTTTTTTTATAACCAAATCAACCAAATAAAAATTGAATATAAAAATGACCAAAAAAGTTGAAGAAAAATTGATTTTTTAGAAAATGAAAAAGCTTTTTTTTTTAAACGTGAATCCTAATATAATTGAAAAATATGAATTGAACTAATATAAAAAAAAACTAGTGTAGATTTTATAGAAACGAATATAGAAAATAAGATAATTGAATCTAATTTCGATAGTTGAACCGGTGAATTAGAGAACATAGAGTGTTTGTTCTATCCCGAATTTGACCTTTGAATTGGGATCACATAGTTTACTTTTGATCCCGAAATGAGTGGATGATACCGGTTATCTAAAAAAAAATAATTGAAACTAAAAAAATGTTCTAAGGCCGACATGTGTATATGAAGGAGGGGATGAGGCTAACAAGTCATGTGAATTATTTCCGAATTTTACGCAGAAAATTTCTCCCTAATGTCTTTTCCCCATTTCTAAATAAAGAAAACAACGAATAAATACAATTTTAAATATATAGAAGAAAACCGACAGCGACTTCAGATAAATCCTCTGAGAAATGTTAACATGTAATGCAAGTCTTAATTAGTAATTCAAATCTTGTGTCTAAAGCAACTCGACCCGTTAATTTCATCCATGCGTAATCCCTACAATTTTCCATATTAATATTTGCAAATTAATTTAGGGATATTTTAGTAATTTAATTAATTATACAAGTGGGTACAAACATTCGGTGACTCTAGACGTATATATACCACAATTACTATGTATTTTTCATGCAGTATTATTTTATCTTATAAATCCCTAATTATATAATTAGCTGATAGTTCAGATTGCATTGAAGGATGCATGATTTGGTTCATATTTCAAAATCAGCGGTTTAGATTGCATCTCATTGTATACCAAGATTTATATATAATTTATAATTAAATATTATTATATTTATTGTATCCAACTCGATATTTCATTATTTTCTTATTTCCTTTTTTTCTTCACCGCCGCAACTTCCCAGCGTTGGCCTCAAGCTTCCATGGCTGGTCATCGGACATCGGAGCCAATCAACCTTCAGACAGATCGATCAGAGTCTCATGTCGCAGACCCGTTGGCGATAACTCTTCTGGTCCGGCATCTTCCTGATGGAATTCCTCATGATATCGTTTCTCGCCTTCTCTCCCAGTATGGAGCTTCTTCTGTTCGTCCTTGTTCCGGGGGAAGGTAATTCAATTCAATGAGTAGCCCTACGTTCGTTAATTGGTCTCAGTTTAGGATTCGAGGCCTGTTGTGTCTTTAAATCCCGTTAACAGGGGTAGTAAATTCTAGGTTTTTGTTGATGAATCTTGTGTCTGGTCGTAGTTCTGTTCATGGTGTTATATGAATTGAAGGTTTCAGAGAGATTCTAGTGATGTTTTTATTCTTTATGGCATTATGGGTCACATCATATATCATTTGAGAAGTTGAAATTTCTCTTTAGTTGTATAATTGACTTATTGGGTTTACAAAGGAAAAGATCTAATAATATATGCTTGGAGGTTTCATAAATTAGTGTTCATCTTTCAAAGGAGTAATTTGATTTGATTAGAAATATCCTTGTTGCAGGTTGAGAAACTGTGCATTCGTGGATTTCAAAAATGAAGCAATAGCCTCTCAAGCACATCGTCAGTTAAACGGGTACAACTTTGGAACTTACCCGTCTATTTCTTCTTTGTTCCCTACTATTCCATGGTATGTCTTATTTCATCTGCTATTGGATTTTGAATCAGTGATAAGCCAAGTATTGACCAGTTTTCATTTAATGGTAGGCTAGGCTGAGGTTTCTCGGAAAGGTTCTACAGGTGCAGAGGGCCAATAAGCGAAACGATAATAAGAAGTCATGTCAAATTGAAGAATCTGGGAAAGACGGACAGGAGTACTTGTCTACGAATAAGGAAAATGCTTTTACGAAAGATAGCAATGATGATCCCAACTCCAGGGCCACACTGTCTAATGAACCGATTGCTCCAAAACACGGCATAAACTATCCATTTCCTCCTCACCTCGAGTAAGTTGTTCTTCTGATATTCTTTTTAGATTCCCCTTTTTTGCTCCCTATCTCAGACGCATGCTTAAGTTCTCTTGCCCATCCGTGAAACACATAGGACCCCATGCCTGCTTTAGATACTAATTTTGTTTATACCCATGATCTGATTCACCTTGCAGATATGCATACCCTCCACCTGATCCAAATATTTTGGCGAACATCACTAATGCGCTTATTGCTGTTCCACGCCTATACACCCAGGTTTAGTTCTACCCTCATTATATACGATTGGAGAATAAGTTTGTTTTCTTATCATTTATAGATATCGGCTATTATCAAATATTAAAGAGAACCAGAAAAGTAGTTTACGCCTCTCAAGTACAGGTATTACATCTGATGAACAAAATGAATCTTCCACCTCCTTTCCGTATGGCCCTGCCGACACCACCGCTACCTTCTCCAGTATCAGCGACAGCAGCTCAGCCACCTCTACCTCCATTGCCTATGGATGTGAAACTTACTATGGAGCATCAGTCTAGCAGTGAGTCGGAGATGGAATCTGATGAGGTAAACTTCTTGTCATAAACACTGAAGTTTACGATGTCATTAAGTATGGATTCGACTGTCATGCTACCCCGTTTCAGTAACTAGAAGTTCCATTTCAAAGTCCCCATCTTATTCCCTTTTTCGCCTTTGTTCTTGGGTCAGTAAACATTCTTGTGCTGAAATGTAGTTTATTCTGAACTAGCCCTATTCTTACATGCTGTTTCCTGACCAGTTCAAAATTTTGTCATGATATTTTTTGTAGGAAATTAGTATGGCTAAATCAGGAAGAAAGCGTCCTAGACCTGAAGCTGTCATTGGTCCTGGTATAGATAAAGACGTGGCACATGAGACTGTTGGAGTGAAGCCCTCAACCTTGACACCCAAAGAGATCCCTGTGATAAAAAAGAATAAACCTGTTATGCAGGTCTCCCATCTTATCCGCAATAGCCTTTCAGGAAATATTTCTGCACGGTTCTACTGATTATTTTCTTTTGGCTCTTGGCAGATCAAGATTACGCCAAAGGTTGCTCAAAGCGAGCATAAAGAGGATAATGAAGACGAAAGCCCTGTGGAGGAGCCCAATAAGGAGGATTTGGAGTGCAAGTCTTTTGCAGCTCCAGAGGATTTGGAGAAAGGAAGGTTACCTCCAGAGGAAATTCTATCACTTCCAATGTTCAAGGTATGGAAATTAGGATATGCTGATACACACTACATGTAGAAGAATATTTGGAATTATGTGAAGACAATATATGACATCTTGACATCATCAACTTGACCCTTTTATTTTACTACAGTAAGCGAAAGTTTAACAAGAGTAGTTTGGCATATTTGTTCTGCACTTTTTGTTGCTGGAGATGTGTCCACCATTGATTGTTTGTGAAACAGTTTTTGATGTAATTTTGTAAAATAGTGTATCCTTTTTTTCTTCGTGGTATTAGATTGCATTAGATGATTTGTTATTCACATGGGTTTAGCTCAAATTTAGATGTTTAGTTTCAATAAGCTGTCTCAGTTTGGTTTAGAATGCAAAATAGCATGGTGGTAGTGGCTAGTTGATATTGGTTTTTCAACATCACTATGATTAATCAAACAAATGATTATGATTTATCTATTTATCACTAGATCCTTAGCCTTTGAGAATGCTATTTCTGGTTTTCTTGTGCAGAACTACACAGCGGGGAATCCTGCCCCTGTCTTGTACATCAAAAACCTTGCCAAAGATGTTGTTCCTGATGATTTCTATTACATATTTGGTAAGACACTTCGCTGCTACACTTGCTGTATCAGTATGCAATGCCCTTCAATGTCAAATCAACCCTCTCAGATGAAGATGTCTTGAAATTTGAGGAGTCTAAATGCTGAAATATCTATTTTCATGTCAAGAACAACGGTTGTCTCTATCTTCTGCTTGTGAAGCTTTTTTTCTATGTCGCATTGGGACTGCTGAAATCTAATATACTAATGTGCATCTCTGCTGGGGATTTTTGTAGGGTCACTGTTTGGAAGCATAGACAAAGCGAAATCCAGTCTTGGTGTGCGGCTGATGCAGGTAATTCTTCTACGAATTAAAAATGTAAAATTGTGTTAGTTTGTCGTCCAGCTTTCTGAAACATGGTTCATCATGCCTTTGGAGAAAATTGATAGCATATCTCTGAAACTCCTTAATCTGTAAAGCTTTTGAACCTCTATCTCAACCGATACAAACATGAAAGATAAGATAAAGTCACTACATGGAAAGCCTCCTGCTTGTAAATATGGTTGTGTATTAAGTTCATGATATTTCTCTGAATTCCAGGAGGGAAGAATGAGAGGGCAAGCCTTCGTAACGTTTCCATCGGTGGAACTCGCCCATCATGCTCTGGTGCAATCCCTACCCTTCCCTTGTCTGATTGTTGAAACTGAAATACAAAGCCTTATACTCTAGTGAGTAAGAAGATTGTGGTCAGAAATGAGAGAAATTTTGATAGTATTGGTTTGGTCTTGCAGAATCTCGTGAATGGTTTCATGTTCAAGAACAAGCCGATGATAATCCAATTCGGTAGGAATCCAGGAACTGTAAAGGCACAACAGTGAAGAGCAGAGGCTTCTTCATCTAACTTAGGGACTTGGGATGAAAATATGCGGAATTCGTTTCTTTGGATGTGTTTTTTTTTTCCATGGATGAAACCGTATTTCATGTCCTAACTCTATCTCCTATGTTGTTGGAACTGTATTGTGGGCAATGGATGAAATATCTGGTCTGGTAAGTTACATAACTTACATTGCTTTTATTGTACGGAATCAGTTTTCAGTATGAAGTAAAAGGTTACAAAGAGTCTTCACTAAATTTCTTTGAGTTTGTAAGATCTTTAAAGTTGGTTTTAGTTATTTTCTACTAACAAAAATGTAAAAATATTCTACTAACAAAGAAAGGTTTACAAAGAAATGTTATTATAACTTTTCAAATTGTAAAAAATAATTGTTTTTATTATAAAAGTATGAAACTTAGTTAGTGTTATACATATAGATATTAAACTACATTACCTAGTCCTGTAGTTTAAATCTCCAATAATTATTAATGATGCTAAATTATCATAGTTAAACCTTTTTTTTTATTATAATAGTTTGAAACAAGTGATCAATTATCTATGCGATCGCTTTCTATTGTTAACAGTCGTTCATGTCATTCAATTTCTTTTCATTTTCATAAATATATGATACTTGGTAAAAAATAAAAATGGACGTGTGTTAATGGTTGAAATTAATTATGTCAGTTACTGCTAAATTGTTTTAGTTTTATGTATACAGAGAATCCATAAATTTGAAGTGATAATCAAAATGATGGATTTATAAATAGCTATTTGGCCACATCAATCAAATATATATGTAATAATACATATATATTATTCAAATAGAAATTAATTACGAACATAGGTTTATCTTAATTACAGAAGCATAATATGATAAAAAAAATATATTAAAATTTTAGCATAACTATTTTAAATAGCGCGTGCTTTTTTTTTTCTTTTTATAATTTTTTGTTCGACTCTCGAAAATAAAAATCGAGCTTATTAAATTGGAAGTAGTACGTGTATATATATAAAAACAATTGCTTGAACTTCTATTAAAATTTTATAATACATAATTAGTTTATTTTGACTTTAAAAAATTGATTAGGTTACTATGGGATTTTATTTTTTAAATAGGTTAAAAGAATATTTCGTTTTTTTATATCTACCCAACAAACAAAACTTTTGGATTTATATATTTTATAGTATTTATGTTTATTTGGACCCACTTAACAACTCCTTAGCAACTCTATTAAGACATCCTTAAAATGCTAATTCGTGGTTGAAACTGATATTAATACGACTAATTCAACATGGATGAAAATAACATTTTCTAGAATATCAAACTTGGAGAAAAAGGCAAGACCCGAAGAGGATTCTTGACTGAGATGCATATCCTACTTAGCCTAGAAAAGCATGCCTTTGACAATCTTGTAATTATAAATATTAATATTATTAATATTTTCTTTTTCTAGCCATGTATTTATTAAGATCATCTGATGTTATTTCAAATTCTATGGATCATGCTTAAAAAAATAAGAAACTTATTATTAAATTTAATTTTTTTTTTAAAAGTCGAATGGTGAACAGTGTCATATTTTGATTGATTTTAAAGTTTCACTTGTGAAATTAAAGATTATAGTTAGGGTTGATATTTGTTTTATTTTGTTAAGTTTCAAATTCAATTATTTTCGGATTCGTATTGTTTTATTTTAGAAAATATATCAATTTAGTTTTTATTTTATTATTTTTGGATTTGATTGGAATCTAATTTTTCTTGAAAAATAATTGAAAATCTTTTTGTTTTTTGTTTTTTTATAGTTTCGTACTTTTAGATTGTATGTATATTTGAAATGGCTTAATTTTTAATTTTGATTAATTAAGATATTATTTGATCTAGTTGGGTTTTAGGTATCATGAAATACCCATCCATAATAATTAATACCAGATTTGTTTGCTTAATAATTTTTAATTAATTTATAAAAATATGTGAACACATTAAAATATACTCATGTAAAAAAATTGTTTATATAGTAAAACGAGATTTTGAATTCATATGAAATATACATTACACACGTTCAAGTGCTCATCTTTTATAATTTTAATTCTAACTTTATTATTATCATATTACGAATTTATTAATCATGTCATTAAGGGACGAAACTGGCAATAAAATTTATTTATCAAATTTTTTTTAAACGTATAAAAAGTGGTGGATGGTTGATGCAACTTCTCAACATATTATTAGTTCTTTCGTCCCAATCATAAGAAATTTAAATTTTGAATATTTAATTGGCTCGTAATGCTTTTTGACTTGTTCATATTAAATCTTATATTTTGTTCTTATTGTTTTTTCTATGATGCATATTAATTTTCTATATTTTTATTTGTTCTATACATATTAATACAGTGAAAATTAATGTAAAAAAAAATCTGTTTATGCTGCAATGTTACATTCAACATTTTGGATTTATATTTCCAAAAGTCTAATAACAATAAGACATCAAATTTTGCACAGAGAATAACTATATGTATTACCAAAAAAAAACTATATGTATTATTTTATGTCTCCATGGGGTCGATAGAGATATTTTTATATACGAACGGAGACTTGGTAAATATTTTTTAACTGCTGCTTTTGAACGTATAATCACAAAAAATTATTATAATATTAATAGTAGAATATGTCGTCTAACGTGACTGTTCATTAGTTCCCTTATAAATACTCACGAGTGCTTTGTGTCCATGCAGCAACACATCTCACTTCGCTCTTACAACAGAAGCAGCAAACGCTACAAAGCTTTTGTAAGAGCACAAGGAGAAACCTTCTGTCTGAAGATGAAGTTTTCCTGGTCTCTTCTTGTTGCCATATTGGCTACGGCCTCTTCCTTTGCCTCCGCTTACGATCCAAGTCCTCTCCAAGACTTCTGCGTCGCCATTAATGACCTCAAGAGCGGCGGTACGTCGATTTCTTTGCCCTTTTTACCATTTTTTCTCGATTTCGATAATACGCATTAACATGTACGTAACTCTTGTACGTGATGCCTTCAAAACTCGCAGTGTTTGTGAATGGGAGGTTTTGTAAGGATCCTCAACTAGCCAACGCCAATGATTTCTTCTTCTCCGGTCTGAACAAGCCCGGAAATACCAATAACCAAGTCGGTTCGAACGTTACAACGGTGAACGTCGACCAGATTCCCGGCCTGAACACATTGGGAGTGTCTTTAGTACGCATAGACTATGCCCCTTACGGCCAGAACCCGCCTCACACTCATCCTCGTGCCTCGGAGATTCTCGTGGTCATCGAGGGAACTCTACTCGTCGGTTTCGTCTCGTCCAATCAGGACAACAACCGTTTCTTCTCTAAGGTCTTGTACCCTGGTGACGTTTTCGTCTTCCCCATCGGTATGATCCATTTTCAGGCTAATATCGGGAAGGTGCCCGCGGTTGCGTTTGCGGGTCTCGGCAGTCAGAACCCTGGAGTTATCACGATCGCAAACGCTGTTTTCGGGTCGAACCCTCCGATCAATCCAGAGATTTTGGCGAGGGCGTTCCAGCTGGACGTGAAAATCGTTAAGGAGCTTGAGGCTAAGTTTGCGGCCTGAAGTCTATTGAAACGACACAACATATCGTGAGAATGCGCCACTTTGTTATCTTGTGACAAAAGTTATATAATGTAATAAAACAACGGTTTTGGGCCGTTATCTTATCTGTCATAGATTCATATATATTGGCTTTGTGTAATATCCCTGCCGTGGACATTTCGAAGTTGGTTTTTGCAATTAATAAATGATAAATACTTATCTTATCAAAGTTTTTTTTTATTGTTTCTGTTCTTAATTTCGATCCTTGTCTTTGTTAATGTGTTTTGTAAGGAATTTGTATACCAGTTTATAACTTATATCAGACATATTTCAGTGGCTTAATGAAATTATTATACATAAATAATAAAACTCGAGTTTCTATATTTTTTTTAAGGGAAACAAAACTCAAACCAGTTAATACAAATATTCAATGTTAGCTTAGTTTTCAAAGTAATTTTTTATTTTATGTTTACCTGAGTAAAAATGGGCAGGTAAAGAAGGGTAAAACCATTGCATTTTGAATTAAATTAAAAAAACGATAGTGCCAAAAAAAAAAAATCACAAGGACAATAAAAAGAACGGGAGAAAAACATGGCAAAACAGTGTCATGCACAAAAACAAAATATTATCATACAAATTTGATTACAATAATATTACGGATATACATAATTACCAGAATATTTTGATTGTCACAGGATACCCAAAACTCAACTATTCGGTACAAGGATTTGAGATTGAATTTCGAACCGTTCAAATTCTGAATTCGATTAACCCAAACTATCAAATATCCGACCGTTACGTACCGTCGAAATCTAAGTTTGCGGCCTAAAATCTATACCAAAATTCTTCAAATTGTTCGGATATGTAAAATTTGAAGATCGAGCAGGTTAGGTACTCTACGTTGTTGACAAATAATAAGGGATGTAACATCACACGAGTCCGATCGAAACATTTTTGGAATCAAAATTCAAAATCATGCCAAATCGAACCAGATCGCGAACCGACAATGGTTTAGTTTTACAAGTATACGAAATTACAAATACAAATAGAATTTAATATCATATTTATTTGTGTTTGAATGAATTATAGTTTTCTGTTTGTTCAGACTGGATACAAACAAACGCATTTGTTAATTTATTTAATTAGACTACGAATTACTTGATATATAGAACATTTATAAAAAAAAAAAAAGATCCCAAAATTTTTATATTTATTTATATTTGGAACTTTTAATATAAATGTTAAAAACCAAAATGATATTCAAGATTAAGATGGCGCTTTCTGCAAAGAACCGCCTCGTTTGTCACACTAGCTACGTGAACCGAGATAGATAAGGTTGAGTAATTCATGACCCGTTTAAAAACGAGTCAAGCCGGGCCGATTTAACTCAGAATCTACGAGGGCCAAATCGAGCCGACTCGTTTTACACCGCCAAGCACCACAATCTAAACGCGGGTTGTAAGCTTACCGGCGTACTTGAGGAAACTTGATCAAAACAAGCAACTTTTGTACATAGAGTCAGAGTGCATAGCCATGTGTGATCGATCCCTTAATCCACCCAAATCTGATAACCCAAAAGATTCAGAAACAAAAAAGATAGAAGATCTGCCCAACCCTCCGTTCGTTTACATTACAGTTGCATCCCCAAGAAAGTTAAAGAGACATGCCGATTGATAATGGCAACCAAAACTTCTGAACTGACCTTAGAAACATAGCTAAGGTGGGCAAAGGAGGGACACGCCACCCAATTTGTAATAGCCAGTATCCGGTAGTTAGTGATCGTCAAAAGGGGAGGGTTGTACCTAAGTTCATTCATTCTAACATGAGATCCGCAGATTCTTCCGTGACGGGCTTGGATCCTTTCTTCTTGTTACCTGTGCCATTGACGACATTTATGTTATTTCAAATATCAGCCAAGTCAAGAAAGTTACAGGACTGTGCACAAGACATTCAAGGCTCACCTTTGCGGTTCAATGTCTTGAGCTTCAAGCTCTTCTTCACGCTGAACTTTTTCGAGGTTTTCTTGGCGTCTCCAGATGTACCTATATCAGATGCTGTGACAAAAATTAAGAAACCAGCATTTCAGTTTTTGTACTGTAGAAAGTGGTCAGTCAAGCAGGAAATAATACAAGTACCATAATCACAGAAAAAGAGTGTCTTTAGCATAACTAGAAACAAGTATCATGGAGCAATTCATTCATCGGTCCTAAGCCATTAAGCAGACATGACATACTGAAATCCACTGTTGTTGGAAAAGAAGGCACATCATTTGCTGGATCAAACCATACTAGTTTATGCTGACAGTGTATGACCACTATATACATTCCAGTATTTTCTTTGGTTTTACAGCGCAATGGAAAAAATCGAGAAAGAAAATGAATAACAAGTTTCTAAATAGGAAAACAGAAAAGGTAAAAAAAAAATGGTTATAGGGTGATGATAATTCTGAAAGAACATACTTTCTACAAGATCTCTGAAATAAACATAGTAAACACTTCATTGATTTTACATACATAATCTACTGATTGAATAAACGGGATAAAGTTTTTCTTATCTGAAAGAGGTTCCCTTTTCAACTCTTTCATTGAGCATCAAAGTGTGTTCGTGACCGATCATCAGAATCGAACTGAAAGTCATAATTAGACTGCCTAACATATTAGATTGTACACTACAGAATTACTAAGAGAAGACTTTCTTGTTTTAGTACAATAAATTAACAAAACGAAATCTTGGTGACTTTGCAGGAGAAATTACCTTCAGCAGAAGCCATCTCCACATCTTCCATGGTAACAAGACCCTTCTCCATCATCTCCTTCTGCTCCTGTTCTCCGTCATGAAATGGAATAGATAAAAAGAAACCCATGAAGAACTTCTACTGTTTTGAAAAACCAAATCATCTTCGAATCACACAACAAATTAAACTAAAAGAAAAACACACCCAGATAAACAAGTATCCATCTATGCTCATATACACACAGAAACCAGAACGTAGAGCCACATGCCCGTCAAAATTCCGCACTCTATCACACGAATTCAGACAATCCTGTCCCTCCAAACACCTAAACATAATGCAGTTCTCCGTCTCATACGAACGATAGATTCGAAATCACGGAAATGATCAATGAAAGAAACAAGGAGAACAACCTCAACGTATGTGAATTTGTGCTCATGTAAGAGGAATTACATACTCTGCGCCATTTCCGGAGTAGTTTCTGCTTGCGTTTGCCGGAGACGGTGAGATTCTCAGTCTTGTGCTTCAATTTTCCGGTGTTAGGATCGCCGTGAAGGGCTCGTTTTCTCTCAGCCTTGGCCGCCCTCTTCCTCTTCTGCACTTCGTTGAACTTCGCCATCTCTAAAGTTGCTTGCTTCACCTTGCAAACTAGCCCTAGACACGCTTAAAGTTTAAAACCCTAAAATCCCCCAATTTCGAAAGATATTTACTTATTTGTTTATTGGGTTTGTGGAATTGGGCTTCTAGGAAATCAGATATTTCACCTTTGGGCCATCTCTCAAGTTGCAATCTGTAATTTAGTAATTACGGAAATCAAATGTATTATTTTATAATTTAGTAAAAAAGAATTATCTCATAAAATTACGAAATTCAAATAATGTTTCGGATAAATTTAAAATGAGTAGGGCTAATGGGTATATACCATTATATGGTTTTCATGTTTCTGAATAGGACAAAATGGAAAATGGGCATTACATTAATTTTTATAAATTGGTTAGTGGTAACACGGAAATAATTTCTGTATAAAGACTTTTCTAAATTTATGAAAACCCTATCCATCCGTACGCCAATTTGTGCATTTCTTCTTGAAATAATAAATGGCTGACAAGTCAAAGGTCTCATATTCATTTATATAAACGCACATAAGTGAAACATTCTAAAATCAAATATATTTATATTTTTTAGAAAAAAAAACATTCTAAACACAAAGCTAGAATGCATAGGCAAGTGGTGGTGTGGTTCTTTACTTTGATTCTCATATTGTGTTTTGCATTGAGGACGAGTTCGGGCCAAACACAAGAGTATCCAATTACAAGTAAGTGGTATTTGTACTCTCTTTGTCTACCAACCCTTTTGAAGATTTGTACAAACGGGATTATATTATATTTGACAAATTATTTTTGGAAATCACAAAATTTTACGTGCCAAATCTTGTAAAGGAAACATAAATTCTGATTTTTTTCGATATCGGTTAGGAATAAATATTTTGATTTACATATGCAGAGAATTGAACTATAATAAAATCATATACGAGGGCGTTTCAAATTAATCCGATTTTTAAAACTGATTGATTATATATTTTTTAAATGAAATTAATTGAAATCGAAATGAATGTGAACTCAATCGGCGAAAATATAAAAATCAAATTTTTTGTAAGTAAATAGATATTCATTTTATAAAACTGAATCCAAAGAAGAAAAGAAACGAAATCAAAATGAATACATATATTTTTTTTATATAAAAACCAAAAATAAATTGAACCTAAATCCAAAGGTCATTCCTCGGTAAACAAACATCATTTTAGAAAATTCTTCACCATAAATTTTTTTAATATTATTTCATGTAAGAATTAGGGCAAAGAAATCCCAAACAACGGTTCATCGACGCCGCCATTGCTACACCGCCAAGCATTTCAGATCACGCCAAAGGCCAAAATTTTGTCGCCGGCAGTGGCACCATCTCTAGCCCAACGCCAATAAATAGCCCTTTGCATCATACCAACGGATCTTTCATGTTATTTTGATTTCTTAATCGAATGTATAAATTATCTATGCTAAGTTATATGCGATATACTATTTTTCTTTTCGGTATAATGTAATAGAAAATCTATTGCTGCTCCTCCATTTTCATGTTGTCAACATTATGGGAAAATATATGTATTGTTGTTACATCCTCGATAAGTAAAATGGAATTATTGATAATTTAATGTTTTTCTAGTTATAATATGTATTGCATTATTATCATGTAGGGTGCTAATTTAATGTGGTACGTCAAACTCCCGAGTTAAATCAGATACCATTTGTATAACATTTTTTTATTGATAATTCATTATAAATAAAAAATCGTAGACAAAATATGAAAAATAAATAAAAGAATGATCAACAACGGCTACGTACAATACACCAATACTGTATAATTTGTAAAAAAAAATCAATTTAATAAAATTGAATTTATTATGTAATTATTGAAGCCGACTAATACATGTGGTGTATAGTTAATAACAAGATATCATGGTATCATTTTCTATAATATTTTTTTATCATTATCAAAATATCTTTAATTTATAAGAATTTCTCAAATTTTAAAGTTTTGATTTTATTTTTTGTGTTAAACTCATTTTTTTAATTATTTTTATTGTTTGAAAATGATTTTAATTCAACGTAATATAATGTTTTTGAAATAATCATGATATTAATACAATACAAAATTTTAATGCGCAAGACCTTAGAAATTTCAAGCACCGTCTTGACCACCACCATACAACCATAGTCGTCTCACATGCCGAAAAATGGAAAAAGATTAGTCTTATCGAAATTAATATCATTTATTTGAAAATTCAAACCCATTTACTCGTTGATTTATTTATTTTAAAATTAAAAAGATAGCATTTTCATCATCATTATCATTATGACCAAACGTAATAAATGGTCAATAGAGTCGTAGTCAGATTCGGAAATCATTCATACGGCGAATATACATTATATAATTGCATTGAATGTGCATATACATGTTTTAAGCTATTAGGATATATTTCATATAATAATAAATAAATACGAAATATATCTATTTAATCCCCCTCTCGTCGTATACATCTCTTATATTTATTCATTATAACATCATTGTCTTTTCGCTCGTATGGTTTTGTCATCAGAGTCATGAACGCGCAAGATTCTTTGTGTGAGCATACTTAATTATTATTTTATTTTAAATATTCAAAATCAATCAATTAGGGAATTGGAATCTCTTATGGTCTATAGAAACTCATTAGAGGTTTAAAGGGCAGCCACAAATTGTACCAATTATAAACCACTCGAGTGGGAAAAGAGTATATAATTCGTTCCATGTGATTAGAAATTAAATTGCTTGTCAACTTATTCGGGTGCCAATCACTTTTGTTTTTTTTTTAACAAATAATATTTATATAGACTTAGATTTAAAAATATATATCTGTTTTATTCGTCTAATTGTCTTTGAGTTTTTATATGTTTTTCATTATTTTGCATTTATAGCTTTTTGTTTTATTTTAATTTTGATATAGCATGTTTTTAATATATATACATTTTGAATTAATTTAAAAAATTTATATATTTTTAATATAAAATTCTTTTATATATTTTGAATAAATGTTTATTAAATTATTTGTTGAAGAAAATTCTTCGAAAACCAATACCTTTTCTAATTATTAAATTACAAAACTACTTCAAGTAAAAATTATATTTGAATATAAATATATACACAATAATTATAAATTCTAAAAAACTTATTTATATTAAAAAATTTAATATGCTATGTTACTAACAATCGGATTATATATTGTTATGAAACAAACAAGATATTAAAACTGATGAAATGAATTATAGTTTTAACGAACAAGAAGGCTATAGTTTTAAAATTATGTCCTAAATATGCATGAGAAGAGAATATATGCATGAAAATGGACCGCAATTAAAAGTGGTGTTTTGTAGGAACATATTTAAAGGTTTTAAACCGTAAAAAAAAAAAAATTGCAAGTGCAAAAGAATATATGTATGAAAATGGTAAATGGACATATTGACTAAGTAAACAAAATTGTGTTTGGAGAATATAACAATCCTTGAAAAAAGATTTTATTCAACCAAGTTATATCGGCATCTCTATATATAAAATGAAAAAAAATATTATCATAGGAAAAAAAACTAGATTTTTTTTTATCAAAATGTTCACCAAAATATTTATATCAAAACTATATTTTTTCTTCTTCCAAACATCAAAATATTTTTTTTGAAATGAATCTCCAATGTTTTTTTTATTATAATGTGAAAATTTACTTTATCTTTGACCCAACTACATCTTTTAAAAAATCGGAAAAAATCGGGTGAATACCCACCCCTCTACACGATTGGATTTGAACCCTTGAGATTCCAATGTTATTATAAAACGAGCATTTCTGGGTTTTTTTTTTAAATTTGTGCCCAACTTTTCTCTACATGGAATACAATTCCGTTGCCATTCTCCTCACACGTGTTCGTCTCGTTGTCCCGATCAAACATGCATAGCCTTGAATTACACAGCCAATGAGCATCATACACGTGGCGTGCTGCTAATGAAATTGGCCAGACGTAAACCGATTTTCGGTCACACGAATAATAATATTATCTGTAGGCCGAGTTTTTGAATTCGAATTACACGATTTTACGGATGGATTTTCATGAATATCCGATGTCGTTATATGTGGTAGAGTGTTTTAGCCTCAACCAAATCGATTCACGTTCGTGGGTATCCAAAATTCAGAAACCCAAAATCTATAGATTCAATATTTGGGGTCGGATTAGCTCAAAATATTCATCTTGTATACAAGTTTCTAAGGTTAGTCCATGTATTTGCATTGCCCCCCCTCCCCCACAAATTTATATATATATATATATATATAAATCATGCTTTGAGTGCAATATATTCCTCAAATCAAATTGCCATATATAAGTTTCTTGATAGACTCTATGCTAAACTATAACCGAATTATTCGGTTTTCAAAACATCGAAAAGACATGGTGTTTTGTTCTGTGAGCTTTGAAAGTTCCTAAATCCATGCATGGTCTATAATTTTGAATTATCTTTTTTTCATATTTTCGCATCACTTTTTAGCAGGTTATGTTTTTTTAGTAACAACATATTTAAGTCATGCTATTTCTCTTTATACAATTTCATATTCCAATCTTTTTCACTATCCAAAATTCTATTTTTATTTATTTACTTAAATACCCATCTTTGTTTTTATTATTCGTTAACCGGCCAATCAAATCGACATACGTTGTTGTTTTTCAGGTTTAAATTGCGTTGTTTTTTTTTTGTCTACTGGTTATTGAAAATAGTAACGTTCAAATACTTAATCATTATAAAAAAACTGAAAAATTTAATACATCATGCAATGGGAAATAATATGAGCACATACATGATGAATTTCATTTTAAATTTTCTGAATAGCATGCATGGGATTTACGCATCGTGCATGATTCGGTAGATATGATTTGCATAACATAATAATATATGCGCTGTAGAACTTATTCTGCAACATTAGCTATTGATCACACAGAGATTATTCCAATACTTTTTTGTTTTCAATTTTGTTAATAGCAAAGCATATAATTCTTGTTTATCAGATCCTTCGTCCACCTTCAAAGTGGCACTACAGCATATATAATTAAAAGCATATCGAACTGTATACATGTTGATCGTATTTTTTTAAATCAAATCTCGAGATTTCAAATGATCTTGGGGATAGAGGGACTTGAACCCTCACGATTTTAAATTTGATAATTAGAGACGAATTGAAAGCTAAACTGAGATAATTCTAAAGATTTCTTCGGTACGTTACCTAATGTGGAAGTATCGTAAGTAAATCTAATCATAATGAGCATAATTGCTCCGATGGAGAGAAGAACTTATGATTAGTTTTTCAGAAAATTTCTAAACGAACAATTTCGATGTTTAGTCATGATTCAAACCGGGTTCAAAAACCCGAAATCCGAACAAAACGGAGGTGGGGATGTTGAAGGCAAAATGAAGAAAGAATCCAAGATAGCATTCCACATGTCCAAGAGCATTACCCTTTGCCATTCATGCATTGTACGTAAGTTATATGCATTATGGATGAGACATTAGGCTTCTCTCCATAATTGACAATGGTGAGTTGGCATGATTTGAAGTGAGTAATGAAGACAGAGAGAGCCAATCAAATCTCGAGATTTCAAATGATCTTGGGGATAGAGGGACTTGAACCCTCACGATTTTAAATTTGATAATTAGAGACGAATTGAAAGCTAAACTGAGATAATTCTAAAGATTTCTTCGGTACGTTACCTAATGTGGAAGTATCGTAAGTAAATCTAATCATAATGAGCATAATTGCTCCGATGGAGAGAAGAACTTATGATTAGTTTTTCAGAAAATTTCTAAACGAACAATTTCGATGTTTAGTCATGATTCAAACCGGGTTCAAAAACCCGAAATCCGAACAAAACGGAGGTGGGGATGTTGAAGGCAAAATGAAGAAAGAATCCAAGATAGCATTCCACATGTCCAAGAGCATTACCCTTTGCCATTCATGCATTGTACGTAAGTTACATGCATTATGGATGAGACATTAGGCTTCTCTCCATAATTGACAATGGTGAGTTGGCATGATTTGAAGTGAGTAATGAAGACAGAGAGAGCCGTTGGAGTGAAGACAATCATGCAACGATCATATTACAATCAAGCTATTCAATCCACCTAAGAATCTTCAATATATATCTTTATGTTTATGTCTTTCATTGTTTGGAATATTTTATAGTTGTTTGATATTTATTTCTTTCCTTTTTCCTTTTCTTGTAATATCTATTTAAATTCTTGTACATATCATATTGAAACTACACAGAAAATATTGGAGACTTTCTCCATGGATAACTCTCGACCATATCTTCTTTCATTCTAACTCTTGGTCATTTTCATTCTTCATGATTATTCTTCATTTATTTTGATTCTCAAACACCAAATTATATAAAAACTTTCATGGTATCAGAGCACTAAGATCTAAGGTGCCAAAAGTCTAGTTTTCCGTTGCAAACACAAAACCAAATTCCCTTCCGCCATCCATTAAAACCAAGAAGGAGCCTGCTCGTGTTATTTGAAAATTTTGCCTCTTTTAAGCTATTCTTTCAAGCCAAAGAGATTCGTTTTTTTTATCCTACTTCATCCGCTATATACATCCTTAAAAGGTCACATGAGGTGTACTTGGGATGATCTTGGCGACCTTGAAGATGAAGAAGGAAATCATTGTTCATACATCGAATATGCTAACGGTGTTGTAGAACAATTTTGGTATACCAAGGAAGAGGTTGACGTATGGAATAACCTCTCCATAGAAGAAGTTCAAGCCATGTGTGTGGATGATGGACCATATTTGGAAGAACAAAATGAGGATGAATGGGATGTGGATGACAATGTCTTTGACCATCTCCCATTGGACATTAAGGAGATCTTATTATCAATGATCAAAGAATACAATATACGGGTAACATATTCTCTCCTTGAATCTCTTTTTACCTCTAATGAGTTTGTTCAAATGATAGAAAAAAGGAAGGAAGAAAATACAAGAAAGCTGGTCAAAAAGGAAAAAGAGACCGAAAACAAAGTGGAAGAAAGCCACAAACAAGAGAACTCGGTGGAGAGCCGCAAAGAGGACATAATGTCCCAAGAGGATCCACCACTCGAGGAGACTTTGCCTTTTCATATCCATGCAACTCATACAGTTAGCATCAAAGAGGAGGAACGGGAGAAAGAAGAAATAGATATTGTAGTGGCAAGCCACAAAGCGGAGAGAATGAACCACGATAAAGAGGAACCAAACACATCAGAGATAGAACTCTTTCCATCACCTCAAAGAAACCCAAGAATCGAATTCATACAGATAAGCACTAGAGTTTGTACTCTTTTCTCTTGTCCTATACATTTTGATTTATTTTTTAAATATAACGCTTGTGGGTTGTTGAGCATTCTTCATCAGCCTTCACATGAGGGATTCTTCAAACTTTCCAAGTACACGAGTGAGGGAGCATATGACGGTATCCTCGTGTGCTTTCCAAGTGAAAACAATGCATCAAATGGAGAAACGTCAAAGCAAGCAACAAATGATTCAAATCTGTCCAATATTGAGGTTGAATTTCCTATTAGTTATGAACACTCTAGGTTAGGTAAATTTTCATCTCATACTTTTACATTTGATCTCGGTACGTTTGAACATACATATTTAAATGAAAAACAAAGTATCATTGTTAGAAATATTCTTGATTATGCATATGATACATATAGGAGAATAGATAACATGTTTTATATATTTGATGAGTATTCAAGTAATATGTTTCGTATAAATAAAAAACCAAATGTCTATCTCATTAATCAACCAATGTTTTATGCATTCATATCATCAAAGTTAAAGTTTAAGCATGCTACGACACTTTTTCTTTTGTTATTTGATTGTAAACATATTATTACCTCCTTACATTCAGTTTTCTTTATTAAACGGAGTGTCACGGCCTCCCGTGTAGTTTTTAATCATTTCTTTGAGATATTGCAGCAAATAAAAATCAAAATAGGACAATTTGGAAGCTTGAAGCTTAAGGAACTACAATGGAAAGAGTTGGAATATTTGATGACATATTCATACGACGATGAAGACATTCGTTCTCCAAGATTAGCTTTTCGATATCTCTCCACGCTAATCTTGAGGGGGAATGTTGAAGGCAAAATGAAGAAAGAATCCAAGATAGCATTCCACATGTCCAAGAGCATTACCCTTTGCCATTCATGCATTGTACGTAAGTTACATGCATTATGGATGAGACATTAGGCTTCTCTCCATAATTGACAATGGTGAGTTGGCATGATTTGAAGTGAGTAATGAAGACAGAGAGAGCCGTTGGAGTGAAGACAATCATGCAACGATCATATTACAATCAAGCTATTCAATCCACCTAAGAATCTTCAATATATATCTTTATGTTTATGTCTTTCATTGTTTGGAATATTTTATAGTTGTTTGATATTTATTTCTTTCCTTTTTCCTTTTCTTGTAATATCTATTTAAATTCTTGTACATATCATATTGAAACTACACAGAAAATATTGGAGACTTTCTCCATGGATAACTCTCGACCATATCTTCTTTCATTCTAACTCTTGGTCATTTTCATTCTTCATGATTATTCTTCATTTATTTTGATTCTCAAACACCAAATTATATAAAAACTTTCAGGGGAAATATAGGGTTTCATATAGAAGGTCTAAAATTTGATCATTGATTGATCATATTTTTCATTTTACGTCGAGACAAACAAAAAAAAAACTCGAGTCAGAAAACACAAAATCTTAATGGCGTAGAAGCACAATGACAAAGCTTTTAGCACAAGGGTTTAGGGTTTAGAGGTGGGGCACATGTGATTTATCCAAGATTTTGTGTTCATTCAAATCCCAACACGATTTTCATTAGATGTTGTCCGATCTTGAATCCATTTTTGTGGGATAGGTATACATAGGGAATTTAAAAAATTTTCAAAATAAATATCATATATTAGAGAACAACATGTTATTTTCGTCGGGTATCCGTCCGACGTTAGACCCAATTTCCCGAACCGAACCCAAACCCGATTTTCGGGGTTTTCACGGTAAAACCGAATTTCATCTCATGTAGTCCTCGGTTAGCCGACCCTGCTTCCACAGTATCAACCATCGTTCAGCTTTCGCATTTAGATTGCATCACATTGATCACGATCTCTCGCGTGAACCCGAGTATGAAAACGCGTAATCCGAATCACGGGTATGCAGAAACAGTAGACACAGTTTCGAACTGGGCACGCTTACGTTCGTTCTTTGTCATTGCCAAGTCATTTCCATGGAGACCCCGATTCGTAAACTTTGTGTAAAATCAACATCGTTCGCAGATTTTAACCGATGAGACGAGGGAAACGGAAAGGCGGAAACTGTCGATGCTTTTATCCGGTGAACAAAGTACAAAGCTTTTTGTCGTGGTCCTGCGGAACTTAATCCCTGGATGATTCATGGTGGGGCTTGGACCAGATGTTGTGTGACACTTGAAAGATGGGGAAAAAAAAGACCGAATCAGTTCCAAAACTTTTTTTTTTTTTGGAAAAAAAGAAAGCCTAAGAACATGTTCTTGATTCCTTTGTTCCGGGATCCTTGTGCCTCAAAGATTGTCGTTTTAGCCCTCGAAGGCAGAAGAGAATCTTGGTGAGGGCGAGAGGGCAGGAGAAGGGAATGTTGCCTTGGGAAATCGATTTTTTTAATCCGGGCTAAGGAGAAACAGAAGAAGAAAATGAAGAGATTGTTCGCCGAAAATCCAAGGAATTTGATTCTGTGCACAGCTTTTCCTTCCTTTTTCGCCGGGAGGACGAGCAAGTGCACGAACAGAGGAAAGCTTTTTCGGGTATCGGTCCTTGGAATCTAATGCTGAGGAATTCGAAAGCGAAGGACGATTGATCCACAAATGGAAAGCCAAGTTACAGAATTTGCATCTCTTTTTTGTTTCTCCGGTTGAAGTCGTCGCAAAGTACAGTGAGTCAGCGAGCGAGTGAGCGAGCGAGTCAGGTGTTTTCTTTTAGCCTTTTTCAAGATTCCATCCCTTTGATCAACTTGCTATATAAACCATTCTTGAGCACACATTTCCTCTGTAAGAAAACCGGCTTTTTCCCCCCAGAACATCGTTCCTTGTCGTAAAAGAAAGCGTTTGTTTGCGTTGCAAGCAAACGACAAGGGTCATCTGAATCTGCGGTTTTTTCTTCGAGACAAGATCGAGATGTATCAAGGGAAGAACATGAACTCTTCGTCGAGAATGCCTGTTACTGCTCCAGAGAGGCATCTGTTTCTTCATCCGGGGAACGGCCCGGGAGATCCAGGACTCGTCCTCTCCACCGACGCCAAACCAAGGTTGAAATGGACGCCTGATCTTCACGAGAGATTCGTCGAAGCCGTCCATCAGCTCGGAGGAGCAGACAGTACGATTCTTCTGTTCGAAACCCTTCATCTTTGCATTCATTACCTGCAAGAATTCGCGGAAAAATCATCCGTTCTTTTTTCGCGTTTGTTGTGCAGAGGCGACGCCAAAGACTGTTATGAAGCTCATGGGGATTCCGGGTCTCACCTTGTACCACCTCAAGAGTCATCTTCAGGTGAATCGACGATGAAACTTTCCTCCGCTTCCTCTGTTTACCGATCAAGATTTGTGTTGAGACCTTTCATTACGAGATATTTATAGAAAACGGACAATCTGAAATCTCGATACAACGTTTTTGTTGTCTGGATATGACAGAAGTACAGGCTCAGCAAGAACATCCATGGACAAGCAAACAATGGTGTGCATAGAATCAGTAAGCATTTCCAATGAATCGTATTTCCGCGTTCAAGTCGTCAGCTCGACGGTTGTGAAATTTGACGGGTTAAGCCTAATCGGTGTAGGTGTCGTTGCCATGAGTGGAGATAAGAGGCCTGAATCAGCTGGAACAAACATGGCAAACTTAAACATTGGAACACAAATGAACAAGTATGTATATGTACAGCTTCTGAATGTTAAGAAGCTTAAGATGCTATAATGTTTCTGCAAACATCTGAGAGCAAATCATGCCTTGTTGGTCCAGAAATTCGCCCATCGGGGAAGCGATCCAGATGCAGATCGAGGTTCAGAGACGATTGCACGAGCAACTCGAGGTACCGTAACTTACAGAATTGCATTTTCAGTTTGCGTAAATCGGACCAGAAGACGAGTTCTTGAAGATTCTGAATGGGATGGAAACAGGTGCAGAGGCATCTGCAGATGCAGATGGAGGCTCAAGGGAAGTATCTACAAGCCGTTCTCGAGAAAGCGCAGGAAATGCTCGGGAGACAGAACTTGGGCTCGGTGGGGCTCGAGGCAGCGAAAATTCAGCTCTCGGAACTCGTATCAAAGGTATCGAACGAGTGCCTACGATCAAGGCTCTCGGGAATGAAAGAACTTCACGGTTTCTGCCCGCAGCAACGGATCAGGCAAGCGGCAAGACCCGCTGATTGCTCGTTAGAGAGCTGCTTAACGACGTGTGAAGCGTCTCAGATGGAAGAACAGCTCGGACTCAGCACTTACTCGGGCAGTTCCTTGATCTTCAAGTCTAAAGACATCGTCGAGGAGCCGTTGCTAAGGCAGACCGAGCTGAATTGGTCGGGAGAGCTCAAAGAAAACCGCAGATTAACGGGTAAAGAGTCTGGGAGAAGAACGTTTTCTGGCGGAAGAAGCTCGGTTAACGACCTATCAATCGGCGTAGGACCAACAAACGACGCCGATTACGCATACGGAGCGACGGAAAACGAGGCGTCGGGCTCTGCAGGTCGGGTAAGCGGAGAAAGAGGCTCGAACGAGTATAACCTTTCGTACTTTGCGACGAAACTCGACCTGAACACCGGAGGCGAGACTGATTCCGCCATGAAAGGCTGCAAGCAACTGGACCTGAACGGTTTCGGCGGAAGCTAAAGAATGTCTGGTCGAAGAATCAGATTCGTCAGATCGAATAAGTAAAACATTGGCTGTGTAGATTGAATCTTTTGTATTACTTTGCTCACATTTGATTCAGTTTACAGACAATTCAATGCATTCTGCAGATTTTTGCAACTTCATCCTTAGATATTATATTTTTTTATTTTACAAAATATTATTATTTCTATGATATTCGATTTATTTCGATTCAAATATATTTTTAGGGATAAGAATATCATTTTTTTTCCAATTATTTCTAGATCATGGACAACGTTCTCAAATCCTTCTTTGCCCTGTTTCGTATAATATCATTCATCGCCGAAAATATTTTCCCGAGAAAAAGCTTACCCAAGAGGCCAAGATAACGGAACTGATGTCTCCTATATGAGAGAGAAACAAACCTCAATCTCAGACAACTGATCCGATCCAAAGCTCTCGAAGCTTCCATGTTCCAATGAAAAAAACGAGCAAGACGATGATTCACTGATCACCGCAGAATCTGGTTTCACTCGGCGAAGTTTTTTTGTTGCCGGCGAAATGGCGGCGAGTTTGACGCGGTCGGAATCTCAGTTGTTCGAAACCCTAACATCACTCCTCATATCGGAGAAACCACAGTTGCTCGAAGCCCTAAATCCCTACATTCCTCGAATCACTCAGCCTCTCCTCCTCTCTCTCCTCTCTTCCCCTTCTCTGGCTAAACGACCCAAAACCCTAATCACCTTCTTTAACTGGTCTCAGACATCGGTTCCCGAAGCTTTCCCGTCGGATTCAACTCTTCCGGTTCTCTCCGTCGTCCGTTCTCTCCTCTCTCACAACAAATTCGCCGACGCCAAGTCGCTTCTTGTCTCCTTCATCCGCTCCGATCCTTCTCTTTCTCTTTGCCACTCTCTTCTCCATCCGAATCTCCATGTCTCGCGATCACCCAGCAAGGCCTTGCTCGACACAGCCATCGGCGCGTATCTTCACTCGGGCAAGCCCCAAGTTGCGTTGCAGATCTTCCATAAGATGAGGAGGTTGAAGCTCAAGCCGAATCTTCTCACTTGCAACACGCTTCTCATTGGTTTGGTTAAGTACACTTCTACCTCTTCCCTTGCGAATGCCAGAGAATTGTTTGATGATATGGTTAGGCTTGGTGTTGCGCCAAATGTGAATACTTTCAATGTTCTGATTCAAGGGTACTGCCTAGAGAGCAAGTTTGAAGATGCCATTGGGGTGATTGAGAGGATGACAAGACAATTTGGGATTGATCCGGATAATGTTTCTTACAATACAATCTTGAATGCAGTTTTTAAGAAAGGGAGACTTAGCGACGTTAGGGATTTGTTGTCAGATATGAAGAAGAGAGGGTTGGTGCCCAATAGGAATACTTACAATATCTTAGTGTCTGGTTACTGCAAGTTGGGTTTGTTGGAGGAAGCATCCCAGGTCGTGGAGCTGATGATGCAAAGTAATGTTTTGCCGGATATTTTCACATACAACTTGTTGATAAATGGGTTGTGCAATGTGGGGAAGATTGGTGAAGCACTTAGGTTGACGGATGAGATGAAGGGGTTGAAGTTGCTGCCAGATGCAGTCACTTACAATACATTAATTGATGGGTGTTTCGAGTCAGGACTTAGCTCGGAAGCTATGGGATTAATGGAGCAGATGGCTGATGATGGAGTTAAACCTAACCAAGTTTCTCATAATATAGTTCTTAAGTGGCTTTGCAAAGAAGGGAAGATGGATGAGGTTATTAAAAAAGTCAGGGATTTGGAGGAATTGTATGGATTTTTGCCTGATAGGGTTACCTATCACACCCTAATCAATGGGTATTGTAAAGCAGGGAATCTGGGTGGAGCTCTTCAGATGATGTGTGAGATGGGGCAGAGGGGTATGAAGATGGATACAGTGACACTTAATACCATTCTCAACACACTTTGTAAAGAGAGAAAGCTTGATGACGCTTTCCAATTGTTGAATACCGCCCGTAAGCGCGGATATATTGTGGACGAGGTTAGTTATGGCACGTTAATCATGGGTTATTTCAAGGAAGAAAAGGTAGACAAAGCTTTGGAGCTGTGGGACAAAATGAAGGAGGAACGAATCATCCCTACTGTAATCACGTACAACTCTTTGATTGGCGGGCTTTGCCACAATGGGAAAACTGAGCTGGCTATCGAGAAATTTAACGAGCTTATTGAGAATGGTTTGCTTCCTAATGAAACTACTTACAATTCTATTATCCTCGGGTACTGCAGGGAAGGGCTGGTTGAAAATGGGTTTCGGTTTTACAACGATTCTCTAAAACACTCTCTTCAACCGGATACCTATACATGCAACATTCTTCTCACTGGTCTTTGTAAAGAGGGTTTGACAGATAAGGCTCTTAAGCTCTTTGATACTTTCAAAACTAAGGAGAGAGATGTTGATACAGTTACGTACAACATAATAATCTCGGCCCTTTTCAAGGAAAGGAGGCTTCTAGAAGTATACAATCTTCTATCAGAAATGGAAGAAAAAGGACTAGAGCCTGATCAGTTCACATATAACAGTATTTTTGGTGCCCTTATGGATGACAGTATGAAGAAGGAAGAAGAAGAATTATTGGAGAAAATTGCTGGAAAGTTTGTCACCGTGGAGCAGTCTTTGCAGCCAGAGACAAAGCAGAATCCAGCAGCAAGTGAGACAATAGAGGAGCTTGATCCTGAGTGTATGGCTTACTCAGAAGAGATAAATGAACTCTGTGCTCGAGGAAGATATAAGGATGCATTCCAGATATTTTATAAACTGATGGATAAAGGTGTTAGATTCAAGAAATCTACATACATCGATCTGATTAATGCACTTATAAAGAAACGTAAAGTTATCCCCATAGCTGCAAGATGATGTCAGAGTTTCTTGCAGCTTCTGTTTCATCCTCTTCAGGAAGGAAAATATCTTTGTGTACATCAAACCTAGCATGATTGAGAGTAAAGGTAAATCTTTTACACTGTAATCGTTGAATTTCGTTACGTATGTTCATATTTGATAATATCATAACCATGCTGTATTGAATGATAGGATGTGTTATAGATGGCAATTCGATATGTCATTATTTTCCTAAAGATTTTTGCCTTCAGATCCCACACACCTCAATGCATGCTTTCAGTCTTTGAGTATTCTTTTAATCACTATTATATGTCTTGTTCCTCTGAGATGAACATTACCTAAGCCCACTGATCTGAGGTTCAGGCATCTATGCCGACAAAATATGCATGTATATGGAAGAAAAATCACTACTAGTTTGTCAAGTAATGGAGCTTGATTCCAATGGTGGTAGTATCTCTCTATTGAATTGTTGAGCCACAAAACCTAAAAGAGTTCATTTTGGCTGTCTCCATATCGTTCTTGAATTATGTCTGACTGATGAGAGACTCCACATAAATCAAGAAACCATTTCTGTTGTTGGGGAAGTGTCTCCAAGGTAATTTCGTTTCAGGTTCACCATAATGTTCATCACTTACAATGTATGTATCACTTTCTGTGACTTCAGGTACCAGAGGAGGAGACTACACAACAATGAAGATGACATTGTTCATTGTTGTAATCCATAGCCATCAGGGTTTCAGATGATGATCTCGGATAGAATCTGTACTCAAGCGTGCTGCAAATCTCGGGTTTGTGGTTAAGAAAACTTTTTCGGGGATTAACGAGGGATCAAGCCCGGGAAAGAGAAAGTGTTCTGAGAGTAAATCTGTCGGTGAAGAGCAAAAAGAACATTGAGCAGAAACGCCTGAGGGATGATAAAACTTGGATCACTGGCTAAATTTTTAGTTTCTTTGTGTAGGAATTGCATTTTTCTTTCCAAACACAGAGAATGATAAAGCCCTTCAAAGTAAGGCGGAAAAGGGAGAGTCTCTGTTCCATGATGTGGGGAACACCAACATAAAGAGTGAGTATATGCCTTGAAATCTTCTTGCCGGAACAACCGCTTTGGTCTGGTCGTAATAGATTGACTTTCTTGCTAGTTGCGATAAAAAATATACGCTGTGTATTCAATACTAGTATTTGGATATTCGAATCCATGGATTCAATATCGGATTTGAATTTAGATTTGGATTTAGATTTAGAGTATATGGTTCCGCACCCTGATGAGTCGGGTTCCAAAGACGAACGCGCCGGATAAATTATAGATACATATTTTAAAAAATTTATTTAATTTTATTTAATTAGAATTGTTGATTTTTAGTGTAAAAGAAATCAAAGGTGAAATATGGGAGAATATGAATAAATTAATGATGACGTTCGCGTTTGCGTTCAGGCAATCGCTCGACCGCCTCAACTAGATAGTGGGACGACGCATTTCTTCTTCAAACCTGAATCGGAATAACTATATACCCGAAATCAAACGATCCCCGCTTCGGCGAATCCTTGGAAACTAAACCACCGTTTCGATCAGGATTCTCCGCCGCCGGTAAACCAACTCCTCATACAAAACCCTAGAAACCAACACATGTTTCGATCCCGATTCTCTGTCCCCGGTAAACCAGCTCCTCACACAAAACCCTAGAATTCTCTATATATATCTGAAATTTATTCGCCCTCCAGTTCTCGCTCTCTGCTAAGTGCCACGTCGGGAATGGCGTAGCTGTCTCCGAGTTAAATTCTAGTGTGTAAGTATATGCATTGACTTTTCTATCTGGCGTAGTACACTGATAATGCAAATTCGAATCTGATTTTTTCAGTGTGGATGTGTTCGTTTCTGGGAGAAGTGTGGAATTGGGTTTAAGTTACATAGACTTGCTCTTTCCTGTTATTTTTGTATTCTTAAGCAGCAGAGGTTAATGGATTGATAGTGCGTGTTGATTAACTGTGATGAATGGATTGGAGGGTTTCTGTTGTAATGGAGATTAATGAGTTTGATTGGTTTGTTAGAGATTAGGGTTTTGTTTGTAAGTGTAAAGATTTTTCCTGTTGAACAAATTTGTAACTTTTAGGTGATGGACTTTTTCGATGTCTAGCTGTTTCTCAATCTGGTGTGGGTAACTTGGTTTCTTATGTTAGTTTTCAGATGTGATCTTTATCGACATGGCCTTTTGGGAGGTGAGTTATTTCGTTTAAAAAAAAAACATTCAGCATGGTTGAGCATCTGGACCTTCAGGTGTTAGTTCATTTTCTTTCTGTCAGAGACGAAGCAATTGCGGTGTGAAGAATCTGTTTTGGAACTTTAAAATGAATTAAGTCACTTTCATTCTGAGTTTCACATTGCGAAATGAGCATATTATGCCGTCGGTTGCTTATTAACCTCTTGAAGTTTGAGTATAGATTTCAATGGAAGAGATCCATAGTATATAGTCAACACTATATTTATGATTATGTAACTATATTTTTGGTTTCGTCTTCAACAAATTTTGTGGACCACCTGATGTTCTTGGAATTTATTGTAACGTCTATTGGAAGGTTGATACTGAAGGATGCAAGGACATGATAATTGAACCTTTGATGGACGGTTTCAGATGTGTTAAATGTTTGCTTTGATCTGATTGACATTTCAGTAATTCTATGTCGTGTTGAGTTTTCTGGGTTTAGAGCGATATAATCGATTTTTTTTCTTTTGTTTGATTTGTGTTGTTTTAACTGGAATACAGCAGATAACGCTTCTTCAGTTTCAGACTTTCAGTCTATTTTTGATGTTATTTGTAAGGGACACATTAGGCAAGCGTACATCATATATAGTGTAGGAAAATATGGTGATGTTTCTGCTGGATGACAATGTTCTGGAGTTTTGAATGAATTGAACATGTTTTTGGAAAGTATTGATTTATGGTGTTTCTGAAGAAAGTTGGGGAATGAATTGTGTAATTGTTAATAGATGATAAATCTCAGGTGTTGTGTTTGGTGATTAATTAAGATACGCTTCTTAAGTAGGAAATGAAGGAAAAATCTGAAGAGATGGGGACAATAGAAAGAAAATGATGGAAATCTACGGGCAAAATAAGACAGAATGGAAAACACAGAAGCAATAGATGCAAAAGAAGAGGAGATGGTGGTAGAAAGAGAAAGAATGGATGCAAACGAAGGACTAGAGGCAGTACATGAAGAATTGGAGGCAACAAAAGTGGACAAAAATGGCAAAAAAATAGATGAAAAACAGATGGAAAAGGATGGAGTGGAAGTAAAAGAAGAACAGATGGACAAAAATGACAAAGAAGCAGATGAAAAAGATGAGGAAATGGAAGATAATGATAGTGCATCTGGCAGTTCTGTATTTTATTCAGATAACGATGAACAATTCCTGTCTGGGGAAGATGATGAATCAAATCCTGGGGCAAGTAGCTTGAACTTTTGGTTCCTCTTTCCTCAGCAGCAAAACTTAGAAAGATTGTATATTTTATCTTAGCGTTTAACAATCATGTTGCAGAAACCCCTGAGTGAGGAAGAAATTGAAGAGCTAATTTCTGATTTTCTGGACGTTGAGAGTAAGGTATAAATGTCTTCATCGTGTCCATCTATTTTTGAACTTTGGATTTTACTTTCTAGTACTCCTTTTTGGTGTCCTTTTAGGCTGCGGAAGCTCAAGAAGCACTTGAGAAAGAGTCTCTTACTAGAGTAGAGAGTGAAGTTAGGGAGGAATTAGCACAAACACTCCAGGGTGATGAGGTGATTTTTTTAGTCTCACTGACTAGCTTACCATTGAGTCCATTAATGATTCCTATTGTAGGATCTTAGATTCTGCTTGTTATAGTTGGATAAAGCTGTGGCAACTGAAATGACGGCGTTTAGAGAAGAGTGGGAATCTGTTCTTGATGAGCTTGAAACAGAAAGCGCAAGCTTGTTGGTAAATATTTCATTACTATGTTTCTCAGGGCATTATTTTTTAGTCTTGATTCATCTTATAAAGTATCTTTAATATTTTCTTTATCCCTTTTTTTAAGGAACAACTTGATGGGGCTGGAATTGATCTACCAAAACTATATAAACTAATTGAAAGTCAGGCTCGTAGTAGTTGCTATACTGACGCTTGGAAACGAAGAGCCCACTGGGTTGGAACTCAGGTTACCAGGGAAACTGCTGAAGTGGTAGCTGATGCGGAGAAGTTTCTTCATACTCACCGTCCTGTGAGAAAGTATGATTGGTTTTTGAATATTTAGTTTTTCAAGCTAGTATATAGTAGGATTGATGGTAAATATCTAAAAATGTTGGTGTAGGCGACATGGAAAACTTTTGGAGGAGGGGGCCAGTGGGTTTCTGGAGAAAAAGCTTGGTGATGATGGAATCAAAGAATCTCTTGTTGGAAAGTCTGAACTTGATTGGTCTTCTCTGAACAAAGTATTTTCAGATAAAAAGGATGACATTATTTCGTTTGGTAGCAAGCACTGGGCTTCTGTTTACCTGGCAAGCACTCCACAACAGGCTGCAGCTATGGGATTGGAATTTCCAGGAGTTAACGAGGTTATATTTTCAATATATGCCTTTGATATTCCCATATCCATGATGAATGCTGATTTATAATTGCATTTGTGGTCGATTCTCTTTATATCAACTTATCAAGGTAAATTCACTAAACATGAAGTATTTCTTTTCAATGATTGTAACTTTGGTTTGCTTTGGGTAATATGGCATTTAAAAGCAGACTGAATTCTTTTTTGACATTTTGTTCATAAGTTACTTTGATTTGGTAACCTGTGCTATCATGCCCAAGAAATACATTTTTCGTATGTATGAGAAATGATCTTATACACATGCTTCTGGGGGCCTGAAAGCGGGAATGGAATTAAGTTATTAGGTTGGGGAACCTTAGTGATGATTTAATTTTTGAAAATCTCGTGGTTCTACTATTTTATTGCTTTCAAGACCAGTTCAATTTTCTGCTGCACTAGAGCATTTGCAGAGTTCCCGTCGCAACCTAGAGTAGTTCATCATTTCATTTGTTTATTTATTTTTAGGTGGAGGAAATTGACGAGATTGATGCAAGCTCTGCTGATCCTTTTTTTGCTGATGCTTTAGAAAATGAAAGAGAACTCGCCCTTTCTGAAGAACAGAAGAAAAATTATCGGAAGGTCAGTCACTTTTCTTTGACTTGAGTGCATGGTGTTCTGTAGACCATCATTCTGGTTGTAAAAGTATCATCTTTTATTGCTGCTCCTTATTGATGAATTTTAGCTTTTACCAAGTCTGCAAGTAATTTACCATGATTTTAGTTTTCTCAACTACTGGCCTATCAAGGATTAGCTTGGACAATGACATTACACCACTGACAGGTCAAAGAAGAGGATGATGTAAATGTTGATCGAAAACTTCAACTGCGTTTGAAACGGAAGAGACACAGGAAAAGATCTAAACAGGTCAGGTTTGCGAACCTTGTTTAATTCCCTATTTGTAGTGAAGCATAAATATGATATCAGATGTTTACTGTTAGAAATGATGGGGACAAATGTCACTCAGCTACCATCTTCTTTGAGGAAATTTTATGTTTGCGGAAACACTGATGTGCTCCTTCCTTCTGGAGATCTTGAACATATAAAACCACTGTATAAATTGCTTCTTGTTATCGCTTTCTATGGCTAAATAATTGTGTTCAGTTTTGTTTTCTTAATATATAATTTCCTGACTAACTTTTTGGAGAAAAGATGAAAAAACTTTGTGCGTTCAGTAGTTATTTCTTCTCACTGCTTTCTAATGTCACAGTTCTATCCTGCGACAATCAATTTCTGACTTGTTATCAGGAGTTTCATTGGCTTTCATGCTATGAATCTTTTAATGGTCATCTTCCTTTATTTTTGCTTATTTCACCTGTTTTGATTTTATCTCAGGGTATCACGCGAGCAGCAGAGAACAGAGATGATGATTCCTTGTATCCGAATGGAAATTCTAACTCTTTGTTTGAAGATAAACCTCATGGAATAGGTATTGGCCGGAATAAAGCTGAGGATCAATTACAAAATTCAGAGACTGATTTGCAATTTTATATCAATGAAGCCAGCAAAGAGAGAAACGGGAACTTGGCTGTGCCATCCGAGTCTGATGAAGATAAAAAAGCCTCTGTCTCAGATACAGAGGAAGAAATGGACACTATGAGTCCTGAAAAGAAGTTTCAGTGTACAGCGTGTTATGAGGTGGCCACAGAAGTGCATAGTCATCCACTTCTAAAAGTGATAGTTTGCTTGGACTGCAAACTGTCAATTGAAAGTAGGCTTGCTAAGGTACATAGTTATCCATTTTTCAGAAAAATTTGAGTGTCTAATCTCATGGATTAGAACCGATATGTGAATTATGTCTTCTTCACAAAGAACGGGTCACACATTCATTGATTTCAAAAGAGTATAAAAATATTTGTATCTCTAACCAGAAGTTAATGATTATCAGCAGGCTGTTGACTGCTCAGAACGTCACTGTGAATGGTGTGGTCGTGTTGCTGACTTAGTAAGTTGTAAATCATGCGAAAGACTTTTCTGTGTGACATGCATAAAGAGGAATGTTGGTGAGGAGTACTTGTCTGAGGCTCAGTCCTCTAATTGGGATTGTTGTTGCTGCTCCCCCATTCTCTTGCAAAGATTGACACTGGAATTAGAGAAAGCTATGGGGAAAAAGAAGCCTATTGAATCATCCAGCTCTGATTCCAGTTCTGACAGCAGTTCTGTGGACACAGATGCAGATATTAAAGTAGCAGTAAGGTATTGTTACACAATTACATATTTTTCTGAAATTCTGCATAAATTGCTTAAATTTCTTAATGCAGCCAGTATAAAATCTGGTATTTTTATTTATTTATTTTTTCTCATTTCTGATCTGCATATTTTACTTCAAGTTCTAAGAGGAAATCGAAAAAGAAAATCCGGCGAATTATTGATGACGCTGAATTGGGGGAAGAAACTAGGAGAAAAATCGCGATTGAGAAGGTGTTCTTTTTACTTGAAAGTTCTGTATTCTTTTTACCACTAGATGAACCTTTTTTTTTACCACATTCACTATGTAACGTTTGCAGGAACGGCAGGAAAGGCTCAAGTCCTTGCAGTTTTCTGCCAGATACAAGACAATGAGCTCAACGGGAGACATGAGAAATATTCCAGAAGGTGCTGAGACTGAGGTTCTTGGCAATGCTCGGAGTGGTTACATAGTGAATGTGGCAAGAGAGGTTGGTGAAGAAGCTGTGAGAATCCCTCCTAGTATATCTGGAAAATTAAAAGCCCACCAGGTTAGCTTTACCTTATGTGCATTTCTTGCTGAGTCTGAATCAGCTTCTCAAATAAACTCATCGTACCGTTTTACTTTGATTCTGGTCTTTAAATAAATCCCCACCTGGACTGTAGATGATGGTCATGAAAAGTTCTGTTGCTTTTTGTAAGTTATTTTGTCGCGCTTTATTGTAAGTTTTGAGGTTTCATTTTTTTAGGTAACTGGAATTAGATTTATGTGGGAAAATATCATTCAGTCCATCAACAAAGTGAAGTCTGGTGATAAAGGTCTTGGATGCATTCTAGCCCATACAATGGGTCTGGGTAAAACTTTCCAGGTGCTCAATACTGTTTAATGCATGTGCCGGTTTTATATTTATCTTTCCATTATGTATGATACATTAATGCATGCTAATAGTGATAATGCGAAGCTATATGATGTTCTTCTATTACTGACTCTTCATAATGTCTTTACCCTATAAATCTTTCAGGTTATAGCTTTCCTGTACACTGCAATGAGATGCATTGATCTGGGGTTGAAAACTGCTCTTATTGTGACACCTGTAAACGTGTTGCACAATTGGCGAAGTGAATTTATGAAGTGGAGACCATCAGAAGTCAAGCCTCTTCGAATCTTCATGCTGGAAGATGTTTCGAGGTATAGTTTCTTCCGTGAATTACGATTTCTAATGCAGATATTCAGATGTGGAATTTGTCTCAGCAGCATCCAATCGTGGCGATATATTGTTGTATTTATTTATAATTCACTAAAACTCACCTGCATACTGGAATGACTCTTATATAAGGGAAAGGAGACTGGAGTTGCTTACAAAGTGGCGACATAAGGGTGGGGTTTTCCTGATTGGGTACTCTGCTTTCAGAAACCTGTCTCTTGGAAGAGGGGTGAAGGATTTGAATACAGCTAAAGAAATTTGTTATGCCTTGAGGGTGAGACCTTGTTTTCACTGAATAAAATCATTGATTTGGATCTATTCTAGATTCTTTTTATTACTAGTTACCCGTATCATCATACAATCCTATCTCAAAGATTAGTTTCTTTGTTTTGAGGTTTGCTTCTGTTCAACATCTCATTTTCTACTGAAATTATTAGCTTACATAAGAATTTCTAAACTACAATTAACAATCCATTCTCTTTGCTTTGATATTTGAGGAAATTTGATAGTTTTCTCCACCCCACAAACCCTTTCTGTGTTTTTCGCCTGCCGTGCGTGTTTTGTTCTTCCAAGCGTTTTCTAAGCCTGTGTGATCGCAGGATGGACCTGATATACTTGTTTGTGACGAGGCTCACATTATCAAGAATACCAGGGCTGACACTACCCAAACATTGAAGCAAGTGAAATGCCAGAGAAGGATTGCTTTGACTGGGTCACCTCTTCAAAACAATCTCATGGAATATTATTGTGTAAGCTGAAGAAGCTACTGAAATTTGTGAAACTATCGTTATTCTATGGGATTTAATGAGTTGTTATGTGTTTAACTGCAACAGATGGTTGATTTTGTGAGAGAAGGTTTCCTAGGAAGCAGTCACGAATTTAGGAATCGGTAAGTCTTCCATCCCAGTGTCCAGTGCTATTCTGCTTTTGATGATGTTAGTGTCTGTAGAGCTTTAATCGTGCTCTCACATTTATACAGCTTTCAGAATCCAATAGAAAACGGGCAGCATATGAATTCAACTGCTGAGGATGTCAAGATTATGAACCAGAGATCACACATCCTCTATGAGCAATTGAAAGGATTCGTACAAAGAATGGACATGAGTGTTGTGAAAAGAGATTTGCCGCCAAAAACTGTATTTGTAATATCTGTCAAGCTATCACCCTTGCAACGGAAGTTGTACAAGAGATTTCTGAAGATCTATGGATTCAATAATGGGAGAACTGATGAACGGATGAGAAAGAACTTTTTTGCTGCATACCAGGTCTTGGCTCAGGTATACAAGTGAGTGCTTTGGTAGTCTAGAGAGTTAATTCAACGTCTCTCCTATATTTCTTGTTTCTGATTCCCATATATGCCTTTGTATGTCCCAGGTCTTGAATCATCCTGGAATTCTGCAATTGAGAAAAGAAGTTAGCAGCTACGGGCTTCGTGGTAACATTGTCGATATTCCAGATGACTGCTCCAGTGACGAAAATATAGATTATAACATGGTTATGGGAGGTAAACTTCTGTTTTTCTTTGGTCCCCTTTAAGTTAGAGAGTCAATAGTTAGAAAAAAAAAGGAAAGAAGTTCTGACCAAAAGCCCCGTCTATCAGCACGTAAGCTACTGATAAGCCATGTTATAATGTAGAGAGTAATACATCCGCTTAATGTGCATCTTTTCAGTTGGCATCACATTCTTCTAAGCTCAATAGGGGGTGGTCTTTCTTGGTCTAGATTAATTATTGGTCTTTGAAAGACAAATGATTCAAACATTGTAACTTTATCTTTGTTTCTTTTTATATTGACAGAGAAACAAAGAACTATGACCGACTTACTGGATAAGGTCGATGGGTATCTCCAGAAGGTGGCTATAATACTCAACTTTGGTGAATTCATATTTCCTACATGATTACAACGAAATAAACTGAACCATATAACAATGCCGTCCGATTTTATCAATCGTCTTCTTGACAGGATTGGTGGATCGACCTTCTCCACAAAAATAATTATAAGGTGTCTAACTATAGTGGCAAAATGATTTTGCTGTTGGATATTCTGTCTATGTGTGCACATGTGGGTGACAAGGCGCTGGTGTTTAGCCAGAGCATCCCGACTTTGGATCTCATAGAACTTTATCTTTCAAAACTTCCTCGTCGTGGCAAACAGGAGAAGTTCTGGAAAAAGGGGAAAGATTGGTATAGGTTGGTATCACGCATGAACTTTATCTTTAGATCAACATGAACTTTATATAAATATTTTGAAGGCTGCAACTTTTCTTTTGTATGGCTGTAGGATTGATGGGAAAACGGAAAGCTCCGAACGACAGAAGTTAGTTGAAAAGTTCAATGAACCTGAAAACAAACGAGTTAAATGCACTTTAATCTCAACCAGGGCGGGATCCCTAGGGATTAATCTTTATGCTGCTAACCGTGTGATCATCGTCGATGGTTCTTGGAACCCCACCTATGATCTTCAAGCTATATTTCGAGCCTGGAGGTATCATTTTAGACCACCGATACAATTATTATAATCAGGATAGTATTATAAATTCTGATGGACTTTTACGTTATACAGGTATGGGCAAAAGAAGCCGGTTTTTGCGTATAGGTTGATGGCACGTGGGACCATAGAAGAGAAGATATATAAACGTCAGGTATTGAAAATCCCAGAATATGTCATCGTGACGATTAGTTGCTTTCTTGTATGATGAATCGCATATATGTATCTCGTTAGGTAACCAAGGAGGGACTCGCTGCAAGAGTGGTGGATAGACAACAAGTACACAGAACTATCTCTAAAGAAGAGATGTTACATCTGTTGGAATTTGATGACGATGGTGATGAAAACTCTGAAACTCAAACCACGAGTGTTCAAGCTGAGAACCCACAGAAACAGAAGGCCACTCTCTCTAATGAGAGTTGCTCCTCTGACAAATTGATGGAGACCTTGCTTCAAAAGCATAGCCCCAGGTATGCTTGGCCCGAGTATTAATTCTCACAGATGTTTCAAATCTTCCAGGATGACTTACGATGCATCACTGCATATCCACATATTATTCTTCTGATTTTTTTGAAACCTATATTATTTTTCCTGGCAAAGTCTATTACTGAATTTCCTACAATCCGGTCATATAGTTTTATCGGTTTCTAAACCCCGTTTCTCTTGGGATTTAAGTTCCCACCATTTCTTCTTCCATCCAGTACATAACTATTATCTGACTGAAGTGGTCTACTACTCTGTTTCAGCTGGATTTCCAACTTCCATGAACATGAAACACTTCTGCAAGAGAACGAAGACGAAAAACTCACAAAGGAAGAGAAAGACATGGCCTGGGAAGTCTACCGGAGAGCTCTCGAGTGGGAAGAAGTTCATCGTGTTCCACTCACAGATTCCGTCCTGAAACCTTCTCCACCGGGTGCCCCTCCACCTCCCTCTGTACCAAGACAGCTTATGCCGCGTCCAAAGGGTTTCAACAGAAGCCGATTTGTGACCCGAAGCTGCACCAACACCTCACATCAGCTTACACTCATAAGCCAAGGAAGAAAACTCGGTTGCAACACAATTTGCGGGGAATGCGGGCGTGAGATCAGGTGGGAAGACGTTATTCCAAGAAGCAAACTTGCTTGCTGATGCAACAAACAGTAAATAAACATCGACTTTACGTACACAGAGTTCTTTGTTTTCTTTCATTGGATGTGATGATTTGGCCCTGTGGGAGTGACACATTAAAGGGATAAGTAACATATTGAAGTTCCTTCCGTAGAATATGTAATCTAATAGCTGCGTTGTTGTTTGGTTCCCGAAATATTACAGATTTAATTGAGGGGTTGGTTGGTTGGTTTAGAAGAGCCTTGTCATGGTGAAATTGATCTGTAAAATTGAGTCTGTTTGTTTGCTTCTCTCCGTGGCTTTTATCATTTCTAGCATTTGTTCCGAAAATGGACGGTGTGGTATGTTAAGAGATGCTGTTGATCCTTTAGAACTTTAACCAGAGCCTGAATCGAGAGGCATTGTGTCGGGTCGGAATGGTTGGAATATATATATCTCTAGTTTAAATTTTAATTAAACTATCACAATTCGGTTTTTATATTAATTCTGGTCGATTCAGTTTGGTTTATATTGATAATAATATTCACTTCTTAAAAAATTTTAATTTTCCATTTTTTTTATCTCATTTTCTTTTTAATTTTATACAAATCATAACTATTCCATATATCAGTAAGTTGGGATATAACTATCTATTATTCAGTTCGGTTATTTAGCTATTAACCCAATTTATTACCCTAATGACATCCAACCGATCTGAGTATGAAACATATTTCGATTAACTTTTTTTTCCCTACTATAACAAGGTATTCTCACATCTTTGTGACAATAATAACCATCAAAACAAACAAATTGCAACCATCTGTAAATACAATTCTAGTGTTTCACAATTATCCATCAAATTTAACACTTGGTACAAAATGAAAAAAGAGAATCCACTCTGATGTTGAGACAAACAACATTATTAAGCCCTAACGGTGGAACTAAATAAGTTAAGATATTATTAGTATGAGATAAAAGTGCGTTTTTCCCCTTGGAAAAGCTTCAAAATCCATCGAACACAACACAATGTGCGGTTTTATGTCGCCAGAGCCAAATCAAAGTCTCTTAGTACCTGCAAATGTCCAGCTTCTAGTTTCCGCTATGTTTCTCCGGTTTGGTCACCTTTTGTTTATCTTTTCCGCCTCAAAAGGATCACCGGACAGGATCTTACCAGTCGGCGACGGGGCAGGGCGGGGCGCTGCAACAAGATACAAAGAGGATGGATTAGTTGGGTCCGTAAAGATTTCGGATACCTTCATTACTGAAAAAAAAACTCGAAGTGTTCGAGTGATGTGACAGATCTGTGATCGGTTTGAGACAGATTATCCTTTACAAAGCCCTGCTAAAGATCGAGTTTTATACCATACATGAATGGTTCCAGAAGACTGCAACATGAATTCTAACTCTCCCTTAAACATTTTTTATCAAATGAAATATACGAGAAATAGTAAAAAAGTAATAATATAAATTAGAAATCTAATACTCAATTTGGTTTTTGTTCTTTTACATCTGGAATGAATCCTGAAGTTGGAGAAGAGAATGGGAGCTTACTGATAAACCTTTCAAAAGGGTGCCTCGAGAGAATCATCCCATGCTTCTGTACTTCCATTAGATGCATCTTCGACGTCTTCCTCCATCGAAAGTCTAATGTATTCTCTGTGTGCAAAACGATCCCATTCTGTCCATGTAGGATTCGCCCGCTCCTGTTTTTCCATCAATGTTCCAAGTATCATATATCTATACAGAAGCACCGAGGTGGTAAAATGATTAACGTCTCATGTGTCAGACTAAAGAACAGTTGTACAGTACCTGGCGTATGAGGAAGGGATCCCGAGTTTCAAAGGCCATAAATTTGTTAAGATTGAAAAGGATATTGAAAAAATTGCCCGAGAGTTTAGAACCCTTCAAGTCTTTTAGGGTGATGCAGCTCTTATCCTGCAAATATGGAATTAAAAGGAATGGGTATGCAAAAATGACCAAATATATGGATTGGAGTCACAGGGAATGATTAGAAACGAAGTTTAAAACATTTCAGCGAAGTAGTGTATTTGTCGTGCGGAATATGATTGGCAATGGATACTTTGTCATTCAATCCTTTTTTCCCATGCGAATTGTTTCTGAAATATGGTGTGGAAGCGGAAAAAGGATAGCTAACACTGTGCTACAAGAGCTAATGGCATACCTCTGGTTTAATCATGTCGAATAATTGGCATAAAATATCCTCGAAAATCACGGCTTCTTGTGCCATGCATTCCATTCTATGCAACTGCTCCTCGTAGAAGAATTGCAACTCGTTCCGTGTCAAAATCCCATTACCATCCAAATCGATGCACTTGAACCTTAACATAAATATCATGAGGTGAGAAAGATACCCGTAGCCTAGCATAAAAACAAGTAAAAAACACTATCATGCAAAACCAGTATATTCAATCTTCCAGGTCAATCTTCCAGAGCAACATTATCGGGAGAATTTATTAATGTGCGCAGAATATTTGGTCTGATTAAGAGAAGAAAAGAAAAACAGTATCAAAGCACCATTCTGAAGACGTGTCTCACCAATACTCAAGACTAGGCTCGGATAATTTGTCCTCTTCGGCCAGTATAAAATAGACGAAATCCTCGTAACCCATCTTTCCTTCAACTTCACTCGTAAACTTTCTTGGGACCTAAGTTGAAGTAAAGCACCCGGCGTGAGCGTCAGACAATGACATTCAAAAGGCTTGATTATCGAAGAAAAAAAAAAGGAAGATATCATGGTCCAGAAACAGTTTACCTGTAAAAATATTCTCTCCACAATCCGGTAGGTGAGTGCATGGCTACCGTATCTGATGAGATTCTCTTTGTCGATCAAGAAATCGTGGTCTGTATCCAGCTCCCAGAACTTGCAGTATATGACATAGAAATGCTCATAAGAGAAGTACCTAAAGATAAACAATGAGAAGAGGCAATAGCACCAATTTAAACATATTAATTATCAATTTAACATTTCTCAAAGTCAGAAACATATGCAGCAGGAAAATTCCACACATTACCTCAAAGCCTTGTTGATGTCCTCTTCCTCGTCAGCATGCTGCATAGCATCAATCAAGTTTCCTCGCTTCAGCTCTCTGAGGGTAATATGACCATTTCCAGCCCTATTTATGTAGTAATATATTCTATATATTACAGTTTCGGCTGATACCAAGTTTCAGACAGAAAAAATGTTGCATTAGGCCACAACCATCATGAAGATTTGGGGAAATGATGATAACAATTATAGCAATAGAATTCAAGGTGGCATAAACAACTTTGATAATGTTCTTCAACAAAAGGAGAGACAATTCTCAGCCATTTCCTTGGGCGCAGTCGGGTCGCTCGCATATATCTTAGCATTATTTTAGGCCAGGAAAAATATCCCAACATCTACCAATAAATTCTAACTTAAGATAAGGAAGGTTTAGTGGGAGAGTGTATTAGACCATTATCCAATATTAAACGTCCAGGGTCAATTATTCCACCACCACCCAACGATACATTTTCATAACCTGCCAATGATAAACTATGTATGGATAACTGGACCTTCAACATAGTAGCTCACATTGTATCCGAGACCGCGAGGCATGCCATCAGATTGCATATGCATCCAGATACATAAGTTTGTACTCATCTCCACGTACACAAAAAACGACATGATATGAAACAAAGCCTTACATTTTAATTCTACTTACTACTTTTGCAAAAACATTAGTTAGCAAGGAAAAAAGCAATATAATCAGTCAGTCTTGAAAAAGATTAGACGAACTCGTAAAGATAATGGGAAAAAATATAACTGGGATAGCATCCAGACGAACACTATCATAGCCTCAGAACTAACCGTATCTATCCTGAAACTCAGGTGTGCCTTGCAGGAACTCGAGCCCAGGATGGGTTGCCAATAGTTCCCGGAGTACAGGCTTGAAGTCATCCTGTGAATGATAAAATTATTATTATCTCAGCTATGATAACAACTGAAATCAATGAGCAGTCAATTCCATGACATAGCAAAAGAGACTCAGATTTTTCGAAAAAGTGAATAGCTGATAAATACAACAGAAGAAGTGAAGTGATCATCTCATGCAGGTGAAGAAAGTAGGAAAACGTGACATTAAAGGCACTTCAAAGATGGTAATCAATATGCGTGTAGGTCAAATTAAAACACCTGGACAAGGTAGTTCTGGTCCGGTTGCTTCAATATCTTAAAAACCTGAGTTGCTACGTCCATTGTCAGCATGTTTCCCTTGACCCAATATTCGATGAAGGCCTCTCTGTCAAAAAAGTGGGTAGAACCATGATACAGACAAATGATAAATTTTCATTTCACAACCCAAATCAGAAGAGAGATTTCATGCGGATGTCAAAATCTATTATTGAATGATGATATCATCTAAGGACATGAAAGAAACCAGAAAATTTCCAAAATTCCATCTTATCATTTTGCTTTGAAATTGCAATGTTTTGCTCATTTCTCGTGCAGCTCTTCGCCGACAGAACATTTCAATAAACCTTAAAACTGTTAGAATTTGAGGGAAACAAAGCACAAAGGCAGAAGCAACAGATCATGTCACTGATAGATGTATGGATTAGGTAGATTCACTGAATCTGGACTATAGTAAGTATGGGTTGTTTTGGCTGTTAGTATTAGTTAGTTAGTAGTTTCGGCAATGAATAGTTATAAATACAGATTAGATAGAGGCGAAAAGAGAACGGAGAAGTTTCAGAAAGGATTAGGGTTTGTCTGGGGAATGAGAGTTGGGACCCTCTCATAAAATAAGATCATCCAAAGTTGTATTTAGGTTTTCGGTGAGGAATAAAGGCTCGATTTATGTTGGAAAGTTGAGTTTCAGATTCTGAACCTTAACAATCAGTAGGAAAACTGTAAGTGAAGAAAAGAACGAAATGTTTTAGGTATTGCTAAACTACCCTAATTAAGCTGCCTTCAAGAAAATCACATACCTTGTGACAAAACCCGTATTATTGGTGTCAATTTTCTTGAAAATGCAAGAGGAAAAAAATGATGGTAGCTTGCAAACCTCTGTAGTGACTAGTTTGAATTCTGAAGAAGGAAAAGAAAACAAAATTAATTCAGTATACTCATACTAAGACACCAACACAACTATCTCATGACAAGTTGACAACATACCTTGCACCTGCAGACCGTCTGCATGGCCGTAGAACAGATTAATAATCTTTGCTACACATTGCTCTTTTAGGTCATTTGATGGCGGGCAGCCATTTTCAAAGTAAAACTACAGCATTAAAGAAACTATTTTCAGCACAGTATTTAAAAGCAGAACAAAAATTCAACTGCAACCAACATAAAAGCTCGACAAGATAAATGACAATGGAATCATACTTGTGGCATACCTGAGGTATTATTTCTTTAATGGGCTCACTAACTACTTTCAATGGAGAAGCAAGATTTGAAAGGCCAGTCCTTTGCCTCATTATACGGGGAGAACCAGATACATTTCTCGGGGAAAGGGGAGGAGTATTGCGTACAGGAAACATCGAAGCTAAAGGACTGCTGGAGCCTGAATTTGTACCAGAAGAACCACCAGGGACATTAAGAGGAACACCAGCTTTTGCATCATTGAGCAAAGATGCCGCCTAAAAGAAAATATACGACAAAGGCATAAGGTATTTCAGAAATACTGATCTCTCAAAGACTTTAGACATGCGTCGTATTTCCCAAATGCAGATTCAATAAAGATTTGTTCCACAGATGGTCTAGCAGCAAAAGTATTGTCATACAACAAAGTGCCCTCACCCGTTCGAATCCATCTTGGGCCAAACCTTGCCAAAATAAAGTATCGTCATAAATCACACAATTTCAGTTTGACACTTGAAACCAAGCAAAAACATTTCGATGCCCTGTTCGAATCAACCATAAGCATATATATTTCGAAGTGATTACCACGCCTTACCTATACAAAACAGGATTCCAAGAAGAAATGGACAATTAGCAAATGATTTTGGGATACAACGAACAATTAACCCATCCCGCAATTCGACATGTCAAACAATTCGAATAAACACTTGAAACCCCAAAACAACATTCTGATGCCTTTTTCAGATCAAGCATCATCATATATCCTCAGAGATTACCACACCTTCACCTAATCAAACATAAATTTCAGTAAGAAACGGGAAATTCACTGATTTCGTATTGCATACCCAAAATGAAGCAGAAAACTGGCATTCAAATCGGGGGGAAAACCATAGCCAAATGCCGTACCATCCGATTAACTTCAGGAAGTGAAAGCCATTGATCGAAGAGCTTCTTCACGAAATCCTGATTCGATTTCAGCGACAGAAGTGACATCTCCGGAAACTGCAACAAGTCGGTATCAAGAGACGCGACATCGATGAGAGGTACCGAATCCATTTTCGGACCAAACAAATGCCCTTCACGTGCAGATCACAAATCCGAGAAATCGGAGAACCTGGATCAAATGCGTTCGACCTAGCTTCAGATCAATGGAAACCGAGAAATGTTTCGCAGAAGAATTTCAGAGAATTGGAGCTTGGAAAAAGAAGATCATAGATCTTCGGGAAATGAATTCACGCATTTGCATTCTCCATCATCAAAGGTGAGAGAACGCTTTCGCAGAAAATGCAGTCTTATATACATACACATTATTATATGCTTTCTTATATATATATATATATATATATTGTTATGTATCTGTACGTAATTTTCTACATTTGGTTCCATTTTAGGATTTCGTGTAATTTAAATAAAATTGCAATAAGTAGAAGTTCAGGAAGGTTTTGAAATCGACGTATTTTTTCAGCATTTTGAAAAAGTTGAAGTATTATTTTAGATTTTTAATAAAATTAAATTTATTAGCATAGTAAAATTTTTGGAATAGATTTTGATCAATTGAGTAATAATTAGGTAACTTGCCCACCCTACGTCACGATTTGGATTCCTAAATAAATGAAAGACACTACATTTATAACATAATTTATTTCATGGAAAAATAAATGCTAATAAATCAGTAGAAATATTGAGTCCAAAAGTACCGCAGACATAATCGCCCATAGTATTACAGATATAGAAAATAAAAAAAAACTTGAAAATGCATATGCATGTAAAATGAAAACATAATATTATTAGTTTTGTTTTTGTAACCGAGTGTTCTGGATCGAATTTCAAACTAATCTTAGAATCGGAAGCAAACCATATAATTATAACGTGTCCTCTCTTCCCCAACATGAATTTCAAATTCGGGTTCCCGTTCCACCGATTGGACTAGCTAAGTTGGGTATCATATTATTAATCACACAACTCGGTAATAAGTAGATTTAAGTTCTTCCAAGATGATCCGATCTCTTCCTCCATAGCATTCTTGGCCATCTCTCCACATTCCTCAATGATCTTCTTCAGTTCTTTTCCTATCTCTCCCTCCATCAATTCCTTCACCTTCTCAGAAATCTCTTTTCTTCCTACAAATCCTTCAATCGCCTTCACTCTCTCCGCAACTTTCAGCTCTTCCACCGCTAGTTTCGCGTTCAGCGGCTGCTCTGCCATCATCGGCATCGCCAAAATCGGTACCTTTGCGCATACGCTGTCGAGCGTCGAGTTCCATCCGCAATGGCTCAAGAACCCTTTGACGCTCTCGTGCCCTAATATCTCCCTCTGATCGACCCATTCTCTCACGACCAGACCTCGTTCCATTACTCTCTCTTCAAACCCTTCTCCTCCTACATCGCCTTCTCCTTGTTTTTCCCTCACTACCCACAAGAAGTTGACTTTAGACTCTTCCAATCCGGCGGCTATCTCCAAGAGTTGTGCCCTCGAGATCTCGGCTTGTGTCCCGAACGCTACGTACAAAACATGGCACCCCTTGTCTAGCTTTTGATCGAGCCATTGAATCCAATACGATTTCCTTTCTTCGTCCTGTCTTGTCGTTGTTCTTGGCCTCTCGGCCAAGCAGAGCGGTCCAAGCGTCCATGGATTTAGCCCGCTCGTGCGTTTGTAGAAATCGAGGAAAGTTGGTTCGAGATCATCGAATGTGTTGAATATGATCCCGTCGCTCTGATTCGTCGATGTGACATGATCTATGATGAGTTCAAATTCAGGACCTTTAAGGTTAGGATCGGTGATCACATGGTCGAAATCACATTTCGCAACCTTTATCCATGGAAACTCCGGTACGGAAACCTGTTCGGTCTCCGATTCAACCCGAGAAAGAATCCGGTTCTTGAAAACGCTCTCCACTATACAGCTCGAGTGACAGCTCATACCATAGAAAACCAGCCGAGGAAACCCTAGTTTCCTCGCGGAGTGTAACGTCCACCACAAGAAACCATCGGAGACCATGAAACTGACACGTGGCAGAGACCCGAGAGCTCGTTCGAACTCCGGCTGCATGACCACGGTGGCTCTGGTGAAGGGAACGTAGAGGGACATGGACGGGAGCTTGTCGGTACTCTCGACTCCGGGAGGGATCTCAGGGATGTTTTGAGGGAAAGGTATGTCGATGATTTTGGCGGTTGTATCGGAGAGATAGCCGGAGACAAAAGGGCGGTTTCCCGTAGTGGTAAAGACAGTGACGGAGATGTTGTCGCCGGCGGCGCGTCGGTGGCGGAGGAGGAGATGGGCTAGTTGGAGCATTGGCATGATGTGGCCTTTGGACATGTACGGAAACAGAACAACGTGAGGGGTTGATGAGTCTTGTGAATCCATGATCGATCTCTCTCTCTCCCTTTCCCGATGTAGGGCTTTTTTTTCTTCTTCTTCTTCGTTTCTGCCTTCGTGAATGGATGAAAACTTGTGTGTATATATAGAGGCACAGAAGTCAATACTTGCATTGCATACATACATACATACATACATACATACATACATACATACATACATACATACATACATACATACATACATACATACATGCATACATGTATCTATGTGTATATATTATACCCAATGCAAAACATTTTAAAACAATTATTGTTTTTGTAATTGTTATTCTTACGACAAAACTTAAAAAAACACACTGATAAAACACATGCAACATGGAAATATCATTGTTTCCGTACTTTTACTTAAAATATCTGAATGCCTATATACACTGAAATACTTTGAAATCTATAATACATGTAATTAAATGTCAATGCTAAATAAATCTAACAACTGATCGAGGGTCAAAATGCAGATTTCTCAAAATTCGTTAAGCAAACAATCTTGTATTGAAAAAAACAAAAAATAAATGAACAAAGGGCAGCTTGCTATAATAGCATATTTAGTTAGAAATTAGAGAAAAAAAATTAAATTTTTTTTTTTGTAGTTTTAAAAAATCATTTGTCGTTTTGCATTATTTTAGACTTTAATTTTGGATTTAGTCGAATATATATTTTTACACCTTAATAATTGAAAAGGCTGGCTTTTCAAAAAAGTCTTTTTAAATGTTTTTATGAAATAAATATTATTTTTTGGACTTTTTGAAAGGCTAGTTTGGTAATTTTCATTTATGTTTTGGAGTTCTTTCAATAATTGTACATTAAAAAAATAAACTTAAATTTATAGATAGGACACAGAGACTTAAATTGCAACTAGACATGTGGGGGAGTCTGGAGTTAGATCCACTGTTTGTGATTCCCTGCATGGGCGGACCCAATTCATTAACTATGTGACATATGCCCCATTCTTTTTATTAAAAAAATAATTTCATTATAAAGTTAAACAAAAATTGTTAAATGCTCCATAAAAAAAATTAAATTTATCTCTTAAACTATAGTAATTTTTATATTGTCCCAATGATAATTTTTTCTAGGTCCGTTCATGTCTCTCTCTCTCTATATATATATATAAATACTCTGTTTTCGAAGTCGAAGGATATGTCAGTTGTTTTTGTTGGATATAAAAACTATGACCAAGATTATATATATAGATATTTCTATATATATTTAAAAGAATAGGGTTAGTGATGACATTTGATTGATTTTATGCTACATGTGAATGAGAATATCAACCTCTTGTATCTTGCATCTTGTTTTTGTTGATTTATATACATTTGTAAATAAATCCTTGAAATTTTAAATATTGTTTATGAGAAAAATTTTAATTTAAAAAATTAATATTAAAAATATTTGGTAGAAAAGAATATTAAAACTTTGGGTGAAATTAGAATGATACAAATTTTGATTTTAATAGAATGGTAGATAAATTTTTTATAAAATAAATATAGATAAAATTTAGATAATGAAGTGATCTGTATGTTATGTTTATTTAATGGGAAAAACAATAAGATAAAATTATAGACCGTTTCAACTCAATATAAATAATGTGCTAAAAATAAATAAAATATAAAAGTCAATCGGGTTTTAAATGATGGGTGAAAGTCAATATTTTAAAATCTTTAAAATAAAATATCAGCAAAACAAATATATGGAAAACATTATTATATACTTATATAGTAATGTTAAAGTGTAATACAAGAGTAGCAACATTTTTTTTATTTGGGTTTTATATATAAGATTAAGTTTTAGGTAATAAGCTATGTATGTGTGATGTTTATTTGACCGAAAACAAAGGGACAACAATACTTTTTTTTTTTTTTTACATAAGATAAGATTTCTAAATTATTTTAATTCAATTTACATTAATAAATTTATAAGAGATAAAATAGGATTAGAGACAAAAATATGCACCAACGCAAATCCACAGCTCTGATCTCACACAAATATTTTCTTTGAGCAAATTCTTGCTTTGATACAAATAAAAATGTTAGTTTCAGTTTGATACATCATGTCCCCAGCCGACCACATCACTTGTGAAGCACACTCTTCTTCGGCGGCTTTGGTTTCTTCTGGCTCTGGTTCTGCAAGGAAATTCGTACAAAACCATCACCAAACCATCCAGTGAAGGAAAGCCTTACCATTTTCAGGAGGATGAAGAAACAGAAGACAATGGCAGTACAGAAATTTCGCATAAAAGGCTTTGGTAATCGGCACAATGTTTTGTCAAGTTATCAAATCTCTAGTTCAGGGAAGGAAAGAACATGAAAACAAGAAGCCAGAGAGGTGAGGCAGTGTTATATTACCTTCAGTTTTTCGAGGACCTCGTAGTCTATTCTCTGTTTCCATGTGCTTTTCCGGAGTTTGATCGGTCTGTTCCCAACATATTTACCTGAAGAACGGCAGCGCTGAGCATAGTTAGTCCACGTCATGTAAGGGTGTTTATAAAAACTTCGATATATAGAGTAAAGGGTCGGGTCGGGTGTTTACCGTTCATTTCTTTGAGAGCTGCTGCAAGATCAGCAGGATTTGCAAAACTAACAAAACCATACCCTCTGGTCTTGCTAGTCCGCTTGTCTCTAATAACCTGATAGAGAGAAGGAAATATTCAGTTATTGGTTTCACAATACAAGCTACTAGAAAAAGCACAAACTGACACAAACATGAGAAGCTCGGGAGATAAGGACGAAGCTAATCGTATAAACAGTGAAAGATGTGAGACTCAAATTATGCAAGACTGCAAGCTGGTAAAGCTATGCTCAATGCCTAGGTCAGTAAATCTCGATTGGGGCATGCCATTATAGCATGCCGTATCTCCCAACTTACGCTGTAGTACGCTACTTAACCCTATCTCAATGGACCAACTCCATCTAATTTGCAACTCCACCTTTTTCTTTTTTGTTAACACCCATAATCCCATTGGTAATAACGCTCAAACCACATAAACGAGACATAATGTAAAGCGTTCACAGAGGCAACTAAAGCAGATTATGAATCTTTATAGGAAAAAAATCCTACCTCAGGTGATTATAAACAGAACTGCTCTGGTTCTTCAAATATAAATCTGAGAGAAGATTCAGAATGTTGATACAGAGAGCAAAAAGTGTCATCGAGAGAAGAATCAGACAACAAAAAGATACTATATGCTTACCCTGGCCATATTAAATGAGAGATAACGTGAAAACGCCTTTGAAAGGACATCATCATTCACCTCATTACCAAGATCACCACAGAAGAGGCGGTAGTCATCTGCGCAACACCAAGATATAAGTCTCTACCAGATGTCCATCGCAGGAAAACAAGTATCAAATGAACCCAGTCTAAACGCAAAATTAATTCAAAACAATAAGAGCAAGCGGCAGATCAACTTTCATGAGATTTTAATGCCAAAGTTCATAAGAAAACGGTAAAATAACAAAAGAGAGGACCATACTTTCTGGCCAATCAGCAAGTGTTTGATCCTCCCAATGCTGCCCAGCAGCTTTACGAGGTATAGCTTTCTTCTTGGCTTCTGCTTTACCCTCAGCTTCACTGCTTGCAAGAGCTGCTTTCACAGTCTGAAGAGCTTCAGGGGTAATTATTTGTGCATCCCTTTGAAATAGCTGTTGGGCCTGTCCAAACAGATTGACAAAATTGTTCATACGAACAAAGGTGGCATCATAAACACTCGCAGCAGAAAACACGAAGCACAACAAAGGAGGTCAGATTCCAAGTCTTTCAATGCAAAACATTACGGTAGGTTTTCTGTCCAGTAAGAAAAAACCCAACACTTACAAATGCAACCGACAATTGCTTTCTCCTTCAACCCCATGAACAGTAACCTTGTTACTAAAGAACTAATCCCATTAAAAGAATCAAACAAAAAACTAATCATCCGATCGCGGTTCATGGGCGGAGACGCAGCCCCCAAAATGGAGCAGGAGACTCCGATGCAAGAACACTAAAAATCAATAAACCATCAGCAGCCGATGAAGAAGGTCCAATTTTATTAACAATAACAATCATACGAACCAGACAACGTCATCACATACTGCATCACAATGAAAAAGAAAAACTTTTCAACTAATTTTCAAAAATATCCGTCCGGAAATCGATTGAGCTGGACATAAGTAAGTCTCGTTGCATTTCTTCTTGAGAAAACCCCCAAAACCTTTGCGGAAAAAAATTACCCTTAACGACACAGTAGAATCCTACGTAAGTTCCTCACCAGAAATTGAGAAAATACTCACAAAATTATCACAGAAACGCAACGTAATTCAGCACTTAAACTAACCTGTTGATATTGAGGAAGCGGATAAGCACCGGCGATCGGAGCAATCGATGAAACCGGAGCGGAGTAAACCGGCGCTACCACGGAGACCGAAGACGGAGCCGCATGCGCAACGTACGGAAGGGACGACTGGTACGCCACCGGAAAGTACGAAGCGTCGGCGTACGGGAACTGAGACGAAGACGAAACCGCTGCAGCCATGGGAATCGGAGCTGGAGGAGGCGCGATCGACATTGTCGTTGAGATGAAAACTCAAGATGAGAAATCTTGCTTCACGCTTGTTTGGTTCCCAGAAAAGTTTCTGATTCTAGACGAGAAAAAACGAAAAGACTCGTGAGAAGCAACATTATTTCACGTAAAGATGAAGTTCTGGAACAATGAAGAAATCTCTAGAATTGTCTTTTCGAGCATAGATCACTTTTATTATAAATTAAACCCCTAAATTACAAAACCTTATGATTTCACCCCTAGAGTTTCAGAGTTACACCTTCACCCCAAGCTGGTATCAGATGAAAATTACAAGATAGATTAAGAACTTCAAGAGCAAAGATAAAACTTTTTTTTTTTCTTTTCAAATCTAATTGAATTATAGTCGGTCCACTTTGACGCTTAGGTTAGTGTGAGGTAAAAATGTATCATTCATATGAATTTTAGATAGTTGTGGAGGATGTAGTTCACAAATTATTATTGAAAACTAACATATTTCTTTTCTTTTCTTTTAGTATACTACTATATTGTAAATTCCATTAAAAAATTGAATATTAAATTATAATATCATATAAAAATTGCAACAGATTAATTCAAATATAATTAATTACCTAATAATTAAATTACTAAATATCACCAACTACATTTATTTAGCAAATTCATTGTGCTTTAGCGTACGGAAATTGAAAAATTACCGGGTGTCTACGTAAGGTTTTCAAAAATATGGGGATGTATTTGGTATTTTGACCAGCATGCAAAAATAAAAATCACAACTAAATTTATAATTCCAAAACTGCCCTTTACTAATTTATTTAGTTTATTTGCTTTTTTCCATGATGGTTGAGACAGATATTAGAGAGTTTTCGAACGTTTAGGGAAAAAAAAACGAATGTTGTCAAAACCACGTTCTCCTCCCCCGTTATTAATTAAGTTTATTATAAATAACAAAAAGGTTATTATTATTATTTTTTACCGATAGAGAAATGGGTCTCAGATTATTTTTCTTTAATTTATTTATTTATTATGTTTTATTTTACCTTAGTAGATATTCGGTAGTGCATGTTCTGGAATCTGGTTTTGGTGTTTGTATTTTTTTTTGGTTTACGTACCAGTAGATTTAATTCCCATTTTGCCCTTATCTTCTTTGTTCCAAATTCTCAGAGCTTCATCCATGGTGGGTATTATGCTCAATGATTCCTGTAGATTGATTTTTTATAACTTTCTTGTGGAATATGAAAAAGGTTGGTTTAATTTTTTTGGACTTTCTTATTATACCTTTGAATATCTTAATTAATTTCGGTGGAAAAGGACTTTCGATGTTTCTCCTTCCGTTCCGTGATATCTGATTCCAGGTTCAGGATTAGGGTTAGATCGATCTGCTGATGTCGGATTCATCAAATTTGACTGAAATATTCATGGATTAGGGTTTTTAGATCTATCAATTATAGGATTTTTGTGGATCCTGATTTTCTGAGCAACGATTTCTTTTCACGGTTTCTGGGTGTAGATGATGGAGCTTCAGCTTTTTTGACCAATCAAATTCAGAAACCCTAGATCAAGACAGTAAGCATTTTTCCCCCTTTTTCTTTTTTTTTTTTGTTTATCTAAATATGATTTCGTAGAAATAGTTATGAGTCTGATCATGATTTTTTGATGGAGAATATAATCTAGGATAAATTATGGTATGAGTCTGACCAAATTACTCAAACCATATCTATCTATTATCATGGGTTTTGTTATATTTGCATGATCAAATTAAGGTTATTATATATGTGGGTTTATTCAATAATTATGAACTAGTTTTTAGAATTTCTGTTTTTCTATCAGGTAAATAGTTAAACACTGCAAGACAAACTATTGAGTCATAGGAACTGGTCCTAACAAAAGTATGTTCTTAGAGTTCTTCATAAGATTCCTTGAAGATGGTATGTTTAGTTTTCAAGATGAAATTTGGTTGAGTTTTTAAAGCCAATGTGGGCGGTGGAAATTGTCCGTAGTCATTGTGTTCATGATTTTCCGTTCTTCATCGAAAAACTCTCGTAACCTAGCTTAGTTGGTTTTGCTGTTTATATATTACTGACTGAGCTTTTATCCGTTTCTTCTCCTCTGCAGTTGCTGTTCATTCTTGTACTTAATCCTAATATCCCATTCCATATTGTAAGTTTTTCTTTCTATCCTCAAGAAGAATGTGGTTATTGTTTCTGGCATTGGTTTCTTGAAACATAATTATGTATTCGCTTGTCCGACACAGAATTAATGGGGACAGAGCTGATGAGGGTTTGTGTAAAAGAAGAAAACGATGAACTTCCTTCCATTCCTCCTGGGTTTGAGTCATATGCATCGTTCACCTTAAAAAAGGCTGTACCGGGCGGTGAAAAAGCCAAGACTAACAGTGTAACATGTGGCTTGCCTGCGGAAAGTGCCACCGCAATAAAATCTGTTAAGATGGAAACCGACTCTAACCTTTCCGATGCCTCAAAACCGGCAAGATCTCTGCGGCAGAGGCCTTGGATAAACTTTGTTGGTTGTGATGATGATGATGAAAACAACAAACCCACATGTCCAAAGCTTGGTGAAGTCGGTTTTTCTCCCTTTTCTGTTTTCGTTTTCACTTCTAAGAAGTTTTATTATTATCTTGTCCCTTTCTCATGAGCATCTTGTTCTTGCAGAATGTTATTCCGAAGCCTTCTCTACCAAAGGGGGTCATCCGGGGATGTGCAGAATGTACAGATTGCCAAAAGGTTAATCACAATCATTGCTTACTTTCGTACTGTGACAGCAAATATGCTCATTCTTGGTTTTGAGATAATATACTTTTTTCAGATGTCTCTTACATTTTCCTTCTATCATAGTTGTTTCAAAAGTCTGTATCCAATGTTTACATGTTTTTGCAGGTAATTGCTAGATGGCGTCCAGATGATGCTTGTAGACTCGATCTTGAGGATGTTCCTGTATTCTACCCAACCGAAGAGGTCTGTATCACATTCTATGGGCTTTAACCTTTCAATTTATGTTTCTATGTGGTTAGAATGACATTTCTGATATGTTAATTGGTAACCTGATTGTAGGAGTTTGAAGATACTTTGAATTATATTGCTAAAATAAGGCCAACAGCTGAAAAGTATGGAATCAGTCGCATTGTTCCTCCTCCGTCCTGGAAACCCCCATGTCCATTGAAAGAGAAACAAGTGTGGGAGGGCTGTAAATTTGCTACACGTGTCCAAAGAGTTGATAAGCTTCAGAATAGGAATTCAATGAAGAAGATTTCAAAGAATTTTGATCAAATGAGAAAGAAAAGAAGAAAATGTATGAAAATGCGCTTGGACTCAGTAGCTGACAGTGGAAGTGGCTCCAGTTCCGATAACACTGGAGTTTGTGAACTTGAGACTTTTGGGTTTGAGCCTGGTCCTCAGTTCTCTCTAAAAGAATTTCAGAAATATGCTGATGTATTCAAGGCTCAGTACTTTCGAAAGAGTGAAAATCCTACAGGTGCCAAACCTCTGGAGTGCTGGGAACCATCGATTAAGGATATCGAAGGTGAATATTGGCGGATTGTAGAGAAAGCAACTGAAGAAATAGAGGTGACTCAAAAGCCCCCAACTTTTCCCCTTTTTCATTTGGATTTCTATGAACTGGTTAGGAGCACTGAACCTTCCAACTATATTGGTTCTTCAATGTAGGTTCTCTATGGTGCCGATCTTGAGACTGGGGTTTTTGGTAGTGGATTCCCCAGGACATCAAGCGAGGAGGGCTCTTCTTTGGCCGAAAAGTACGTGAAATCAGGCTGGAATTTGAATAACTTACCAAGGCTCCCGGGATCTCTCCTTTCTTATGAGAGCAGTGATATTTCCGGTGTTCTTGTGCCCTGGTTGTATATCGGGATGTGCTTTTCCTCCTTCTGTTGGGTAAGATTAAATCTCTGTGAATTGCATAAATTTGTTTTCCATAATACTGATATCTCTCTTTCTTTTGTTGAAAATCAAGCTCAGATTTTAAGTGAAGTTAACAGGAACAGTCCATGTTGCCATATTTCTTTCCACTAATAGTAGATTAGTTTGATCTATTTTAAAGCCTCACATTCACAAGCAATATGTTCTATTTTATGTTCCTTGAAGTTGGGAGCATATTTTACATTCTTTATAAAAAAAAAAAAGTACTTTCTTGTAACATTACATGTCCATTTCTCTTTTTCATTTCATTATATGCGCCAATTCCTCTCGTGGCTTCTTTTTTGACCCCCCAACACAAACAGCATGTTGAAGATCATCACTTGTACTCATTGAATTATATGCATTGGGGTGCACCAAAAATGTGGTACGGTGTTGGGGGAAAGGATGCTGTTAAGCTCGAGGAGGCAATGAGAAAGCATTTGCCTGACCTTTTCGAAGAACAGCCTGATTTGCTTCATAAGCTAGTAAGTGATAAATATTTTAATCCCTGCAATAAAGTTTTGCTGCTCCATACTGTCATTCACCCTTCAAAGTTTCAAACTGTGGAAGTATTCATTAGGCGAATTCTGGTTTCTAAGACCTCTCTTGATGTATTCAAAGTTTAGCCGTTCTCTCAAACGAATGATCTCAGCTAAATCACGATGAATAGTTTATCATATTAGCATGCTTGGTACAGTAAGGGACAGGTAATGAATTGTCGTATTCTCTGTCTGTTTTTAACTAATAATGATGATTTCTAGGAACTTCAATAGATGTGTTTTTCTTGTCCATAACAGAAGGGAGAGTAGCGATTCTTATACTTGCCCTGGTTTAGAGGCCTATTGTTGTTTCATTGTCATTGTTGCTGTTGTAAAAACAATCCTTTGATGTTTCTTTTCCATAGGTTACACAACTCTCTCCATCAATACTGAAAGCTTCAGGAGTACCTGTGTACCGTTGTATCCAGAGCGCTGGAGAGTTTGTCTTGACTTTTCCAAGGGCATATCATGCCGGGTTTAATTGTGGTTTCAACTGTGCTGAAGCTGTGAATGTAGCTCCGGTTGATTGGCTGTCTCATGGGCAAATTGCCACAGAGTTATACTGCCAACAAGGGAGAAAAACTTCCATTTCACATGATAAATTATTGCTCGGGGCAGCAAGAGAAGCGGTAAAAGCCCACTGGGAGTTTAACTTACTGAAGAAAAATACTCCAGATAATTTAAGATGGGTAAAGTCTTGCAGAAAGGATGGGATTTTAGCGAAAGCCCTCAAGGTAAAACTTTTCTTTCTTTGTGCTCTGAACATTCTGAAACTTGTAGTTGTATTTTTTCGGTTTATTTGGATAAAATAAGTATAGCATGGTTCTTATCGTTCTTGTGTGAGGAAGGAAACTATCCTCTTAAAAGTCCATTTAAATTTGGGATCTGAACTCATTCTGAGTGGTGGCAGTTGGTGAGAGGTTTGATCTAAAAATGGTCTTATCTTTTCCTTATGTGTGTAAACAGTAAAATGGATAGATAGGGAGGTTGATTCTTTGTTGTTATTTTGTTGCTTATTCCACTTCATTTTCTTATATAGGCTCGTGTTGACATGGAACGCACAAGGAGGGAATTCCTTTGCAACTCCTCGCTTGCACTGAAGATGCACAGTAATTTTGATGCTACCAATGAGAGGGAATGTTGCATATGCTTCTTTGATTTGCATCTGTCAGCTGCCGGTTGCAGATGTTCCCCGGAGAAGTATGCATGTTTGACCCATGTGAAGCAGTTGTGTTCTTGTCCGTGGGTTACCAAATATTTTCTCTTCCGCTATGATATTGATGAGCTAAATCTTCTTGTTGAGGCATTGGAAGGAAAACTGAGCTCTGTATACAGATGGGCACGTCAAGATCTCGGATTGGCGTTAAGTGCACACACCTTGGGGAACAACATGAGCATGGATACATTATCTCCTCCGCGGGAAGAAAAGGTGCCTGAGGACCTGAGACCACAAGCTCCTGCAGTTTCAGGGAAAGATTTGAGGAAGCCGGTTGGGAGTTCTAGTGTGATCGACTTGGAAGAGAAGAGTAAACTTTCAGAATTTGGTTTAAGCGTGAAAGAGACGAAAGAGCAATCTACAAGAAGCCCCTTTCTGAAATCGGTCAAAGAAGAACCTCTTTGTCATTCTTCTGATCCAAAAGCTTCTATTAGACTACCATCCCAAGGAGAAATCTCGTCTTTGGAAGCTGCTAAACCTGATGGTGTTGAAATACCTTATCCGAGTTCCCCTAACAATATAATACTTCTCAGCGACGATGAAGATAATGAACCTAGGAAATCATTTTCCGAAAGGGAAAGCGGAAATCCATCTGGGAAGCATTTGGAACTCAAGGAGAAGCAGTTGCACCGCGATGAAAAGATGAGCCACCATGGACTGAAAAAAGAAGGTTCAGCA